TGCAGACTTGCCCTTTGTAATCCTTGGCAACCCACTCCTTGATTACGGATTGGACGCCTTGAATTCCTGTCAGAAAATAAAAGTCAGTGGTAAGACCTCACCGAATGATAATTGTAGACGACTGTTGCATGCCTGGTTAGGACGAAGTTAGAGGGGTAACGTTGTACTGGTCAGCCACTACACTGGTCAGGAAGAAAACTGATATTATATCACTTCTGTACCTGAAACTTGTATTGTTATTCCCTTTTTCTAATACCCGCAAAACCCCCATTTCGATCTCTGTCCATTTCTCTCTCATTAGTTTTGACAGAACGCCTAACAATTAATAAACAATACCTTGATTGGCAACAAGTTTTGGTACTTACCAAGACATATCACAAGCGAGACAAGAAGGAGACTGGTAGTCCGAGCCATAGTCATGTATTTTTGTAGCGTCTGTCGCGGGTTTCTCACACGCACTGAAAATTAATTTGCCCTGCGCAGTGTTTTATACCCTACTTTCCAAACTTTATGTCTATTAGTCCAAAGGTCACGTTGAACCAACCGCACTTAAGGCCGGGTTATCTCGATTTTATATTTAGCAGTTTTTTTTTAACAAACTAAACTCTTATATTTCATAAATGGCATGCCGATTTGAAAACTGAGATCTGGTGGTAGGTTTGCCTTGCAGATTGTTTTAAGGTTTTTTTTTTTTAGATACTGTCAGTTGGACACAAACTAGAAAGGAGGTTATTGCGCAAAATAATTTCCAAGCGTTCAAAACTCCACGTTTGTCAATAACATAACTTCCTAAGTTACCAAATACGCTGCATCTTAGGTTCAGTTTTTCTGATATTTTATTCGACATCCGTGCAAACGCTTGTTCAGATGACCACCTCTGGTAAAATGTCTATGCCTGAGGGTTCGAGAACATTCCTTTTATTTTTTAGCTGTCGGCTTTCATCAAAAAGTTGAAACGAAAGTGAAACCAAAAATGTCGAACATAAATGGCATTGCTGCACTTTGCCGTTTTGAAAGCCGAAAATACTCTGGTTTCCTAGGTGCTTTACTGATGCTCTTGTGAACAAGTCCCGCCCCTAACGGCAGTCTTGCACGCGCATGCCTATTTCAGCCAACGGGTTTTGGCAGTTATAGGCGATCCAAAGAAAAAAGTTGTATGGCGCGCATAAGTGACATTTTATTGAAGTTCAAGCGTGAGCTTTTGATTAATTCAAGATTTCTCTAATTATTTCAAGATAATTATGTCTAATTATTTCAAGTTATTTCTAATTATTTCAAGTATCTTTGAAACATTTTGACATTTTTATGAGTCTTTGAGAGATGATTTTGAGATATCTCTAAATCCATCTCTAAATCCATTTAAGGATATCTCGGGCAACTCAGTATGTTTTTTGGTTTTGAGATACTGACATTTTGACACAAACTATAGAAATGGGATCATTGCGCGAAATAATTTCCAAAGCCGATAAAAGAAAATGGTCCCTTTGCATGGGCCTATATCGAATTCAAGGGCGGACCCAGAGAAGTTACTGCCGGGGGTGTACCGAGTAAATAGAATTACCTTATCTGAGAACAATACTGCTATATTGAGACTATTTTAGGAATAGGCCTACACTGTAATTTTTTTTGAGTAAGAGAATTAAGATTTTTAAAACTTTTAACGCAAATATTTTTAAAAGTGTATATCAATGTTGTTAGTAAATTTTGTTTCGGGTAACATGTATTCCTTGCAAAGTGAACGAAAATAGTTTCACAATTTTCTCCTCTTTCACACTGACGGAAGGTACTTTTTTCTGAGCAAGTGCCCCTTTTGGGTGACCCTCCCCCCCCCCCCGGTTTGACAAGCGTTCCACCGCCGCTGTATATATTGTCTATTTTTTGGTACCACGAGGGGCATTGGTGACTTTCCAGGATCAAAATTCAGTCGGTAACAACCATAAGCCGGGATATTTTTGGGGGCGGCAAATGGTGTCAAATTGTTTGCTAGCTGACGCTCTTAACAACTTGGTGACGTCTTAACGTGACACTTGACTTTCAAAAATTGTGTATACTTAATAAGTGACATTTGAATAAAGAGCGGAATTTGCCAAGATTAGGATCGTTGACGTCATTGCGTGACAAAGTAAATGAAAAAAAAACAGGTCAGTTTTAGCGTCTGTATTTACTTTGGTACAATCATAAATTCCTCCTCACTTTATTGTCCATTCAAAATATATCGTTCTATAAATAGCCTTTTAAAGGTTCGTCAGGTCACTGAAAGTAGTACTGGTTACGACATTTAGTCGGGTACCTAATCAACTTTTCATTCCACCCGTTTGAGAAGCATAACGAATTCGGTACTGAGTAGAATCGAACGTTAAACAACATCCTGAATGTTTTTTTTTTGGGGGGGGGGGGTTGGATGAGGGTGGGGGGGGGGGGACGGGTAGAGTGTTAAACAGAGAAAATGAGAATTTCAGAAATTTCAAAATGAGAAAATTCAGATGTAATTACTCTTAAGACGCATGCTTAATAGTTAAAGAGTTAAAGAGAGACTGGGCTACTTCACAATTCAAAATATTATCTTACATAAATTTGTCATTATATTGTATTTCTCACAATATGCCGATAATTTGCTGCTATAGGTAGGTATCATTTGATCTTGAAAGCAACAAATTATCCAATGCTAAACAAAACAGCAGTTCAATTTTAATATAATATATTTCAGGGTGCCACCCAAACCCAAAACAAAGAATTACAACTCCAACATTTCATGTATTTTTAACTTCATTTCAATACACAAGTCTATTTTTTTTCGAGGGGAAGGGGGGGGGGGGGAGAGAGGTGGGCAGGTTTCGTCACTGGATTGTCCCTCTACACGTGATTGCGTTTTTTCGTCGTCTTGACTTTCAGTCGGATCATGTTAAAAGATGTATGATAAAATTACTGTTCATTACATCACATTCGTCGGACACCGTCGAGGCATTTAAATTTAAAAGTTGCATTGAAATGGTTTCATGGAAAAAAGTTCATCTTACATTGAAAAACATAACGATTTGTAACTCAGCGCTCACGTCCACCGTACCAATAAAAACATAATTGCTTTATCAGATCTGCACATGACAAACTATGCCCATCCCAGAAAGGTCTACTATAATGCATGAAGTAATGGTTGTTAGGGCAGCCTCCTATATTTACTCATTTATAAGTGCCCGGTGCATCCAAAGTTCAATTGCAATCGACGACAATCATCAAGAGTCGAATACTTGTCATTGCCTATAAAACGTTATCTGACGTCCGAAAGTTTGCCAAACTTGATGGGGATATTGCGTAAATTTCCGAGCGTTCACTACCAGTAATTAAGGCCAGAACCTGTACAACACGTTAATGAGATAGGCCTACTTGACGTTTACAAAAATGTTTCGAAACTTTATTTGCAACTTTACGTCAAAAACAGGTGTACCTGAGATAGCTTAAGGGCAATTCGACGAGCGGCTGTTGAAACTGATACTACATTGCATTTCAAAGTGGTGCTTGGGCATATCTCAGTTTATGAGTCGGTGCTTTGAAATCCTTCCAGAAGTGTTGGAGGTTACAGACCAGTAAATAAACTTCCATAGACCCCAATGGTAAATGCTCCCACTTCAGAAATTCGGGAAAAATACTCACAACTCTTCAAGGTGTTCGAGACACACATCAATTTAAAGCTTATTTCATCATCTTTCATTTTCTTTTCAATTTTTGGGGGGTCAACTTATGACTTTTAGGAGAAATTTCCATCCGAAGATGATCACCCCTGAAAATAGTCCTGAAGCCCATCGCCATTTTGAAAAACGATGCCTACACTCCATTGCAAAATGAGCGCTTTAAGGGCCCCAATATCATCCAAATTGAACGAACTACACGTTCACAGTCCTGTGCACGGCTTCCGCCCATATTTTTTACAAACCCTCAAGTTCATGGCCCACAGCATGCTCAAATACTGAACATTTTGAGGGCATGCAAATCGTGATTTGGCCGGCGTAGGCAATTTCGAATTCAATTTACTCGTCTGCAACCTTGAGAGGTTGCATGACCCGGGGTTGACCTTCTCCCTATTGGGGGCGCTGTTCAAAGCTGAGGTCCTTAGCGTTATACAGACACAAGGTGCATATTTTGCAGAAATCAACACGATTTGCCGCCCAGAAGATGATTTTGCACTAAAACGGTGAATAGGAGGGTTGTTCTCTCCTCCCAGATACTAGATACGCCCGTTTTGCAATTCAATTTAAAGAGGCTCTTAATTCCAATCGAGTGAAATTATTGGTTTGTTACCCTTCCCCTTTAGCCCCCCCCCCCCAATAGCTAGGGCCCTGCCTCCATACAGTGTTAAGACAAGATATGGGTCTATAAGCGTATACTGATTTTACACAAATATGCATGATATTTTTTATGTTCGAAATAACGCCCTCTTTCGACGCACAAGCCGCGCAAGAAAGCACACCTTAATGCAACAGCGCCCCCATCGGTGAAATTATATCCAGGTAAATACTTTTTACAACAGCCAGGCGCGTCGCACGTATCGCGTAACATAATACAAAGCGCGTGACCACATTTTGTTTTATCCATGTCACTGATGCGACAACGGTGAATGACCGAAGACCCGATATGGAAAGCGCCCGCTGATTGGTCAAAATCTACAGGTCAAGATACGGTTGTCTTGCATAATTAATCAGCGAATCTGCTCAAATGTTTTAGGTCTATTACATATACTATAGCCAATGCCCCCCGGCAACTCCACACCCTCTTGATCCAATCCTACTGGATCCTCCCCTGCAGTTATGGCATGGACAGTTTCTCTATATGCTTATATCATGAGCAAGGAACAATTAATTAATATACACACTCGATGATTTTTGTTCATACCAATATCATGCATCACTCGTGGCTACGCCATGGTCTATTACATTACATGTACACAGCAAGGAACAGAGTGGCTCAAGTTCCCTTGAAAGGAAGGAAGTCGGCCTTGCAGCTTGGTGGCAATGCACCGGACGACCGGACGAACTTTTAGCCAATGCACACGCACATGGTGTAACGATAACAATGCGATATATACATGTACATGTACGTACCAACCAGTGACAAGCTAGGGCTTGGACCAGGAAGTGTCGAGTTGCACAATTTGGTAGAAAAGTACGCACGAAGGAAGTGTGTGGGCAGTTTGGTGTCCTTTTCCTGCAGACGGGGTTTATAAACTCCTGCCATTGCCCACACGACTCACATCTGGTTGTTGGTTCCGTCATCACCACATCTCTGTTTTGTCACAGAGGTTAAGACACTCGCATCTCGTCAAGTCTTAGCTCGATACTTGCAGGTGACTTCAAGACGGTGAACTGAGCAGAGATACATCGACAATGTTTCCCAAGAACACGATGCCGACGACTGTGGCTGTGCCTGAGAAACCGCCACTACAGACACATAAAGACTCGACTGTGCTGTACATGGTGGGTGGAGACCAGGTAGGATTTTGTGCCGTCAAGTCCATATAGCAAGTCGATCCTCACAAGTCGATCCTCATAAGTCCTCACAAATCTCGCTCATGTCCTCACAAGCAAATCCATATCACGATAATCCTCCAGTCAAGTCAAGTGACAAAAGTCATCCCCTTATATTGTTCATCCACTTGTGCTTGTTGCTTGTGACTTGACTTATCATGCTTATTGAATTGTGATTTCACGTTGGATCGTGATGGACTTGCCAGAATTTGTGACGATTTAGTTTTATGGTTTTTGTGTGAACTTCTATTTTTTGTCTTTCTTAAATTGATACGTTCCCGCCTTCTTAAAGGGTTCAGGACATGAATCTTCACTTCGGAAAATATTCTGCAACTCAGTGTATATATTTCTCTTAACTGTATGAACACTTTTTTGTCATCCATTTTGGGTAAATGATTTGAAAAGTGCACTTTTTTTACATTTAAAAGTTTCCATGTTTTACCATGTATTATTCTTTAGTGTTGTTTTTTTGACACAGGTTGATGGCAACGATAGCAGATGGCAGTTCAAACGGGCCAAGATCTGCGCATGCACCGTTGTCATAACGACCCTGATCCTGGTAGTCGGCATACTGGGTGCAATTACTATTGTCCTCCGGTCGCAGCAGGGAACCAGCGAGGCCCCCACCGTCTACAAAGAGCCCCTCCTCGGCAATGATTCCCCTCTGGAGGAGCCTATCAACAAAATCCCCAGAATCAAGATCGATGATGGCGGACTCTGGCCTCCCAAGAACCCAGTGACCCCTGACCTCGTGGCTGTAGATGGCATGGGAACGGTTTCCCTTTCCTCGAGCCCAAAACCAGTCACCGATGGAATTGACATCGATCCCGAAGGTGACGCAATCTTTGAACCCTTCGTTTTTTCTTCTGACCAAGGAAGAACCTACATCAGCTCCTCCTTCCCATACGATGGTTTCTACATGCGTGGCGAAGAAGGGCACCCCCCACCATCTCATAGCGAAGATTCCTCATCAGATCCCACATCTGAAGCTCCTGGAGACATGGACAGTGATCTTGACTCATCTCTGTCATATAGAATTGCTGGACGAACCTACGCCAGCTCCTCCTTCCCATACGATGGTTTCTACATGCGTGGCGAAGAAGGGGAACCGCCACCATCTCATAGCGAGGATTCCTCACCAGATCCCACATCTGAAGCTCCTGGAGACATGGACAGTGATCTTGACTCATCTTCGTCATTTGACCCTTACGATGGACGGACCTACATCAGCTCCTCCTTCCCATACGATGGTTTCTACATGCGTGGCGAAGAAGGGGAACCCCCACCATCTCATAGCGAAGATTCCTCACCAGATTCCACATCTGAAGCTTCTGGAGACATGGACAGTGATCTTGAGGGTTCCGCTGAACCTGATGATTCTGATATCCCATCTGATTCAGACAATAGCTCGAGCAGCGACCCTAGTAGTAGTAGTAGCGGATTACCTTCTAATTATCGGATCCCTACGTAGTATCCGAATAACATCATTTTGGGACTGGTTTATTATTTCAACAGACTGCTATACTCTCATTATATCGTGAATTTATTGAAATTGATCTCCTGTACAACTTTTTTTGTTTGTATTTGCTTTTTATAGAATATTATTGTTTATAGAGAAATTCCATCTTTTAAAGGACATGTTGTCTGTTGCAACTTCCTACATTCGGTCTTAATGCTTTGCGAATTCTAACTGTTCCCGAAGGCTCACTAATTACATCGATCGCTTGGAATTTTCTAACGAATTCGGAAACTCAATAGTTACTTTATTTTTAAGTGTAAATATGTGTAAATGTTAAACTTACTTGAGACTGCAAGTCTGACTGTTTGGCATCTTGGATTTTCTTTCTGCCGTTGCGGACGCCTTGCCATCTTGTCGCACATAAACGTACAGCTTCTGACGTTCATATCTGATTTATCTGTTTGTTCTGTACATTTTACAATTATGATATCATTAAAGGTAGCGTCCATCATTTGTAATTTGTGTATTATGTTCGTTTGAAGCAACCACAGATTTCAGTGGCGTATCCAGACTGAGCAGGGGGCACATTGCCCCCGCCCCCTCCCGGCGGATTTTTTTTCAGTATTTCCATAAATGGTTAGAGAGTTCTGACGTCATCCAAGTGCGCCCCCCATTTGGAAGCTGGGTACCAGCCCCCCCCTCCTTTTATTACAGAGGCCAAGTGTTAGTCTGAGCCAATCCAACGTTAGTCCGAGCCAGCCAATCGGAGTCGATTCTGGGATTTCCCTCTCACCTCTACAACAATTTCTTCTCATTGTCTTCTGGTTCTTCTTTCGAGCTAGGGCACTTTTGGGGAAATCCTTTGTTTCATTAAATACCAGAAATGAAGACTGAAATAAATAAATATGTAAATAAATAAATAAAGCACCAAGGACCGGTGACCTCGTTTTTACTACCAATTTGAAATTCGTCAATTACAACAAACTGCAAACACATTCTAAATGAAAAAGTAAAAAGTTGATGCAGAACATCGGTTTTTTAAAAGATTGTTTGGAAGGTCTATGTGTTAATTCTAATGATTTATATGCATTGAAATTCTCGTTATATTTTTAAGCAAAACAAAATCACTTTAACAAACTACATTACATTTGTTTTCTTACTGAACATCGCAAGAAGTCCATTTTTTTGTAGCTTCTTAGTTCTTGGAGACTCCTCCACAAGGTATCAGTGACCACCTGTTCCCAGTTTACTTTGTGACGGAAACTAAAGTATCGCAAAACACTTAGGGAAGATTACCTGCCATCAATGTACCTTAATTTCGTGCGCGCGCAGAATTAGAACTTAGAACCGCCAGCTTCCTTAAAGCGATCGAAGTGAACTGTTCTTTGCTCTTCTTGAAGACTTCTCAAAATTAATTCCCGAACTTCACTGAAAGAGCGCCCACAACAGCGGCAAGAAGAATGTAAATGACGTCATTTCCGGGACGCGCCGCTCCCGAACCCGAGCAGTCGGCTTGGCAATCTGAAAAAGACAAGAACACAAAAGGGTAAAGTGGTCGAAATAGGACCGATGCTTGCTGGTGAAGCTTGCTTCAGTGAAGTAGGAATTTGTTTGCGTAGGCCAAGTAAGACTTAAGACTATTGCTCAAGGAATATGTTCAATGAATACCGGGGCATTTTCTAGTATAGCAAATTCATAAATTAAGTTTGAATAAGCTGAGGGAAATTCGTAAGAAATTAACATCCTATAACATTAACGCAAGCAGCTTCTTTTATCAATTTTGGGGGTAATTTTCTAAGTATTCCAATCACTTTTTTCATTGTGTGTGTTTTTTAACAAAACATGGCGCTGTGAAAGTAAACATTCATGTGAAGGACACAAGACAAAAATAACGCCCATTTGTCCTACAGACCTTTTTGACCTATAGGTGATTACAGAATCAACCTCTTTCCAAATCCCATCCTCAAGTTTAACGTTTTGCCAGATTTCTCTGCCAATTCTTCCCTTCCTCGTGAAGAGTGGAATGCAAACGGTCGTCGGGAAATCTATTCTGTTTCAGAAACTAACCTCCACTCGAGAAGTCATTCCCGTAGTCGTTCTTGGCGCAATCTGCAAACGGCTGGAATGTCACATTCTTCATTTCTGCAGAATAGCTGTTGTCACCAACTGGGATGGAAAGCGACTGATCCTGAAAGTAGTAACACCCCAGCGGAATGGACTTTGGCAGGAAGTTATCGCTTGATCTTGAGCCAGTCTCTTCGACTATTTCTGTTTCTCCTCCTGGAGTTATGGTAATGAAAGAAAATTCACTGAGTGGATATTCTAAAAGGGAACAAGAAATCGGATGAGATTGGTGATGAGTGGGGTTCAATAGGAATTTGAATGGGAGTGGGAATGCAATTGGCATAGGAATGGGACATTGCAATCATTTTGGATGGGAATGGGAATGAGAATTGCGGTGGAATTGGGATGGATATAGGGGGATAGAAATTGGTATGGGATTGGGGTGAGGATGAGAATGGGGATGGGAGTGGGATGGAGAGGGGGATAGTGATGGTATGGCAATGGGAGATGGGGATGGGGATGGAATAGGGTGGGGATGGGGATGGGGTGGGATGGAGAGGGGGGATGGTGATGGTATGGGAATGGGAGATGGGGATGGGGATGGAATAGGGGTGGCAACGGGGATGGGGGTGGGATGATGCTATGGGAATGGGAGATGGGGATGGGGATGGGAGGGGGATGGGAGGGGGATGGGAGGGGGATGGAGAGGGGGGATGGTGATAGTATGGGATGGGAGATGGGGATGGAATAGGGGTGAGGATGGGGATGGGGGATGGGGTGGGATGAAGGGTGATGGTGATAGTATGGGAATGGGAGATGGGGATGGGGTTTGAGGGGGGATATGGGTGGGGATGGGACATGATGGGGATGGGAATGAGGATGCGGGAAATGGAAAAGATTTGGATAATGTGAGTACGAATGGATACACTTTGCACTTGGATTTGAGGAAGGAAGGTAGATTTTAATACCTGACCCAATTCCGTAGTAGTACCACTTAGCGGTGATGCTAGTGAAAACGAAGCCTTGGGACTGTTTTTGAAAAGTCAGTTGAAGTTGTTGAGGCGCGATAGTAGTGACGAATCCAATTGTTATGGTTCGCACGCTTTGCTTGCAGTTCGGCTTAGGGTCGATCAATACGGCATCTTGGAAGTAGGTGTTGTAATTGCTCTATAGATAAAAAAAAAAAGTATATATTCGAACCGTTCGTTGTTTAGAGGCAGCAGTGTAATTCCGTAAGTATTATGCGCGAACAGATTCGCCGATTAATTAGGCAAGACCCCGCCTCTTGACCTCCTAGATTTTGACCAAACAGTGGGCGCTATCTATATGAGGTCTTCGGTTATTCATCCGTTGCGCGTCATAGACAATGGATAAAAACAAATGTGTCGCGCGCTCTGTATCATGTTACGCGATATCGCGCCCGGCTGTTGTTGTATACTGACAAAACACTGCATTCGAATTGACCAATCAAACCATTTAGTCCTGATTTAGGAATGAAATGACGTCACGATTTAGTAAAGTCGACTCCGATTGGCTGGCGCGCGGTTTGCATTATCTGCATGTCTAGACATATCAGACGTTATACAGGAGACTTGCTCCGTGGATAACGGGTGATACTCAGACTAATTTCATAGGGGTGGTACCATCTTCAAATTTGGGCGCTGAATACGACCATCATGATCGAACAAATATCCCCTTACCACCGCTGGCTACGCCTCTGTGTCCGATTGTTGCTGACAGGCTGACATTATACGACATTATTAATTCTTAAACAAAGATTGAGCCAATAGCTAGAGCAATAGGGCGGTGTTCGTTGTCCCCCCCCCCCCCCCGCCCGGCCCCCGGAACAAAAATAATTGAAGACAAAGTAGTTACATTGGCATGATAGAGGATCAATCCATCAAACTTGATCTTCATGCAGACTTGCCCTTTGTCATCCTTGGCAACCCACTCCGTGGCTTCCCCGGAATTGACGCCTTGAACTCCTGTCAGAAATACAAATGGTAATTAAGACCTAGTTGAATTATTGTAGACGACTGTCGCAAAGTAAGGTCGAAAGAGGGGTACGTTGGTCAGCCACTGAATATAAGATTTCCTTACGGTCGACCGGTCCAAACTTGGGACTGATTTTGGAAATATTTCTAGAGATCAACCATTTGTGACCTTTGGCTTCTAACTCAGGGGATTTCGTTCACACAGATAAAACAACTTCTGGGTCTATTTCGCATAGAGGCTGGGGCTTTGGCCCTGGGCATAGAGATTGGCAAACATTTTAGGGGTGGTCCAGGGAGAGGAATGGTTAAGAAAGGGTGTGGCTATAGTACAATTAAGAAAACTGTTTCTGGAGATTGTAATCTTTAATTTCCAGTTAAAAAAACCCAGATGACCTGGAAAATGTTGGGCATCACCATCATGCATGTGTTGTAAGCGCTCCACTGGTAACTTCAATCTTCTTGGAGACGATTTAGAACCAGAAGCATCAACCTCACAATGGCATCACTCCCATCGTCAGTAAGCGGGTCCCGCTCGACCCATCTTCCCACAGAGTGCATAAAGAGGTCCACTATGTCGATTTGTAGACTGACTGTGAGCTCAAGTCTTCTTGTTTTGAAAGATTTTGTAGATTTGTCAGTAATGGCTTCAATTTGCATACTCCTATGTCACCGACACATGTAATCACTTCCAGAACAGTTTTATGGTAATCTTTGACCCTGAAAACATGGGTCAAGACACCTTATTTGTTGAGTTTTCTGCAATATTGGCTGAAATGCAGCAAAAAAGAAGATTTTTCGGTAATGGCGGCACTAATTTGCATAAAAATGATACATGGTACATTTTTCTCATTTTTTGGGGATAAAGTAAGTCGTTATTTACGTTACTTACCAACAAGGACAGCGAGTGAGAGAAGCAGAAGATTGGTGGAAGGTTGGTAGTACATAGTGACGTGTTTTGACTGTGTCTGTCCCGGGTTACGGTACTGAAAAAATGAGCTGCGCAGTAGGTTTTTATACCCTGTCCGTGCGCAGTGTGGATGGCATTATGGGTAACATCATGACATTCCCATGCAGCTATAGCGCGCAGCGTATAAACAGCCGTAGCGAGTTCGTGTGTGGCATTACGCCACAGGTCACGCAAAATCTGTCCGAGGCCCCTTGTTTGCTAACCGAATATCATTAACGACATAATGTCAAAAAAGCAGTAGTAGATATAAAATTTACATAACATCCAGCCAGAGGTGCGTTTTGTTTAAAGTGACTTTTGGAACAATCGAGAAAAAAATGGGAGACGTTGTTCCAAAGGTCACTTTGAACAAAAGGCCCTACTGGCTGGATGTTATCTCAATTTTATATCTAATAACCATCGTCATTATTTCATAAATAGCATGCGGTTTCAAAGAATAGGATCTGATGGTAGGTCTGCCTTTCATATTGGTTTATGGTATTTAGATATTGACAGTCTGACACAAACTTTATGGGGTTATTGTGCAATTTTCCAAGCGTTCACTACACTTTTGTCAATAATTTCCTGTTACCAAATTTTCTTCTAAGTTTCTTTTTTTGTTAATATTTTATTCGATACACGTGCAGACTTTTATTCACATTGCAGTCTCAGTTGCTTATGCTTAAGAGTTCGAGAACTTGTCTTTTATTTTTTAGCTGTCGGTTTTCTTTAGTAAATTGAAACGAAAGTGCAACCAAAACTGTCGAACGCCAATGGCGTTGTTGCCTTTGTCCATTTTGAAAGCCGTACTCTCGTTCCCTTTGTGCTTTGCACTTGAACAAGTCCCGCCTGTATAACGTCACGCGCATGACTCGGACTTTTTGAGGAGCCAACAGTTTTGAGTAGCTAGACGATCCGAAGAACAGTTGTTATCCTCCACGACACTAACTGTCAAGACAAGTCTTTACATCCAAATAATATTGCATTGTAGGTACGATGTTTTGTCTTAGACCGTAAGGTGATTTTAGTCGGTTGCAAATACTTGCACCGAAACCAATAATTTGTTGCTCTATTGTTTGTACTTGGCAATGTCATGGTTGCTTTAAAACATCAACGCCATTTTCGACACCCACTTGAGTTTTAGTTTAACCTGTGTCTACATATTCATTTATTTCATTCACGTTAACCATTCAACTGGGTGACTTTTGTCTGAGGAACGGAATTTGCCCAAATTAGGATCGTTGACGTCATTGCGTGACTAAGAAAATGAAAAAGACAAGTACGTGTTATCGTCTATTTACTTTGGTTCAATCATGAATTCCTCCTTGTTTCTTTGGTCCAATCAACTAGACCTGTACTTGTATAGATTACTGTTCTTAAGGGGTTCCTAATTGAGTTCACAGAAATGAGTTCTGGTTGGGACATAATTTTCTAATTGAGGTCACCGAAATAAGTCCTGGTGGGACATAATTTTAGTCGGGTACGTCGTCACATTTCATTCCAGCTCACCCGTTTGCGCAGTTCAACGAGTTGGGTATTGAGTAGAACTGAACGTAAAACAACATCCTAGATAACTTTGGGATGGGGTGGAGGGCAGGTGGGGGTTGGGGAACGCGTAGAGGGTTCGGTTCCTTGCTAAACAGAGAATCGAATATCTCGCGTAAAGACAAGATGTTTACTATTATTTTCTGTATCATTCATATGGAATAAAAGAGACGAGGCTAGTTCACAATTTAAAATACAAACGTATAGTATTGTGCTACTCATAATGGGCCGGACATTTTGCTATATACGCGTCAAAGCTATAACAACGTAATGCTAAACAAAACAGCAATTCAATTTTAAATAAAATGGTGCCACCCACATCCAAAACCACAAAACAAAGAAGTACAACTTCAAAATTAATGTCTTTGTTACTTTTAAAAGCAATTCTTAAACAGGTCTTATTTTTTTCGGGGGGGGGGGGGAGATGGAGCAGAAAGGTAGTTCATCACTGGAATATCTAATTATTCCTGACCCGCACAGGATTTATTTTTTAAGTTGAAAATACAACGCACTTTGCCATAAGTGCCGTTGTATCCAAAGTTCAACTGAAATCGATGACAATCGTCAAGAGTTGAACATTGTTTGCTGGTGACGTCATTGCCTTTAAAACGTTATCTGATGTCTGAGTTTGAAAGGCCGTAACCTACAAAAAAGATAAATGTGATACTGGGCCGTACTTGACTTGTTGTACACATGTTTGCGAAACTGTATTTGCAACTTACATCAAAACAGGTGCACACGGGGTAGCTTTCAGACAATTCGACGAGTCACTAGTGTTAAAACTGAAGTGATACTATTTGGAAATGATGCTCGGGCATAGATCAGTAAATTAAGCCTCCCACATGTGTACATGTGTATAAGAATCTTTCTTGTGGGATCGGGGTGGGGTGGGGGGGGGGGGGGGGGTGGGGGGTGGGGGAGGGGTGTTCAAAGCGGAGGATCTGACGGACATATTATTCGGTCACCTCAAAAGGTACCGTCGCGGCCGCCCCCAAAAGGAGGATATCCTTCCCGCCCAACACAAACATTGGAGTTTTGATATTTTTGGACGGCGTATTTACGGGCCTTAATTATTTATGGCTCAGGTAAAAGTGTCTGTAAATTGTTTTGAGCCTGGTTATTTCAACATCACGAGTGAACCTAGTTGGTACATTGAACGCTTCTTGAGATACAGCGTGATATATATCCTCAGAACGGCATGATTTTGGACCTTTTCCGTATTATCTGTGTTATCAGCCTCAGTCAAGTTTGCGCAACAAATCGATATATTTTTGGTAGAAGTTTGCTGAAAAAGTCGAAGACTGCAGACAAAAATGTAAAATAGTTATTGTAGAGTGATCAATTCTTCCCAATGATATAGGTCTATAAACGTATACATGTAGTTTGTAGACTTCACACTAGTCATGACTGTTATGTGTGATGATTTTTAATGGTAGACATAGCGCCCTCTACCTACGCATCAGCCAAGAAAGCTACTGTGTCAAGTGTGTTTATATGTTTGTGGTCAAGTCCCGTCCACTTTGTACAGCTCCCCCATCAGTGACATGACATCTAAGTCAGACCTTAATATCCAAGAAATAGCCGTGGCGGAACTCAACTTTTTCCGCGATACCCTTGCAAAAACAATTTCCCGACCTGAGTTTTTTTTTAGCCTCGAGTCTTCAATTTGCACATCTTTTGATATGAACAACCATGAAATTTGTGAAACAAAAATCGTTTTACTCACACTGTGAAAACTCTTTCAATTAACCCATTTTTTTCCCCTATGAATGATATCCTTGAGTGTTTTTCTTTATTTTGCGACACATAAACCTAACCCAAAAAATGCCTCTAAACCTGTATTCGAGAGAAGGAAAAAACTTGTGTGGTCGTGGGCAAGTTCACAATTCGCACAAACGTATGACAATAAAGCTTGTACACCGTGGCATCTATACTGCGCTCTGTATCTAACCTGGGTGCGTCCCTGCAAGTATCTTTTTATAGAGACTTTACTCCATGGTTAGGCCAAAAAATATAATAATAAGTCGGTCTCTGGTCAGCGCGCGCGTCGATTTCAATCATGCGCGTCAATCTTTTTTTTTCCAAAATGTTCCGCGGTAGCTCCAACAGCGCCCCCTATTGCCGCACCTCCTCAATTTTTTTTTTACCAAAGAGCACCAAGGAATGGGAAATTGCACCAAGGCAAATGATCGAGAGCACCAAGACAAATTATGGAGGACGCCAATGTTCATGAGGACACCAAAAAAGCAAAATAGTACCCCGCCTTGTCTGTACAATCCAAGCTTGAAGAAAAAAAAAAAGCAAAAAAAGAAAAAGAAAAGCGTCCCCGCGTCAATTCAGGAACTTTGGTCTGACCAGAGACCGAATATTTTTTTTTGGGGGGGGGGGGCCTTAGCATGGAACAACCATTTCCATACAGTGTAAGGAACAGAGTGGTACAACTTTCCCCTGGCCTTGACGTCCGGGCCGGAGGGACGTCAGCCAACGCACACGAACGATGGTGTCACGATAACAATGCAATAATACGTTCGTACCAACCAGTGACATTCAAGGCAGGGCCAGGAACAGGAAGTATCGGGTTACACAATTTGGTAGAAAAGTACGCACGAAGGAAGTGCGTGGGCAGTTTGGTGTCCTTTTCCTGCAGACGGGGTTTATAAACTCCTGCCATTGCCCACACGACTCACATCTGGTTGTTGGTTCCGTCATCACTACATCTCTGTTTTGTCAAAGAGGTTGTGTCACTCGCATCTCGTCAAGTATTAGCTCGATACTTGGTGACTTTTTAAGACGGCGAAGTGAGCAGAAATACATCATCAATGTTTCCCAAGAACACGATGACAACGACTGTAGCTATGCCGGAGAAACCGCCACTACAGGCACACAAAGACTCGGCTGTGCTGTACATGGTGGACGGAGACCAGGTAGGAGTTATGGAAAGTGTTATCGCATGTCGAGTCCATCACAAGTCCTCACAAGTCGGTCCTCATAATGTTCATCATGTCCTCACAATTACGTCCATGCCTAAAAGTCCCCAAGACAGTCGAGTGACCAAAGTCATCCCTTTATTGTGAAGTTGTGACCGGATTTTTTTCTTGTACCTTTATTCTTTATGCCATTATGTTTTTTTTTTTTACACAGGTTGATGCTGGCAACGACAGCAGATGGCAGATCAAACGGGCCAAGATCTGCGCATGCACCGTTGTCATAACAACCCTGATCCTGGTAGCCGGAACATTGGGTGCAATTTATATTGTCCTCCGGTCGCAGCAGGACACCAGCGAGGCTACCACCGTCTACAAGGAGCCCCTCCTCGGCAATGATTCCCCTCTGGAGGAGCCTATCAACAAAATCCCCAGAATCAAGATCGATGATGGCGGACTCTGGCCTCCCAAGAACCCAGTGACCCCTGACCTCGTGGCTGTAGATGGCATGGGAACGGTTTCCCTTTCCTCGAGCCCAAAACCAGTCACCGATGGAATTGACATCGATCCCGAAGGAAACACAATCTTTGAACCCGTCGTTGTTTCTTCTTCTTCCTCTGATGATGTCGACTCCTCCTCCGACTCGATACCGTATCATGAGAGGTCTTACGTCAGACGAACCTACGTCAGCTCCTCCTTCCCATTCGATGGTTTCTACATGCGTGGCGAAGAAGGGGACCCGCCACCATCTCATAGCGAGGATTCCTCACCAGATCCCACATCTGAAGCTTCTGGAGACATGGACAGTGATCTTGAGGGTTCCGCTGAACCTGATGATTCTGAAATCCCATCTGATTCAGACAATAGCTCGAGCAGCGACCCTAGTAGTAGCAGCTTCTCGGATCCCTACGTAGTATCCGAATAACATCATTTTGGGACTCATTTTAACTGACTGCTTTAATCTCATTAAAATGTCGTGAATTTCTGTAACAACGAATCTCTTGTACAACAATTGTTTATTGTGTGGTGTAAAACAGTTGCATCTTATAAAAATATTACTGCTTCTTTAGGAAAATTCCATCTTTACCACGAAGCGGTATTTGCATCTTCCTATTTTCGGCCCAAGGTTAAAGATTTTCAAATTCTAGCTGAACATTCCTGATGACTTGAAGTTACATGACATAAACAGATGCACTATTAGTAATCACATCATGACATCAATCGCGGAGAAGTTTTTAACGAATTTCGTAACTCAAGATATACCTTAAGTGTAAAATTGTAATAAACTTACTTAAGATGCAAGTCGGACATTTTGGCATCTTGATTTTTTTTCTGCCGACGCGGACACCTCGCTATTTTCTTGCACTAAATATAGACGTACTTATAAACATAATCTGCTGAGATTTTCCAGATCGAGAATGGGGTTTTGTTCACTTCAGTGAAGTCCACGGAACCGAGGCACCGAATTGTTTCCTCAATTTAGTTCCTATATGCTATTGCATGCTAATTTTATATATTCTTATAAATATAATGTGTGTGATAAGCCTAAAAAAGATGACTATAGTTTGAGTCTTCTTCCATTTTGTAGAGTCAAGTTATACAATAATCTTGAAGTTCTTCTTGTTCGTTTCTTGGGCCACACAATATAGACTACAGTCACAATACAGTACTGTGAAACTATTCTTTCTTTGTTTCCAAATGAGTCAACTTTCTTTGCTCATTGTTCAGAGACTTGAGTGTAAATAAAACTTTTTATAAATATAAATATATTGCAATGTTTGAATTTTACTCGAATGTGTTTTATTACAACACGACATTAATATGATTTTTCCCTCTTTTTTCAACATTCATATGTCAGTTTCGTTGGTTTCGTTCAAAAAAGGGAGTTGTATAAAACGAAAGTGGTTGTGTAGAAGAAAGTTGAAACAACGACTCAAAATAAAGGCCTTTGTCTTCTTGAAGTATAGCCTTGTGACGTAGTAATGACGTGGTTGTTTGATAGCCTTGCCGGGGGAGAAATCGTCACATCTTCTTCTTTAGAAACGTTATCTGGGATATACTTGGTTGCAATTGCTTGTGACGTAGCAATGACGTTAGTTTTCGATCATCCTTGCTTTGGGAATTTCTCGACAGCTGTGCAAATTCCGTGATCTATATGCACACACAGTGTGGGTATAATGTGACCCCTTCACGACCCCTGTTTTGATGACCTTAGTTCACAGTAAGGAATGTCAAGAATGCACCTGTTTGATCAAGTTGTCACAGCATGAACTCTTAGATATTATGTTTCTAATAAGAAATAATACGGACTCCGCGTTGGTACTATATATATGCGGTTAAATCGAGAGGGTCACAAGTCATCAATAACTAAAAGGGAAGATGAGTCCGATTTTCAATTCTGATTTATTACGACACCGAAAAGTGCGCGAGATTATATAGCTCCATATGTCGAAACTAATAACTCCCCGATAACTTATCGAGTTTTATAGCAGCCATATAGAAACTGGTCTGAGTGGTCCATCTCTTTCCAACACTGTGCTCGACAGGGACAGTTGGGCCCAACTCATCAAGTCATCATGAAAATGAATGAATGAAGAAGAAGATATTTGCAATACAAAAAAAATCTAAGCGTGGATTTAGTGGTGCGGCTGACCTAACACTTTATACATCACTGCAAGAAATCCTGAATTCAAAATTGTTGCTTCACTGCCTCACTGCAGATATAATTATGATCTTTAAAGTTCATGTAGACTTCGACAAATGTTAAATGTTTTGGTTGTGATAAGTAAACTTGCCGAGCATTATTATGAAACCATTGAGACAGGAATTCAATGCAACGTGATAGCTAGCTTAGGAAGTGTGCCTCTCCGGTTTAGATGCTATGTCGCTATTAAGCACGTAATATCCAACAATAATATTATGGGAAACCTTGAGCCCGCGCCGTCGTCGAGTTGTACCAAACATCCGTCATCGCATATTGTTTCAATTTCCTGCAGGTCATGAAACTTTATGGTTGCTTGATGAAAATACTCAAAAAACGAGGATATCGGCGAGGACATAATATATAACAGAACATTTTTACCTTCAATTATTGATTGAAGACCGGCACTTCGAATTCAGTGAAGGAGGGTGGGGAGAAAGGAACGGCCGGGGAGGGGCATAATTCTGTGAGATATGGAAAAGGAGGGCGCTTTAAAGTGGATATATATCCTCCATGAACTACTAGAGTCCCCCACATCTAAAAAAACAAACAAACAAAAAACCGAATAGTATGCCAACGAAGTCCTAATTTATCATTTCTACCCAAAATAACGGCATAGACGCAAGCAGGAACTCGGACGGCCGGAGCGTGCGCGCGACTGTTGATTCGAGAGGGCGCCACCAATAATGTTTCTGCCGCGAAAAATGGATCGGCGGCGGGAAGAAATGCTTTCTATGACTCTTTCATGTTTACACATAAAAATGTTTTCAAACAAAGCAAGTTAATGAAATCTTTATCAAACTTTGAATTGGTCAGATGAGTTACAGTCCAACGTAGCACAAAATTAGAGAAAGAGCGTTTAAACTTTGTTTCAAGAATTGTATTGGAAGTGCAACATGACACAAAATAACTGGTAGAATTAAGAATCGACATGAAACAGCCGTTAGATTTGTTAGATTCAAAATGGCGGAGCCCAGCAGCTTTCACGAGGTGACGCTTTTGCGGGGTGAATTTCCTCGTTTTAAGGAGCTCACAGTCAGCACAGGTTTGATATTTGTTTATGAATTTGTGAGTAGGCGAGTCAGTGTGGTAATGACTATATTTTAGGAAAGAATGATACACAAAACTACCAAAAAACTGGATGTTTGAGTTGTTCGTTTCAAGTCCAACAACGCACACAGTCACAGACACAGTCATGACAGTGACACAGTGGTGCACTAGGCCTACACACTAGTCAGCTAGTGACAGGGCCGGACGGGTAACCGATTGGCCAAATTCTGTACTAGATCATAGATGCACAGCGAAAATCTGCTAGATTTTTATCACCTTTTATCATTTTTGCCTATTATTACACGAAATACATTGTAAACACTAGTAATACTCACACATGCAGTTGTTATATAAAATTTCCTTAAAAAGTTAAACAAAACAAAAATCATAAAATTTCCTTTAAAAAATGAAATATTATTTTTTTGAATTTGCTACGCGGCGCTAGTTTAGGGTCTTTGGTGTCTAACCTCACTTGCAATGTTCTAAAGTATTTTAACCCTAACTGCCCTGAATCCTCCAAAATCCTTTTGGCAAATTGGAGGAATTTGCAGGATTGAGGTTACATGGCAAAAGTGCGTTGCTGATTTCGGAGTACGCACTGTGTCAAGGTCTTGGGCCGGACCTGTTGTTTATGCTCATCCGTGCATAAATTTAGTCCTTGATTATACTTGACAAACTCCGTACTGCTTCAGGATGTCACTGCCTCTGCCTCAACCTATTGACAGTCATAGCCGGAGGATTTTGCAGGATTCAGACAGTGGTCACCCCTCCATGGACCATATTCAAGAAATAACGGAGGAATTTGCAGGATTGAGGCTATAAGCTATTTTTCCATGGGGCCAATTGGAGGATTTTGCAGGATTGAGGCTACATCCTAGCAAAAAGGCCTAGGGAGTTGGGCTTAATGTGTACAACACATCAGGGAACCTCAAATTGATGCTTTTCAAAATTAGACAGCTCTATATTTTTCAAATCTGCCATATTTTTCTGTCAAACCACCAACCTTACAGAATTCTGCTAGAAATCTGCTAAAAAAAATTCATTCTGCCAAATTTTTTGTCAAACTCATTTTTTCCCCAAAAAAATTCTGTCAAATTTATCCGAAATTGGGCTAAAACAGTCACCCTGGTGACAGTCATGACTCATGCAGTTAGTTACAAAAAACCAGTGTGGTGTTACTTAGTCTGCTAAAAAAAGGGACTAAACTATGCCTAATGGACCGATCCAGTAAGCACCGCCCCATGAGATTTATGTCCGACGTGCTTGCACAAAAGTCCGACATGTGTGCACGCGCGTATGATGCGCGCGGAAGGAAAATGCAGCGTGGCATTGGAGAGGAGCACGTGTTAATTTGCCCGGTGTGCAGTGGGCGGGGCTTACTGGATCGGTCCATTGACCTATCGCCGTTTGCGAGTTAGGCAAAATAAAAAAACAAACATGTTTAGCGTCCTGCCTCTGACAAAAAGGAAGGAGGAGGCCTCCTTTTTTTCAAAATGGCCGCCCGACACATTTTTCAAGACAACGCGGCCGGGCTATTTTTCAAGATGGTTACCAGCTTTTTTCAAAATGGCCGCCACTTGGACTCAGGAAATGACATATTGGCTTCTTATGGGCAAGATGCAACAGAAAATGAGACCAAAATGATGTAACTATGCAGAACCGAACATCTCTTCTGCGCAGAGATCGTTAAAATTTATCAATTTTTGTCTTTTAAAAAAAAAAAAAAAAAAAAAAAAAGGAGGTGGCCTCTAAAAAGGAAGCGGGCGGGGACGCTAAACATGTTTTTTTTTTACTTCGCCTTAGCCACGCCCCTTTGAAAACCCTATGGAGTTTTTGTACACTACATTTTGTTTGTCTCAGATTTTGCACATTTTGCGTCCATACCATGTAGTTGGACAATATTTCACAACTTGTGCTGATGCGATTCCACCGTGATGGGTCAATTGTCCACATGAATGATGAGGTCGTAATATGACGATAAAATCATGCATGTCATAGTCATAAGAATGCAATGCGATGATGGAAGATATCCTACTAGTCTCTTAGTAAACATGGTAAAGACGCGAAAGACACAAGTCTGAAAATAATTTAGATCATGTGTTGATAGAATTAAAAATGTGCCTTATTATTTAATGCTCAAACCAATATTTCGACTAAAAATCTTAAGTGGGTTGGCATCTAAATTTTGTTTTCTTCACCAGTTCATTGTTATGATTGTAAACTATACATGCTAAGACTCTGTGCAGAAATTACAGTTAATAATTAATTGTATATATAAACAGGTGCATCGCAAGGTGTATTGCAAGATGTGAACCTTCCTGACTGTGCTGGAGGCTATGCATATCGAGACAGTGGAAGAGTAGCTTCAGTCACCCGTAATCGATTTATTTATTGGTAATTATCAGATGTTATCTGACGATCCAACTACAGATTTACCAGGTTTTTTTTTGGCGGGGGGGGGGGGGGGGGGGGGGGGGGGGCGGTGTGAGGGGCCAGAGTAATGATGTGCAATGGTCTATCTTTTGAGGAAGTCACTCCCATCTGTTTCCAAATGTTGAATCTAAGAAAAAATGTGGTTCAGTGCGAATCTTTAACATCAATTCTTATTTTAATAAGCTCTTTTTAAATTTTCGACAAGCGCAGGTACGTGCAAATTATACCTGCACAAATCCCGCTTGGTCAGTTTTAGGCTGGCACATGTTAAACTTGATCAGCACATTTCAAATATTAGCATATTCAATCGAGTCCAAGTTCGATTAGAGTAGTAATTCTTAATTATTTCAAAATGGACATTCTTCTGATTTTCATGAAAGTGTCTGTTCATGATCACTGCAGGAGGTCGTCAAGGGATATCCTGGAATTCCATGAGGTATCTTTAGATCACAACCTGACGGGGAACGCTGTTAGTCTTCTACTCCAGGATGCACCGATCCTGCCTCGCATCACGCTACATGAGACACACTCACACGTCATCATTCTTATAGCAACCATCAACAGTGTTCATCGACTGATATTACCTCATCCCAATCGTCTGCCCAGAAATGTGAGTAGCTGTGTGAGGGATGTGATCGAGATCCATCACAAGTCTCTGCATTGAGAGAGTGCATTGGCATGCACAACTGACTTGCAATAAACTACACCAAGAGTAGTGTTAACGTTCCATTACACTCTTCTTTTTCAGGACGTGTATTCTCACCATGCGTCTCTTCCTTCCATCTTTGCGGATGTCTCCATTGCTAGTATCCGTGACACCACCAACTTCCACGTCATTGGCCAAGGAGGCTCAGCTACCTACGAGTTTCAGACGAGTTCTTCCTGGCTGACTAGTGAAGGAGAAGCCATGTTTGCTTTGGCTACTAACGCTGGGAGCGTCGTGGTAGTGAAGCTGCCTCCTATTGGCATACAAGGTGAAGCAGATTGCAAGGAAAAAATTTGAGATTGGTTTGTTGGGGGGAATTTTGAATCTTGATTCTAATGGGAACAGCTTGGGAATGCAAGATGTTCTGTTTGACCCCATTAAGTAACTAAAGAGGGCGCTGTGTGCTCTTAACATGGCTGCCTTCCACTGCCAGTGTATGGCCCAGAGGTAACACAGTATGGTGCAAACCTATTGCCTCTGCACTGAAGAACGTAGCTCATCAAAATTACAAACTTCAGCTCCACATTTTTCATGTCCCTGTTACACCTGATATCTACAATTTCCTAATTCTGATACACTCCTTAATGAAGGCGTCATCCAAGAGTGATTATGAATAGCAAACTACCTACCCAGTTGAAGTCATTCTTAATTTGAACGGCAAAAAAACCCAAAGTACCAAGGTAACAGGGACCAGAAAATGTCACACTTTGGACCTTCAATATATAGAATGACCCACATTTGCCGTGAGAGTGCTCCTTGAGGACAATAATAAATAACCCTGGTGGTTTAATTCTTTGCTCTAGGTATCGTCACCCAGCATGAGTTGAAGCAAGCTACTGTGATGCAGCGGTTGTGGACAGGGCTAGTACCTGCTGCAATGAGGTGAAATAAACATTGCATTCCTCATAGTCTGTGTCTCAGTAATCTAAAGCATCTGCTAGCTAAGATTAAGAACACAAGCTTCTCATTAGATGTACTCTAAGACGGGCAATACCTCAAGAAGGGCAAATGTTCTCTTATATGTAGGTTAATATCAATGTGCTGAAAATTTCACTTAAGATTATCTCCTCCTCCCACCATTTTGAACTATAATGATGAGTTTGACTCTTTCCTGGAACTTTCATCTGACTTTTCCCCTAGTTATAAAAGAATAGGATTCTGTAGCCATTATGAAGTCTCACCCTTTTGAACTTTGACCTGTTGGATACTTCATTTCTTGAACTCTAATGTTTTGCTACCTAATACTAGGAGAGGCCAGGAATCAATGGAATCTGCCACCAGTTCGACCCTTCACCCTCTGAACCATGACCTCGTTGAACTTTGACCTTTTTCTTCCTCTATACAGGAGAGGCCAGGAATCAATGGAATCTGCCACCAGTTTGACCCTTCACCCTTTGAACTATGACCTCTTTGCCTTCTGTGCCTGTAAGGATCATAAGCTGAGAATGTGGTCGTGCAAGGTATGCAGGGAGACAGACAGTAGGACTTGCTCATGATAATAAGTTACTTAATAATGTAATAATGTACTTAATGAAACAGAACTGTTCTCATTTTTTCATAAGGTCCTTTATAATTTTTTGTGAGTGTTCAATGGACATATAGTTTTAGTAAACCTTGCAGATTGTAATTAATTTTGTTCTTCTGCATGTTTTTTTATGTGTGATTCTTCAGATAAACCTTTAGTCACCATCCTACCTATTACTCACTGTGGCGCCTGAAACTGCCAGAGCACACTATGGTTTTATTGATGCTTCAGTGAATAAACACAATGTAATACAATGTAATACAATGTAGTACATGTGCCAATGGGTTCAATCAGATTACATGTATTATGATGTGTTCTCCTCTCAGAGCCAATCTTGCGTGTTGACTGTTGATGTCTTGGATTACATCTCAAGCTCCTCCGGCCTAACTGACCAGCCGGCCACTAGGCATGAGATACAGACTGCACTGGGTAGTGACCAACGGACGCTAGTCCTTGGCATCTACTTGAGCTTTACTACACAAAGCCAGGTATGCAAAGGGGGCTTGCTTGTCTCATCCAGAAAATGGCATCTGTCTTTAAGGAGCCAATTCGAAAGGAATTTTGGTTTTACTCTCATTCTCAAAAAATAAAATAACCTATTAAACTTCCTGCTGTTTGAACAGTCACAGACAGTCAAAAAAATTAATCCTCTTCCCCTGCCATGCCTTTTACACAGGCTTGTCAAAAACAGTCCGTTCATGTTTCAAGCAAGCACTGTGACTAGTCAAATTCAGTCAACAGACAGAAGCAGGCAGGAAGTAGAGATAACTGGCTTATCAATCACCTACAGTCAAAGCATAGCTGTTTCAAGCTACATAAACAGTCACAGCCAGTCAATCCTATTTTATGTAGGCTGGAAGCTCTTCTGTTGAAAACAGTAACTTTGATTTATTTTGACTAAAAGGCCAACTTGGCACGGAATGTATGTTTGCTTAGGATTGGGAATTTTTCTGTATGGTTTAGTGCCTGACTCTCTGCTATTTTACATCCACAGTTTCTAGTACTACAGCCCGTTCTCCAGGACGGTCAGTACAGACTCATTGAGGTAGCTCTACTCAATGACGACCGACGAAACACGCTGGTGGACTTTGGGCTGAACCTGTCCACCCTCTGGGCAGTATGGAACAGTCCAACCGGGGAGACACTGGTCAAGTTCACTACATATGAGGGGTGAGATGGCTTGATATTTCAGACAGCCGAACTGTCATTTTACTTTTCCTAACCCCTAATTACAATAGAGCAGTCCTTTTGGAGACTGGTCAAGTTCACTACATATGAGGGGTGAGATGGCTTGATATTTCAGACAGCCGAACTGTCATTTTACTTTTCCTAACCCCTAATTACAATAGAGCAGTCCTTTTGGAGACTGGTCAAGTTCACTACATATGAGGGGTGAATTGTACATTTGATATAGCCAGGTTTTCATGCATATGTTTCTGTCCCTTTAATTAATGGAACAGTCCCTTCTCGATGGTCAAATTCATTGATTGTGAGGGGTGATTTCATGAAAATGGAAAAGTCCATGAAAATAGATAAAAAAAAGTAAATTTGAGCTGATTTTATGGTCACAGTTTTCCAAGACGTTTATTTACTTGACGCTATATATTGAGCTATAATCAAGGTTTTAATGTTTAATTTCTGTTTTTAGAAATTCAATTGGTGAGCGTGCATGGAACAGTGTCTTCATGGAACCAATCCCCACTCCAGATGTTATGGTTCCTCCGTTCCTAGAACCAAGAGTAAGTAGGATGTCAAAGTTCCTGTGGTTGTGACCGGTTTCTTAGAATCTAGGGCGAGCACTCGGATGTTGCAATTGATGTAGCTTTCCCTGGAGCAATATAAGGAAACTTTGATTCAGTTTTTCAAGAACCAAAGTAGGAAGTTTGTGATGCATTTGATGCCATTCACCCTTTGTAAAGTTCCATGAAATTTCACCTGATTTCAAGTTCAACAAAATCTCTGTGATGGTACAATTGACAGTGCAGGGCATTTATGAAGGTAATAAACAACATTTACAAACATCAAAAAAACAAAACTACCAAATTATTATGAAATACTTTACTTGACTGTAAGTGAATAATAGTTGCAAGCATTCTGTAAAATCATGGCACTTGGTGTGTTGTCATTTTCAAGAAAAGTGGAATTTTTGAATCAATCTCCAACGATGGTCATCTGAACCATCATTGAAAAAAACTATTTTTTTCTTTTTCAACCACTGCCCCCAATTAACCAAATTTAGTTATTCAACATTTTGTTTGCAATCGGTAAAACATAAAAAAAAAAAAAAATTCCTTTTTGAATATTTCATCTTTTCTCTCTTTATCTTACCAGGAAGCATACCTTGATATCATTTTCCACCCCGGGCGCTTCTCTATGCAGTCAGTGTCCAGAGCTCTGAATGTAAGCATTTTGCCTGAAATCTTGAAAATTGTTTTAATACTCGGCGTTCCTTGCACCAGATTATCATTTGTGACATCTAGTTAACCAGTGAAGACTAGAGCCCTTTTCACACTAGATCCTCTCAACCCAGGTTGAACTCAACCCTGGGCCAACTCAGTGCCATCCAAGGTTGAGTTTTATATTTGTCAACCCCACATTTAACCTGCATCATTTCACGCTTTTGTGCAAACTGAGCTTGTTACGCTCAGTTACGACCGTTTTGAGCACTGGCGGGAGTCGCAACCCGGGTTGAAAATCTCAACCCTGGTGTGGAGCAGGGTTGTGTTCAACCTTGGGCGTAATCAATCTCAGGGTTGGCGCAGGGTTGATGCAGGGTTGAAAATGTTCACGTGTGAAACGCTGCATGTTTTCAACCCCGAGATTTGTCTAGTGTGAAAAGGCCTATAGGTTTTTTGTTTGCTCTGTCTTCGTATCATTCTAAACTGACTGTCAACACTGATTGAGATATGTTGTTTATTGAAGTTAAGACAGAAAAGAAAAATGTACTTTACATTGTTATAAAGTAATGCTTAAAGTGACCAGAAATGCCTCACAAATTGTCTTTACAGATTTACAGTCGATCCAGCGGCTCAGCCTACACCTCCTTGACTGATCTCGCCCTCCAAACCCCAGACCTCCTGCGTGAGGAGGTCACTGCCGTCATAGAGGCGGAGTTACAGCAGAAAGTGGGCGGTAGCGAGATGTCTCAGGAGGAATACCGAGACGTGTTGGAGCAGAGCTGGTCCAGATTCTATACATGCTGTGTGCAGTATCATGAGGTATGAGGTCAGGGGTCAAATGTTAAGATGGGTCAAGGGTCAAATGTGTTATGTCATGTTCACTGACCATCAGTCAGTAAAAACAGCAGTACGTATAAACAACACAATTTCATATCTTACCAGACACACGGACACAAATTCTGTATTTCTACAAAGATTCAGAAAAACTCTGCCTCAGATGAGTTGAAAATTTTGTTTCCCTGTGTTTTAATTCAACGTTTGTTTTTGTTTCATTTCAGGTTGCTAGTAAGCCACTAGGAATAATGTTGGATCCAAGTACAGGGATGGTGTGCCTTGTGAAAAAGGTTTGCAAAGATTTTTGTTTCTTGTCTTTAATGTTCATCCTTAAAAAAGTTCAATTTTTGGCATTGCAGATTTGGATGGAAGCAAACATCTCCCATCTATCGGGTCCCCAGGTGGCGGATAGGGGCACGGCCTCCAGATATGGAGGTTAGCGCCCAAAACCACCCGAGCGCTCTAACGTTTTATTGATTTTCAGTGAATAAATACAATGTAATATAGCGAAGTCAGCAAAGTGCTAATGGGATAAAGACACATTTGGTAATTATGTTTTAAGTCCATAATGTGAGTGGCTTTTATGCAATTTTGTCAAATTCTGCTTTGACGTCAATTTTGTTTACGTTTTTAGAACCTTCTGTCTGTTCTGAGACCATGTGATGCTGTGGAGCATCTCTATCTGGCGCCCTCTAGAGGTGTTAGCCTGCAAGATTTTGAAGGCGTCCCATTCGTCATAGCAGGTATAAAATCCTCTCAATTTTAATTCTTAACCACCAACCCCCCCCCAAAAAAAATGCAAATGTTGGTATTTTATATAATTTTGCCATAGTAGGAACTTAAAGGATAAAAATACAGGCTTTTCAGTATTTCAAGTATTCCTACTTTTCCTAGTTTTTTCTTGAAATTCCTTCATTTTCCTACTTGGGTTTTGTCTCACAACTCCAAAAAATGAAATCTCATTAAAAAAATTTCATAGCAGTGTTACACACTGTCATGTATGTGAATCACACAATGAAGGGCTTGGGCGCAGGAGTACTGCAACTGTACTTCCAAGAGCTTAGTTGAGGATGGAGCACAAGTGTTGTGAGTACAGAACATGCCAAATGAGGCTTATGATGCTGTGGACATGGGTGAGTGTCAACGAAAACTACTCCTGAAAGCCGCAAAAGGTCTACTTTATCCTGATTTGTTCTCCAAAGTCCTACTTTTGTCCTTTGTTTTAATTTTGATCCTACTACTCTCCTATTTTTTCACCTGGGACTGCATGAAATAGCTGGCAAAACCTGAAAAACATAGCTGGTATAATTTGTCATAATTGAACGACAAATTGCCTGAAATGATTCAAGAGGGAAACTGTTCTCTCTTGCTGAACAGACAAGACCCTTTGTCGTGATCTGATAACACTGAGTGACTGTGTGAAGATGATATCGCAGACGTTGAGCCTAGAAATCAAGATGTCATTTGAGCATGACGTGTCTCAGCTGGAGAAACCTGACGTGATTGCACAACAGATAGCTGGAGATCTGCTGGGGTAAGACATGATCACAGAGAATTATTTTTCCCAACCAGACATAAATGCATCCCTGAGAAATTCAGATTTAAGAGACAATACATCCTGGACAGTGCCTAACTGGGCTACAGAACATATTTTAAACAAAATGATATTAATTGGAGAGAGCATTTAAAAGTTGGATATAAACTTAAAGGGAATGTACATCATTGGCTTTTGCTTTAATTTTCAGAAATGAACTATTTGAGGGGTTAGTATAATAGATCAAATATTGTTTAAGTGACATGTTTGAAGTTTTGTGTTTGAAAATGCTTGAAAACCAAAAAAAAAAATTGTTTATGTAGTCTGGTTTCCTGACTCCACTAAAGATAAAATGGATCAATTTATAGATGTCGGAAAATTGTAAGGTAAGGGAACCAGCCTAGCTGGCCTGCACCCATTTATGAACATGTAACCAATAGCAAACAAAATTTGGACGGAAAAAATTGTAAATTTGGAGCAGTAGTTGAAAAATAGTTAGGTTTTTCCAACGGTGGTCGGCCGACCACCGTTGGAAATGTATACAAAAATACCATTTTCTTGAAAATGACTTGACACCAGGTGCCATAATTTACAGGATGCTTTAGACTGACATTTACCAACATCCTAGTAGGGTATTTCGTACAAACTTGATAGTTTTATTTTTGATGTTTGCAAATGTTGTATTTTCCCTTTAAAACAACTATCCTTGAAAGGTGGGTGTTTTTGTGTTGCTCTTGCGTGAATGCATTTTGGGGTCCCATTTTTTAAAAATTACATTGCAATCCATCGTCAAGTAATTTGGCTGCGGTCTCATTACGCAATTTCCTCCTGTTTTTTTTCTTAGTGAGACAATGGACAGTCCTCAGCTCCCATCCATCACCTTTGTCCAGCGACTGACCAGTCGACTACAGTCCCTCCAGGACCCGATAAGAGCTGTATTGACCCTCCTGAACGCCATGGATCTAGCAGAGGGTGACCCTATGTCACTAATGCTGGATGATGGAGGTAAAGACAATAATCCCAAGTCTTTGACTCGCGTTTGTCTAGCATCATCCATTTTGCAATTTAGGGTTTGGTTATTCACGGCATGGAGAAGTGTGGCCTAGTGGTTTGGGTTTGTGACTTGTGAGCAGAGGGCCAGGGGTTCGAATCCAGCTGCTGGACATATGTTGTGTCATAGAAAAGTGTTCTGTTTAGCAGGTTTGTGAAATTAGACCCTATTCAGCCAGACTCCTATTTAGCTCATTCTGTTGTTGATTATCTTGTTCTGACTTTAGTCAACGATGCTATGGAGCATCTATCAACCAGCCAACTCTTCACAAGCTCCCAAGGTGTGGCTGTCCTTGCCGCTAGCTTCATCCAGATGTCTTATACCAGATACCAGCTGCTGAGGGACTTACTCATCTTAGAGTGTGCCATGGTGAAACTGGGAGATCAGGTGAGTAAATCAAATTGCTTATTTTTAATTTTTTTTATATATTCGGACAATAATCAAAAATCTATTTAAAACAAAATGTCCTGGTCTAGACAAAAGTTTGTAAAAACTGTCATCAAAGATGTGTCAGACCAAAAATGGAAGCTTTGAGTTGTATACGCCCCAGGGAGCTGAGATTGTCTTTGGAATGTTTCATGAGTCCAGTGAGCATGGTAATAATGATGTAGCGCCTTGAGCACACTAACGGTGCGTACGTACACTTCATAAAAACTCATTATCAATGTTATTCTCGATCTTAGCTGTTTTTTTGATGGATGATGTTGCTTTCTTCTCACAGGCTTCTCTCTCCGCCGATGCTCTTGATGACTTGGATTCTGACATCATTTCTGAGACTGCATCTTGTCTCCTAGCTTACTACTCCCTGTACTGGGTCGGTAACTGCCTGGCCAGCACTGTCCCCACCAACTCACTGTAAGTTTGAAAGATTCACAGAGTGCATCTGAGTCTCTGTATCCCCGTAGCAATTACACAGAGAAAGATAAGGTCCTCAAATGGATTGGTGCCATACATCTTGCAGCCGTGAAAAGACAATAAGGCAGTTGGGTGTTCCAACTGCACATGTGCACATCCAGAGAGGATGATATTCATTTCAGGATAAACAATTCTCCGTAGGCATGTGAAGTCATGTTGAGTGTCAGCAAATGTAAAGATACTCAAAATTAAAGATTTTCAGAAGTGAGCATAACATTTCAGAAAGTTTGGTCAGTTTGTGCGAACGAACATTTCCATCACTTTGTTCATATTTAGATGGAAGTTTTAATCGTGTGTACTTCACATCATATGCATGTGAACCTGTGCCCAGACACAATACATCCCTCTGAGGGTCAGAAAGCGCCCTCTCTTGTTCATGCAGTGTCCATTGTAATATCCCCGTCTGAATGTTAATCCCCAGGGAGGCCAACTTGAGACAACTAGCAGCGCTGGAGATCTCAGACAGTACAGCAGGCCTTGCCTTATCCCTGACCCAGACCAGGTCATCTGACAAGACCCTGACTCCAACGCTAGCTGAGCTATTCCTGGATGGGGTCGGTGGGTCACAGATGAGGTCAAAGGTCACCAAGGCTGGATACATGAAGAAGAATGAATGTGAGACGTGGACGGAGGTGTTACAGCCTTGTGTTGTTTCATTGGCACAGATGATGTATCCTTGAGAAATTATTGCCAAGATCAAGGAATTTTCCAAATCCCACCTTCGTTTCCCGCTTCGGGAGAGAAAACAAAAATCTGTAAAAAATATATAAACAGAGATGCTTCAACCAGTAAACCGCAGAGGATGCGTAACATGATCTTGCAATGTCACGGATGATAAGTTAACTCGTCAAGCTTTCTCTGAGTCTCCTTGCAAAGCTTTAAGTCGTTTCAGGAAACAAAGTCATGACCCGGTCTCCAATTTTGACCACTGAAGATTTGATTTCTGTTGCTTTATACATTATTCCTGCCTTGCATAATCTGACTAGTGTTTATTATTCAGTCGGCTGCCCACTTTTTTCCTTGACTCCGCCCATCCGCCCAGCTGGCCAATCAGTGGCAGTTTTCTCTTCCCAGAATTCCTCATGGGCAAGTGTCAGTACACCCAGCTGCAGGTCAGGCTTAAAAAAGATTTTTTAAATTTTTTTTTACACAATATTTTTAGCTGCTGCTTTATTTTTTTTCTACAGTTGGCACAATTCATAGTGATATGAGATGGCCTGGTTGGAACATCTTGTATACCTTGTTTAGTTTAATAGTATCATTCTGAAATGTCTAAATTCTAATTCTAAATAGAGTGTCCTGCTACTTTCCATTTGAGATGCTGCTTGCACCTTATTGGTTTTAGGATTTTTTTTGTTGAATATGACCTCAACTCCCAAACTGTAATTAATGCCAACTAGCATCAGCTTTTGCCAGCCAATGTGATAGCTGTTTTAAACTCAATTAACTGTCTCTCTGTGGTGCAGGAGTACATCCGATTGTTGAATCCCTGGTGCGATTGGAACATCTCATCTCGTCACTTCCTTCTTGGCCACTGTCTTCTGAATTCTGGCGAGCCTCGTAAGGCGCTGACCTGCTTCTTGAAGGCGTCTCATCGCATCGCTAATGAGGATTTCCTCCTGAATAAACTACTGCTAACAGAAGAACTGGAGGGGAAGAAGCTGGATATTCTCTACTATCTAAAGGTCAGCTTGGTGATGATGGTTGCGGTGTAGTGTTCCAGATTTGTGTAGTATCTGTGGTGTTTACAGATACTTATTTGTGAGGCGTTCTAGCAAAAAAATGAGATAAAGTTTGGCACAAGCTGTATCAGAGACAAATGAAAAAAAAGCAAAGTGCTGTGATTTTGTTCCCGATTTGCAGCATGATTCACCGGTATAAAAATTATTATTTGATATGTCTACTAACATTTTTAAAGAAATAGTCTAAAAATTGTGGAATAAAAATGTTTTTGACTTTTTAAGGGAACACAATTGGCATGTTTTGTGACATGTTGATAAATGTGAACTTTAAACGGACATTGCTTGTCAACGGAAAGTCCAAATGAAGTGCCCCAAATATTATTGCAAGGATAATTATATTATCTTTTCTAATACTCACAAATCCTTATTTTGTTATGTGGCATTGTGTCTTGCCGATTTTGTGTGTGTGTGTAATGTAATGGTCGTATGGGGAAAAAGTCATTTAACTCAACTATATTTTAAATTTTGTGGACAGGTGATCCGACTACTGGAGCAGTTTTCTCTGCCTGATCTTGTCATATCGTTGGCTAATACTGCACTGAGTGTAGCTGATGATGATGATCCCAATGTGGTGAGTAATGTCTACCAAATAACAATGGGGGGAAAACCCTCAAAAGATTTCTTAAGTACATTCAGTACTTGGTTCTGCCCTTCACTGATTTGATTTCATAAGCACCGTATACTTAGTGTTGTCTGTGGGCATGCAAGATAAGTTTCCCTACCTAACTTGGGTGGGACTCGAACCCACGATCTGCTTAGCAGTGAGACTGTCTTAATCACTCAACAACCCAGCTTGCCGGGGTGAGCTGGCTGGATGGAATCTGATGTAGTACCAGGAGCAATCACTTTGCTGTTAAATACATTTTTTTTGTCGGGGAGAAGCAATTTCAAAATATGTCGGCAACGGGTGAACAAATATTTAATTCACATCTTTATATAAACTGATGTTATTTTGAATTCCCAGCCAACGTTATGGTCCAAAGTATTCAAATATCAGCTGGAACTAGGACACAACGATGAGGCCTATGCTGCCATGGCGACAAACCCCGACCCGGAAAGGTAAGAAAGGTGTAAGATTAATGCCACCGATTGGTTCTTCAGTTTTTGAGCACTTTTATGTATCAATATAAGTTCTAGAAACCCAATAAAAAAGTCTGAAATATAACACAGCTTATGGATAAAACCTTGACGTGGGTAGCCCTTCATGATCCTTATCTTTCTTCCCTCTCTCAGGCGACGGGATTGTTTGCGTCAGTTCATCGTTGTTCTCTGCCAACGAGCTCAGACCAAGGAGCTGTGTCAGTATCCCTACATTGACCTACATGATGAGGTTGGTGTCTGGGTTCACATCGAAAAGGGGAATAAATTGTTTTAGTGTTATTTATGATTTTAGCTAACCAGGGTAGTCTCAATACCCCGTGGGCCCTGTGGAAAAATTTGTTTGTAGACTTGTATCATTTTTTTAAAATGATCTGTGAACCCTTTCTATGGGTTCATGTAATATTTAATAAGTGTTTTTTTACTGTTATGTGTCATAGTTTCGTGTTTCTTATTTGTATGTAAGCATTGTCTTTTAACAATATTTGTAAATCATGTCAAACATTGTGCAATTCGGCCGCGAGGCTGCGATATGATGTTTTTAAAATAAACCATTTAATAAATAATAAATAAATATGGTGACTGTTCAGGTTTTGAGAAAAACGACCATTGAATCTGGTGTTTCTGCAATTTATTTTTATCTGCATTCTGTTTCAAAAAAATATTTATTCGCTTCCAATATATCCTTATTTTCAGGTTGTAAGCATAATGGAGTCGCGAGCGCGCTCAGTAGATCTCCTGACGACCCATAACTACTACGATCTCCTCTACGCCTTCCATATCTTCAGAGGAAACTACAGAAAAGGTGTGACTGAAACATGAAACTAATTTAAATTGACCCAATTCCACTGAGGTTGACTATATGACCATCAGCTAATCATGCTTAACATCAGGGATGTAGTTGAGTCCATCACAAGTCCAGTCACAAGAAACAGTGGATGAACAATAACAAAGCAATGCCTTTGTCAAAGCTCATTTGAATAGCTTGTGAGTTGAATTGGGACTGGAGGACTTGTGATGGACTCATCTACATCCCTGCTTAACATTTCAAGTTAACCAGACTATTGACTTTTATAACAGGCCAATGTGAGCAAATGAGATCACTGTGTGGATGCCATTTTCTGGTTACAAACACTTAAAATACCCCATTTATTAAAGTAAATGTTCAACTTCAATCTAAATATGTAAAAACATGTCCCACATCATGATAGTCTACAATTGTGAAGTCATACATTTTAGTAGATATCATGTTTGATTATGACACAACTCTTTAGTTTGTCATATTTTTATATTTGCAGCTGGTAGTGCGATGTATGAGCACGCTGTTCGTCTCGGCCTTGAGGTACCCACGTTGGATGGGTTACGTAAACAAGCCAAGTGTTACTTAGCTGCGATGAATGCACTGGAACTAGTCAACCAGGACTTTGCCTGGATCGTCAAGCCTGTAGCTGTCGATGAAGCAGTAAGTGAAGCCAGTCAGATTGGTCACAAGTCATCACAAGGCCATCACAAGTCATTACACGTTGATCACAAGTCCAACAGAAGTCACTTCATAAGGCTATACCTAGTCCATCACATATCATCCAGTCCCAAGCCAGCTCACAAGCTAATCAAATTAACTGTGACATAAATCTGATATGGAAATGTGAAACAGAATGAGATATAAGTCGATTCAAAGCAACGTAATTTCATAATCACTGTGTAACAGTGCCATCCGATAGCTTGTGAGAAAAAATCACTATACTCATATGGGACTCGAACCCATGACCTCCTGTTTACTAGTGCAGACGTCTTACCATGCAACCAAGCATGTCAGGGTCAGCAGGCTGGTTTGAAGATGATTAAGTGATGAGTGTTGCAATCTAGAAGACATTCCAGGGAATGCTGTTGTATTTTCTCCATAGAACCCTGAGGATATGGTGGGGGCATCACCCAAGAGAAACTATGAAGGAGAGGTACTGCAGCAACCAGGTAGGCTCACACTACTTGGACAATGTCATCTCAACTGTGTCTATAGTTCACTAAGAAAAACAAACTGAAGCAGGCGTTGTTTGAAGTTAGTGAAATTAGCCTGCGGATACACCATGGACTCTCAGAGTACACTCTTGAAAACATCCAGACCTGTTCTTTTCAGAACTACCACTTCTCACTAAAGAGATACTTTTTCCATGGCGTACCCGCAAGCTAATTTCACTAGTTTAAACTGAAGCAGGGTTTAAATGTGTGACCCATTTTTAAATTTTTCTGTTGGCGCCTTTTTTTTGTTCCCTTGTTTTCGGTAACCAGTCGGAACCAAACCCAAACACACTCTTGTCATGATACACAAGAGAAATTAACAGTACTGTAAACCTATGTTTGCTGGAGCACTAGTCAAGTATTCAAGAGGTTGTATGTAAAAACCCTACAATTATCTATATATGATTTTTAAAAGTTTTGACTCTTACTCGAGTCTCTTTTTTTTTTCAATTGAAAATTGATCAATAAAAATAGTTAATTTTTAATGTAGTTCATTTTATTTCCTATTTTACTGATTTTGCTTGATCACTTTTTACCCCTATATGACCCCTTTTTGACCCCCAGTGAAACGTCAGGTCAAGGTCATTGAACTCTGTGACCTCCGGAAGGAATTCCAGTTGGTGGACGCTCGGCTGAAACTTGCCAACCATGATCCAGAATCAGTCCATACATCAAGTGAGTTGTCTACTTCATGAATAATTCATGATAGCTTCATGAATGTTTTATGGATATTTCACTGCCTGAAAGGGAGGTCACATTATTAGGTATCACACAGGTCTAATTACTTTGTGAATGTTAAGAGTGACTGACGTTTTGATCCTCACAGAATCTTTCTGGATGCAGCATTACTCACCATTACTGACCTCATAATTTAAAGTTGTGCGGTTGGCTCAGTCAATGGGATAAAACCAAAGGAAACATGGTTGGAATTGGGCCCTGAACCACATGAACCTTTAAATGAATAAGTCCACATGTTGGCCTAGCTGTGGATTAGAACCTGAGTTTGAGAATAGAAAGGTGAGGAAATACCACCCTTCCATCTTCAGTTCCCGAGATACTTGTTTATAAGCATCACTCAGATTCCTTTCCATTTCTTCCTTTGTTCCTTTTTTATCCTCCTTGACATTTTCTTTGAAGTTTAATTTTTCTTGGATAATTTTTCTTTCTTTGACAGTGGGTCCAATACTTTCTGCAGATGAAACAATCTCCTTCCTAGTCCAAGCAGGTCTGTTTGACGCGGCCTGTGCAGTCTGTAAAACCTTCAAGCTTGACCTCACGCCAGTATTTGAAGGCTTGGCCACAAAGTACGTAAATTTCTTTGTAGTTCTATTCAAATTATCTTCTTTTTTTTTTTAACAAACTATCTTTATTTTTTTTTGAATTATGAGTAGCTTAATCAGAACCACTGAGAAAAGGCAGCAGTTTTTCCACAAGAGTCCTTCGGGAAAAACCCAGTGGAGGCTTTTTTTTTACACACTGTTTGGTTGGAGACTTTTTTTAGATAATGAGTATCTAAATTTTTCTTCAAACTTCTGAATTGGTTGCAGGTGCGTGAAGTTATCACTGAATGGTCTGAGTGAGACAGCATGGAAATGGCTGTCAGTCAATGATCTAGGAACGCTACATCCATCACGGGAACTTGGGTAGGTTCTAGAACTTTTTAGTGGATACTGTATTGAACTCACAGGTTTCAGTCGAAACAAAGAATATTTGGTTCCACAACCTTTCTTTTTCTTGTGCAGCCTGTACATGGAAATTGACATTAATGTAAGCTTCAATTCATTGTTTATTGGGAATTTTGATAGTTTGCGCAGTCTGAATATGACATTACTTAGGTCACCTACGCTTCAAAATATATTAAGTTCAGTTTCTCTGACAAAGTGGCATTCCTGATCAGCAGAACTGAGTAGTAATCCATTAGTTTTGAGACAAATTTGAGATTATCGGATTTATCTTTCCAAGTTCTGATTACTTTTTTTTTTTTACTTCTTTGCAGTCCGGCAGACTTGGCTTGGCAGCTCCTGAAACGATACCTGGAGAAACACGACAAAGTTGGCGATCACACACACTACAAGTGTGTCATTAACAAGTTGTTATCACTCGGTTATCATCTGCCTATCTGGCTTGTCTCGGACTATAAGGTAGGCTTTGTTTAACTATACTTATTTAAATATGTGACATAGGATTTCCTTTGTCGACAATCATCCCTCTTATTTTACGGCAAGATTTGTGATTGACTGGGAACTGACTTGTGATTGACCCCATAATTCTGGAATTGTTCTCTTTCTGTCATCATCATGATACTAATTTTTATATTACGTGAAATATAAAACTCTTGGTTGAATACTTCAGGCATGAGATTTTCAGACTTTAGTCTGAAATCAGATATTTTGAGACTGAGAGAAAGACATCGGTATAGAAAGAAATGCATCTTTCAGACTGTTTTCCAATTTTCAGACTTTTTTAAATTCACCATCCCTGATACCTTATATTCATCGTCTCCATTTCTGGTACTTTCAGAGGTTGAATCCTGCCTCCTTGCTCCTTCTTTACATCACCTATGACATGTTGGAGGAGGCTACGTCTCTTATGCTTGAGTACATTGATGCGGTCTGTGGCAAGGGGTCTGAGTACTTTGGTCTGACGGTGAGTAAAGTTGCATCCAAATGACTTGGCTCCAGCTGGCAATAGCACATGCGGCTATGGCAGGGGCTGAAACCACCCAACATTGAAATGTGTTTTATTATAAGCCGTAGTCAAGTAATTTGGTCACAGTCTAACAAGGAAGTTGCACTCAATGACCAATTATTGTTTGTAGAAATTACTCAAAGGAAGTATTTTGTATGATAGGATTTTGCACGAGCAAATGTTAACTTTGGCCTTTAGGCCGCGATAGTAGTTTTGATTCAGTGAAGCAAAATTAATGAATGTATTATTCAGTGAAAGTTGCTTTACTTTAATTTTGTTTTTGTTTTTTGGTACTGGGTTTCGGCCTCCCAACAGAAAAAGGTTTAATAGTTTTTAACCTTATTTGTGACTTAATTTTTTTATTTGGTTCCTCCACAGACCTCACTGCGAGAAACATCTCCAAGTGTCTGGTTACCGTATCAATCCATCGACCATCTCTTGACCGCCCTCAAAGACCAGACAGACCCCGCCCTCAAACAGGTATGACTATCGTCAAATTGAAAAACCCACCGAAATCTGCCAAAATCCAACGCTTGGTTTTTGAAGGATCGAGATGGATCCTGGCATATCTCATTAAGCAACAATCATTAAGTACTTATAGTATTACATCAGTGATGGGCTAAACCTTCCATTAATTTTTTAGTAACACTGATATTGAAACAGAAATGTATCAAATATGCAATTCACGATTGTATTGTCCCTGACAGAGCCAATTAACCATGACATCAGAAATGATCCAAATCTCATAGTGTGTAATCTCCTTGGCCTGGTCACGGAGAATAGAGACTAGAAGTTTTTGATCATTTCTCAATCATCAATTACACATCACGGCTAGTACCGAAGTGTGACATCAGCTGCCTTTGTTCTGGTTCAAGTGCTGGTTCTCGCGCTGATGTCTTCACACACTTCAGGTATGCACGCGAACCAGAATACCCAGCACACTTGGGTAATCTATTGGCTCTGTCATTGACATTACATTTTCTTCCATAACGCTGGAATTGCCCAAATGTTAATCAATTGCACATCTTTTTAAGTTTCTTTTAAATTATTGGTTTTCTTTTGATTGGAAACAGTTGTACAGCGATCTGAATGAGAAGCTAGATTCCTACCACAGCAACGTCAAGGTAGTCTCCAAAGAAATGATCCGGATGAGATCGCTTGGAGCTAATGCTACTTGAGACATCTACAGGTCTGATAATATTAACAAAACACTTGAGAATTCAGAGAAGGGTCAAGGGTCATATGTCGTGGCAATGCTAAGCAGGAAATAGTGCTTAGCAGAATTTTGCTTAGCAAGAATCAGCTGTAAGCCAGTCTTATGCAATCCACAAGGAATGACACATTGTCGCACAAGTAAACTTGTACATTTTTTCTCGCAAGCTGTCAGACACTGAGTATAAATTTATATATTTGTGGGATTTAAAACCCATTATTCACGGTACAATATTTTGGCTAGTGACCTGGGCCCATTTTCATAGCGCTGCTAAGCACATGATTTTCTGCTAACAGAGCCTCCGTCTAATTCATGGAGATCGTAAGCACCCCAGAGGACCTCAGAGGAAAAAGTTACTTAAATCAGTGACGTAACAACTGACATCTCCTTGCCCGCGCAACAGTTTGCACAACACCACCATGAAGTAGGGCTGATAAGGTTAGCACAATTGTCTGTTATTGTTAGCACAACTTTTCTGCTAACTGTTAAGCAGCGCCATGCAGCTGGCCCCCATTTTCTATGTGAGCTGAGTTACCCATTGTTTTTGTACATTTATGTAGTTCATGAATTTATTTTGGAAGGTTTTGACATTGGAGCCTTGGCATATCCAGGCTTATATGTCCACCAAGGGAAAAATAAGGGAAACATTTTTTGAAAATGTTATCACTGAATTTTTCTTCGTTAAATTTGTTTTGCTTGGTTGTTTCGTTTTCAATGCTACATTGACGAAGAAAGAGGAGGGGGGGGGGGGGGGGTGTTAGGGGGTAGGCAAGCTTCCCACCACTGTATTCACCTCTTGATTTGAACATCAGAATGAGCTGACTTTGTTCATGAGATTGTGCTGCACAGATGTCATCTTAACTGGGATATGCAATGGTTAAAGAAATTAAAGAGACTATTTCCAAAACACGATATTTGTCATTTTGTTCACTTTTAGAATCCTGCTCTCTCCTGGCTGCCAAAAGCATTTTCGACAACTGTACTTGATCACAACTTACATTTTTATTATTATTATTATTTTTTTTTCTGGTAATGAAACCAAGGAATCCTCAAGAGTGCCCTAGGCACTGTAGCTTGCAAGCCTGAAGAAACCTGTAGAGAGAAAACGATGAGAAGAAATAACAGTTTTAGAGGTGGGAGGAAAACCCCAGAAGGATATTCTGGGGAAAACCCACGGAATCAGGTAGGGACTGAAAACCCAATCCACATGTAGGTCCAGGCGGGATTCGTATAGAATAAGGCAAAAATGAAGTTTGAAAAGAAAAGCTGTTATACTGTTTTTACTCTTCAAGGCTTCGTAACTATGCACAATTTTCACCTGTTTCAAAGAGATCTGTCCCGTTTTGAAAATTACTCTTCAATTATAATTTCAACTTCATTTTCAGAAGACATTTAACTGCAATTTCAGATTTTTGTAGAATAAATTGTTGCCATGCAACATTGGCTTTGTATTTCATGTATCTAGTAGTTTGTTGTTTGGAGATGTAATAGTACAAGCCACACCCTCTGCAGAATGTCACAAGAAAGTAAATATTCATATAGTTTGTTCGCTTACATGTTTTATTAGCTCCAAGTACATTCAGCGGAATTGTCCCTTTTGTTTACAAGGACCCTCTATTACTTCTCTAATTATTTTTTTCCCCAGATATTGTGTTATTTACCATTACATAAATGACAGGGGATACAAAACCATTGGAAATAAAAATAAATTAAGAACTTTTGAATGAACATGTTATAAAAAAGAATTCTTGATAGTAAATATACAGGTACTTAAAAAAAACCTTAAAATCAATATTTACAAATCAAATAAGCGACAAGAAAAAATGATTTAAGAACTTTTGAATCAACATGTTCTAAAAAATAAATAGTTACATCAGAAATCATGATACTTGGTATAAATCCGTAAAATCAGTGGCGTCGCCCCCTCACTAACAGCCAGGCCCCCCCCCCCCCACTCGCCCACTATGGTGAGAACCTTGGCTATGTTGCCATGTAAAATGTGTATGCAATCATTCTGAGTAGTACCAAAACATACATCAGGAAATCTAGACCTATTCTCAGCTTCCTTGGTTCATGTATTCATGATTATTATCAAGATTTCAAATCTTCAGAGTTCAGTCTTGATTACATAAACAAATTGTACAAGATGAATCTATTCTCTGGTATACTTTGTTGTTTCGTATTTGATTTGAAAGCATTTGAAAATTATTTTATCTTTGTGTGCCTGCGTATTGAATGATTATTTATATATAAGAGTTGACACTAAATGCTTGTTTCTCCGACTCTATGGTCATCACAGATTTTTGTTGTAGGCCATAAGCAGTGATAGAAGTTTTTTTTTTTGTACTGTGAGATGATCTAGTTTTTGGTTTTTATCAGAATGTCCAGGTTGACACAAAGCAGTAATTTTAAAAAAATATTGAAACAAGACAACTGGACTTGAAGCAGTAATGTTATTTTTGAAAAGGTTGGCCGCATTCACTTTCTTAGATACATACATGTGTAACTACATATCAGAGAAGTTTGGACGCGACTGAGACTGGTCTGTCACCTTAACTTCTTTTTACTGAACGGTAATGATTGGTTCATCACCAGCCTGACTAGCGCCGTAGGTGACTTGGCTTCTTGTAGGTGAGTCACAGATGAGAGGTGATGTGTCAGCTGATTGAGTACCTCGGATCTGACGATTCTCTCGTCTGCGAGAGCGAGAACGGCACGTCATAACTGCAACTTGAACCACGATGACGCAGAGAAGTGTAGCTACCACGGTGATGGCTGCGACGGCTCCACCGGAGATAGTAGAGGGGGCGTTAGATGGGGTGCCGGAGTTAGGGGCGTAGCCTTGGAACTTCATGCTGGCTGACATATCTTGGCTTCCGTTGATGAGGGATTCCCACATTGCTCCGTCAGCAGACATCATAACCAAACCACCTTCAGGATTCTTTGGTTGTGGTGCTGGCATGAATGGTGGTCGGTGGACTAAGGGTAGTGAGGCGGCGGAAAGTGCTCCCGTCTTGATACAGTAGTTGATCTCGCACCCGATGTCTACCATTGCCAGGTGTTGGCTGTAGCCTTCGGGGCAGCCGTGAGGCCATGTACTCGGTCCAGCTTGTGACATGAAACTTGCCAAGCTCATGGTTCCTTCCGGGAAACTCTTGAGACCATTGCCTTTGCTTTGCATCTGGCGAACCATGAGAGGGTTACCAGACTTGCAGCTGTAGAATCCGCCAAAGGGGAGAGAGTACTCGAAGCCTAGCTCGTAGTCATCACTGACGCAGACTGTCAGGTCAGAGAGAAGCTTGAGAGGGTAGAACTCTGCAGGACAGCTTGCAGCCTGGGTCAAGGGATTGGAGACTTTGGAGGTAAAGACGCCGCCGAAGAGGAAACCGGATTGCTGAGGAACTTGCCCCTCTGCGACACACCAGTAGGCTGTATATGTTGCGGTACTGTAGTAGGTGTTGTCGTGACAGCAGTGAGCAAAAATCCAACAACGATGACAACTATGTCGGCTCGTCGTGTGTGAGCGAGAACCGCTGTTGAGGAGGATGGCATCGTACCCAGGTGGACAGGTGTAATCACCGGTGCGGGGATTCTTCTGAGTCAGTCCAGAGCATAGGTCCTCGATGCCTTGTCCCTGGCATGTCTGGTACACACCACCGAACGTGTAGTTGGTGCTCTTTGGCTTGCATGTGCCATCATCTACATTAGCAATAAAGCTGAAGTTGGGACTGTCCCGCTTGGTGCAGCCTTTGTAGATGTTGTGTTTGTAGTAGAGCTCTACCGCTGCTTTGACACTCTCGTATGTCTCGAAGACTGTAGATTCTGGGACGTCTGGCAAAACCTCTGCAGTGATGATGAAGTACAAGGGGTCTCCGGATCGATCTAAGGCAACCAGGTTGTTCTCCATGCCTGCTGTCCAGTTATCTGCGGTGTAGTTTTGAGGTTTGAAGACCGGTCCTCCGTAGGTGTTGATGGTGGACGAGGTTCGGCTCTTTTGGTATTCATCGACCATGGTCGTGGTGGTTGAGGTGTCCACACCAAGACCAAAGTTGAAGACCTTGAAGAAGGATGCGCTAGCCGACGCCTTAACCTGATTAGTCTCAGAGGAGTACTTGCGAACGAAGCTGGTCAAGACTTGGTCTTCTTGTGTCAGTGCTGCGCCGACGTCTATGCTTGTCACCACATGAGTACCAAAGTCTCGGACTAGGAGTTGGCTTTCGTAGGTAGCCATGTCAGTCATGTTGAGCTCATGGTGAGCTGAGATCTTACGGACGCGGGTTAGGAAGGCTTTGTTGAGGGGCGTGTCTGGTTGAAGCTTAGCAGTGTATCGGACATAACGTGCCTGGATATAAAAGATAAACCACAGATTTGTTTTATCTCCAGATGGAAAGATACGAACTGATAAAAGTGGTTCATAGCAAAATAACAAGCAGAAGCTTATTAAGGCCAGCATATGACCGGGGAGGGGGGGGGGGGCTACACAACAACAAAAGATAAGATTTGAAGGTTTGCATGGTGAAGTAAGCGATAAGATGTCCACCACTTCTTCTTTTTAGAACCACGCAATCTCTGGTTTATTGTCACAAGGTGCAATCACAATCCCTGTCTTTTAAGCAATAGAACATTTCTCTTTTTTTTCTAAAAAAGGATCATCATTTCATTTTGAAAAGGATCATACTGCCCCCCCCCCCCAAAAAAATGTTAAATAATATTTGCTTTCATTTTAGAGTTGAACAAAAAAAATGATTGGAGCAGGGTTTGTACCTGCGACCTACAGAATGCCATTCCGGTGCTCCACCAACTGAGCTATCCAGCCCTATGCTTGCAGTTCCCTGTGAAATATTTTTTTTCCATTGGTGTTAGGCTATATTCAAAAACAAAAATCTAATTTGCCATCCTACCTGGACTCGAACCGTATCCGAACTGTCTCTGTATTGCTGAGACTTGACGCTCCGATATTCATCTGAGAATTTTCCACTGATGCCAATCCCGTGGATGCTCAGTCCCGCGTGAGCGTTGACGCTGCGGGACAGCGTGGATGTGTAGTTACTCCAGTGGGTGAAGAGTTCAGCAAAGGTGTCCACTTTGCTAGACTTGACCGGGATGATGTAGGTACCGTCGGGGATCAGAAACCGGCCATCCTCTAAGAAGGAGGAGGAAATAAGCAGATTACAACACTGAGTATATTACAGAGTGATTATAAAATACGTCGGCGAAGGGCAAAGAAAATACATCTTCAGATGCAGATTCCATCTTAGCAAAAAAAAAAATATATATTTGAGATTTTGTAACATCGTTAGGTATTGGCATTATTATAAACCTGCATGTACCGTCAAAATAAAACGTACAAATTTGAAAAGTTTGATTTGTTTGGAGTAAAAAATCGTCTAGTTCAGAAACATGGATTACCAACTTCAAAATACATTGTACATTTTTAAAAAAATGTCAGATTCGTGAATTTCAATTCGCGAGATTTTCACCAACACGATTGCTGGGTTATTTTACTTTACGTTCTCATTCATTTAAGACTTTGTTATTTTCGGCATTTGTTTGTCTTTCTTATCAACAATTCACTTTCGATGTTAGATTATTAAAATAACAAGTCTTTTTAGTTTCAAATTCCATGCGAGGGTCGCACAGAAAAACAAAATTCACAGGAGGACCTGAAACATAAAACTAGATTTATTCCTACCCGTGAATCGACACTCGGTGTAGTTGATAGCCGTCACTAATCCCGCTTCCCTGTTCCGGAGATTATCCCATCCTCCTCCCGGTAATCCCTCAAACGTCAAGATTCCTTGGTCTTCAGGACGCAGCAGGCATCTCCTAGGGTCTCCATACGGGATGTTGACAGTAGGGCTACCTCCTTGCGGATCATCTCCAAGTGATGAACCCAAGAAACCCCCCAGAAAAACCAACCAAGTGGGCACCAGCTTTAAAAGAGCCATTTCTTGTATTAAAGCTCAATTAATCAGCTCTTTATTTTAGCTCTTGCGTATCAAGTGCTGCTGTTTCATCAAGTGAAATTAAATCTTGGTATAACAACCTTTTCCCAAGTTGACGAGGATGGACGTAACAAAGTTTGTTTTGCGAAGCCAATCCTGCAAGGCCGCAGGAGAGTTATGATTTTTCCACCCGGAAATTCCTGTTTTTATACCGCACGCCCCGCTGAGCAAAAGCAAAGCAAAAGAGAAGGGAACATCTGCCGTCATCGTCATGTGATGTGCGTGGGGTGATCGGGGAAAACCAACGGTATTGTGAAATGTTTGCCAACTGGAGAGTGTTTGTTTCGATTGTATTTTTAGAGTTGTGTTCCTTGAACCTGGGGTTTTGAGTGGTGCCTGGAAAACATCTAATATACATTGAACACCAAGATAGATGCCTGGCTAAGCAGCGGTCAAATTAAACCTAAAAAATCTACATTCTTACAGTTGTATATCTCAGGCATGCAATTTTTTTAATTTCAGCCATTCAGAATAAAAAAAACCCCACTGTACACAGTCTTTTAAAATTTGGAATTTCCTTTTTTTTGGGGGGGGGGGGTGCATTTACAGTTGCATGCCTGATATCTAGGTTAAGGTGATGGGGCAACATTTTAATCCTTTCGAAAAAAAACTATAATTGCTCCTAGATAAGAATGGAAACATGGAGGAATATTCAGAGGGCTTTTTGAAAACCGTAGTTTACTTGGATGAAATGATTTTTAGTAAGTGCAATTATTATGTGCCAATGATTATGATAACTCTGACTGAAAACTGTGCTGGCAATTTTCAAACAATGTCGGGTATATTTCGGACACAACTTTACATCAGGGGTTGGTTTCTGTTTATGATGACCAGATATTCAAGGTCAACTTGAGCTCTCGTTTATTGTGATGGAGTTCACGGATTGTTTCAAAGGAAAATAGTAGCATTTTGTCAATTATTGTTAATGGAAAACACATGGACGTTCGTAGCCCACAGCTTCCACCAGCCTCGGCGTTTACGTGGGCGACGAATATCCGTATAAAATGAAAGTAAAATGTACATTTTGAAATTCCATGTATTGGATTGTTGGTCAGATGCAGACGAATTGCAGGGAATTTCCAAAACTTGAAAGTGTCGACAGCTGATAAAAAATATAGGACCTCAGAACATAGAGTATGTTCAATTTGTTGTAAACTTGAAAACCACACGAAAAGCTAGCTAAACAAATAAATCATCCTACATGTATATGACACATCAATAAACTGTGTAAATGTATGCAATGCCATCAATATTTTTGCGGGCCGTATTTCATGTATATGACACATCAATAAACTGTGTAAATGTATGCAATGCCATCAATATTTTTGCGGGCCGTATTTCCTGGTTGCGCAACCTTGCAAAACGATTGGGATTTCCCAGATGTGACTTTACAGTGTGCAACAAGAGTTCAAAGTGTTGTCGCACATTTCTTCATCCCGCGATGATCTTGAACCTAATACATTTTTTATAAGTTTTATAAGTTCCTATAGATCTGCTGTTGAGTTAGCTTTTAGTTTATGTTTGGTATAATGAAATGGAGGATATCTAGTTCTCAAACGTCAATCGGTGGCCGGGATCGAGTGGTATGCCCCTGCTATATAGGGGGCCCGGCTATGGGGTCCAGGGCATGCCCCTCCCCCATTCTAAAGCAATTTGGGAAGAAATGTAGGAAATTTGAGTCAAATTCTATTATTTTTGCCCAATTTGACTATCGTAACAACTTGCGGCTGAAGGTATTACAACCCCCCCCCCCCCCGCTTTCGATCGTCCCTCGGGCCGCGGGGGGGGGGGGGGGGGCTGCCGGGGACAGAGCTGTTGCATGCAATGCCATAATAATGATAAATGTGTTGAAACTAGAAAGCTGTACATTACATTGAAGGGTGGGCTACGATGACACGCCATTCCACTTGTTCGGCCCGTGAAGCCCTCCCCCCCTCTCCTTAGCCGGGTCCCCCTTCCACCACGCCCACGGTGCATGGGCGGCGATGAAGTGACGTCGCAAATGGTTTTATAGCTTTATCTAGGGGGTGTTTTCCTTGCTTTTACTTGTTAATATGGTGCAATTTATAAAATGAAATAAAAAAATAATTTCAGTGCTATTTTAAACTTGAGGTTTTCTTTTTGCCCATGGGATTATGTGTTATTGTGTAAGTCTGTTATAATGTTTGTGTTTTTGCAATAAAGGGTTTTCAGTCATGCTATGGGAGAGCTACATGACAGTGATTTAGTTCACTTTTTAGCAATCCCGCAGGGGCGTGCAATCATCTTGTGTAAGGGTCTTAGTCGTTCATTTGTATGGTTTAATATGTATTTATGTCTTTTTTTATGTCTATACTGTCTGTAATATTTTTATTATTTTTGTTTTACCCACTGTAAATTTGACCTGCGAAATAATAAATGAAATGAACAAAAACAATGAAAATCCCCTGCTAACTGAACACTATTTACGCTAATTCGTGAGGAAGTAATATTGCTAAATCAGCGATAATAAGGCAAGCAAAACATATCACATAAAACAACTCCTTGCTCCGCCCCCTACGTCCATACTATTAAAATCCAGAAAAAAAAGATAAAGGGACTTGCAACAAATCTAGGCTTGGCGTTTTCCGCGATCGATCCCATCGTGCATTTGGAAAGCATTCCCTAACTGGTACCCGTTACTTGGCGGATTAGTTGCCTTAAAGTACGATGAAAAACGTGTTACCAGGGGATTTGGCACGAAAAACCGCCATATCGGTCTGAGTACGTCCGTTGAAGTTTGTTTCTTTATTAAAATCGCTGGATAAATTTCGTCTGCTAGTGCTACGGAAACTTCTCAACTTGAGCACCGTTGTTTGAGTGACGTTTAGAAGGTAAAACTAAAGCAATTCCAAAAGTATGTGTATGTAGAGTTTTTATCGTATTTAGCGGAGGATTTGAAAGGTTTGTTGAAACTTCAACTGTTCAATGTTGAATGGGTTTTGACTAGCTGGAGTTACCCTAGCCCGACTGCGTCTGGCCGTACAGTACTATCGCAAGCTCTGTAGTACGGCCAGACGCCCGATGCTTCCACAGAGACTGAATTTTTTGGGCCGCCGATGTAGCGATTTTGCTACATCTTTCGATCGCGATTATCTTTTCATCCAGGACACAAATTTCCAAAGTTAAGGTTCGTAGTCGTAGAACAACTCATACCTTTTCGAAAAAACGTTCTTTGGTCTCAATATTTTCATCCATCTGGCCACAAGACGAATTTCAGTCATCAGATTCCACAAATATCGTCCCCCATGCGATCCCCCATGCGATTTCAAAATGGCGGCCGCGCGGTAATGTATGCATTATGCGAGCGCGCTTGGGCAAGATAATGAATATGCATTATTTAGTTCATGACCTCGTGTTTGTATGGCCAGCCGCGCTGAGTGTCCGACAAACGTCATAAACTATGATGCATATTCATTATCTTGCCCAAGCGCGCTCGCATAATGCATACATTACAGCGCGGCCGCCATTTTGAAATCGCATGGGGGATCGCATGGGGGACGATATTTGTGGAATCTGATGACTGAAATTCGTCTTGTGGCCAGATGGATGAAAATATTGAGACCAAAGAACGTTTTTTCAAAAAGGTATGAGTTGCTCTACGACTACGAACCTTAACTTTGGAAATTTGTGTCCTGGATGAAAAGATAATCGCGATCGAAAGATGTAGCAAAATCGCTACATCGGCGGCCCAAAAAATTCAGTCTCTGTGGAAGCATCGGGCGTCTGGCCGTACTACAGAGCTTGCGATAGTACTGTACGGCCAGACGCAGTCGGGCTAGAGTTACCCAGCCCTGAGTTTTATCATTGGGTTGCAGATTCAGCCTACAATTGCAGTAGCTGGAGTTACCCAGCCCTGAGTTTTATCATTGGGTTGTCTATAAGGGCTGGAGCGCATTTTTCTCAAAACTTGTAGTATTTGCAAAAAAAATTGGAAAATGTTCAATTTTGTCCCTGTTACACACTAATTGCTACTCCTAGAACTATGAGGCTCCACGTAGTGGAGCCTCATAGGTTCAGAAGCCCGCAAAATTGTTGTCAGCACAAAACACTAATTAAGTACAAAAACGTCCATCCCAAGCAGGCCGTTTTCCACAGAACCGCTGCACAGTTTGCCCCTAAACTCCATACAATACCTCATGACATACTCACGTTATGTGCACCCAACAAACATCGGTGGATTCTGTCTGTTTTTCGGCAAAAATGATGAAAAATATGCCCTTTCTGCACTGAGCCAACCTAACACTTGAAACGAGCACGCGTGCAGAATGATCGCAGTTATTTTCGGTTCGATCGCTCGGAGCGCGCCGCGGGGGGTATGGTGTAGGAGCGGAACGATAGTATGCACATGCGTACAAGTGCAAGTACGTACCCCCCGCGGCGCGCTCCGAGCGATCGAACCGAAAATAACTGCGATCATTCTGCACGCGTGCTCGTTTCAAGTGTTAGGTTGGCTCAGTGCGGAAAGGGCATATTTTTCATCATTTTTGCCGAAAAACAGACAGAATCCACCGATGTTTGTTGGGTGCACATAACGTGAGTATGTCATGAGGTATTGTATGGAGTTTAGGGGCAAACTGTGCAGCGGTTCTGTGGAAAACGGCCTGCTTGGGATGGACGTTTTTGTACTTAATTAGTGTTTTGTGCTGACAACAATTTTGCGGGCTTCTGAACCTATGAGGCTCCACTACGTGGAGCCTCATAGTTCTAGGAGTAACTAATTGCAACTGCAACTCACCCCAAACTTGCCTGGAATAACCATTACACAGGTCCTTGAAGTAAAAAACGATCCACGATGAAGATTCAGCCTACAATTGCAGTGAAAACAGGAGGAATAACCGCTAACTTGACAACCTTGCTGGATTGGCCAGGACCGCTATTGGTTTGTGCACAAAATAAATTGTGTACAATGAATGGCGGTCGATTAACAGGCACAGAGAGCGATCGCTGTCAACTACTCGTTTTGCCGGCTGCGCTGGCTGTTGGCGCATGACGTCACGCGGAAGCGTAACACCCGATGACTGTTTCATGCACTTTTGGTTGCGGTTCCAGTACCAAAGCTGTGATGCGAGTGGTAAACCTTATACTAGTGCATGAAACAGTCATCGGGTGTTACGCTTCCGCGTGACGTCATGCGCCAACGGCCAGCGCAGCCGGCAAAAACGAGTAGTTGACAGCGATCGCTCTCTGTGCCTGTTAATCGACCGCCATTCATTGTACACAATTTTTTTTGTGCACAAACCAATAGCGGTCCTGGCCAATCCAGCAAGGTTGTCAAGTTAGCGGTTATTCCTCCTGTTTTCACTGCAATTGTAGGCTGAATCTTCATCGTGGATCGTTTTTTACTTCAAGGACCTGTGTAATGGTTATTCCAGGCAAGTTTGGGGTGAGTTGCAGTTGCAATTAGTGTGTAACGGGGACAAAATTGAACATTTTCCAATTTTTTTTTGCAAATACTACAAGTTTTGAGAAAAATGCGCTCCAGCCCTAATAGACAACCCAATGATAAAACTCAGGGCTGGGTAACTCCAGCTACAATTGCAGTGAAAACAGGAGGAATAACCGCTAACTTGACAACCTTGCTGGATTGGCCAGGACCGCTATTGGTTTGTGCACAAAATAAATTGTGTACAATGAATGGCGGTCGATTAACAGGCACAGAGAGCGATCGCTGTCAACTACTCGTTTTGCCGGCTGCGCTGGCTGTTGGCGCATGACGTCACGCGGAAGCGTAACACCCGATGACTGTTTCATGCACTATTGGTTGCGGTTCCAGTACCAAAGCTGTGATGCGAGTGGTAAACCTTATACTAGTGCATGAAACAGTCATCGGGTGTTACGCTTCCGCGTGACGTCATGCGCCAACAGCCAGCGCAGCCGGCAAAAACGAGTAGTTGACAGCGATCGCTCTCTGTGCCTGTTAATCGACCGCCATTCATTGTACACGATTTTTTTTGTGCACAAACCAATAGCGGTCCTGGCCAATCCAGCAAGGTTGTCAAGTTAGCGGTTATTCCTCCTGTTTTCACTGCAATTGTAGGCTGAATCTTCATCGTGGATCGTTTTTTACTTCAAGGACCTGTGTAATGGTTATTCCAGGCAAGTTTGGGGTGAGTTGCAGTTGCAATTAGTGTGTAACGGGGACAAAATTGAACATTTTCCAAATTTTTTTTGCAAATACTACAAGTTTTGAGAAAAATGCGCTCCAGCCCTAGATGACAACCCAATGATAAAACTCAGGGCTGGGTAACTCCAGCTAGGTTTTGACCATTTGGTCCGGACAACATGCAACATGGTCGGCGGGGAAAAAGGAAGGGGTAGGCCCCGGCTAGATTAAGCCGCCTTTCGGAAATGTTTCCATACTGGGCCACCACTTTTTTCAAGCGCCAAAAAGTTGCTTCCTTTATGGTTTATTTCCTCCACTTTCCCTCCCCTACTCTCACCCTCTCCTTTCCTCTTCCTAACATGCCGAAGTTAACTGCCTAATCCATGTAAATTGTAATTCTATTTTTATTTTTATTTTATCAGTCACTTAGCTTAGACTAGTCGAGATTCAAACCTTAACCTCGGATAAGACTTACCACTTGACCACGCACAAGATCGCATTGCAATGACCAATCTTTGGACGTATTTGAAGAATCCATTCAAATAAACTAAATATTCATGAGAAATTAAATATTCATAAATCATATTCATAATGACAATTGCACTGCCTGTCTCATGTGTTGTCTCGGTTGTCGATGTCATGCATGTAACGTAGGCCTACTGCCGTGACTGCTGTCTTCCAGACACTTCAATCAATTTGACCTGCTGCCTCCAACTTAATTCTGCACCATGTGTGCATCCAAAATGTGCTCTAAACATGCTAAAAACACATTTTTCCTAAAACAATTTTGGATTTGCGAGGCTTCCCGGATTCATCTTGGAAATCACAAGGTGAGGTGAAAATTGATGTGTTTGGCGGCAGATAAGTGGTGGCCCAGAATGGAATTCTTTCCTCACCGTCTTCACGAGAGTGTCAGTATGCCCTCACTAGCTTGCAAGTAGCATCACATTGCAGGCATAACCCCAAGGGGGTTAGAAAATGAAAATTGAAATGTCAACATTTTTTTTTTTTTAACTTTCAGATTTTGGTAGCCTGAATACAGTGATACATAATGGAGGAGGGAGGTACTCCAACGATTATCATAAACACCCAGGGCACTACAACTAGTGCCACACATGGTGGGGGATCCACACCAATCCAAATCTCCATAGTCAACCAAGGCGACATGACAAACATCGTTGATAGTAGCGGGAACACCTTGTCCAGCCGTGAGGATGACGTCATTGCAGTGTTGGGTCAGCTGTTTGAGAGCGCGGATGACACTCTCCATCAAATGGCGCAACAGATGGTCGTCAAAGAGGCTGAACCAACGCATCCACCAGAACCAGCCACGACAGAGCCCAACGCAGAAGCCAGCTTGGTCAACACTGGCCGCCATCGGCCATTTGTCTGCCATTGTGGCAAGTCATACGCTGCCAAGAGCCATCTTAAGTATCACCAGAGGATACACAGCAGCGCCCGGGCCTATGTCTGTAGGTGGTGCCCGCAGAACTTCATACAGTTAGGGCATCTCAAGCGGCATGAACGGATCCACACACTCGTCAAGCCTTACACTTGTGAGACCTGCGGCAAGACCTTCCGGCAAAACGGTCACCTCACCTGCCACAAGCGCATTCATACCAATGAGAAACCTTACAAGTGTGACGTCTGCGGCGCAGCATTCAGACAGAGAAGTGCCATCTTCCGTCATAAGAAACGGAAACACACCACTCACCGACACCATGTGTGCTCAGTCTGCAGTCGTGGGTACTGTGGAGCCGCAGACCTGCGCAGGCATGAGAAGACACATGTTAACATCACTTACTTTGCTGTCCTGAACCTTAAGACAAACACGTCTAAGATCTGTGGTCACATCCAGGAGGATCATAGCATTAATGAACCGCAATCAGACCCAAACTTAGAAGAAAACAAGTACGTAGTGGAGGGGTCAGAAATTGCCAATGCTTGGAATATACCTGGACTTACAGCACCCAACAAACCTGCACCGGCACATCCAAGGCCTTTCTCATGTGATATTTGTGGGAGGTCATACAAGAACAAAGGCCACTTGGTGTTTCATACCAAGGTGCATCTCCCGGACAGGCCCTACAAGTGTCCTGTCTGTAACAAGGGCTTTGTTCAGAAGGGCCACTTGCAGCGCCATGTCATGGTACACACAGATGAAAAGCCTTACGTCTGCCAGATCTGTACCAAAGTATTCCGGCAGTCCAGCCATCTAAACGACCACGTAAAAATCCATGATGATAGCAGGCCTAACGTCTGCTATGTGTGCTCCAAGGGCTTCCGCCAGACCAGTGCCCTCAAAAGACATATGATTCGCATGCATTCTTCACTTAGGCCGTTCACCTGTGATACGTGCAACAAGGGTTATCGTCTGGAGGCAGACTTGAGAAGGCATCAGTTGCACTCATGCATGCAGAATCCAAAGAGGAAGAAGAAACAAACTACAGACGGAGCAGATGCCGATGGAGAGAAGAATGGAGCGAAAAAGAAAACGTAAGTATAGAATCATCAACAGTAATGTGAACATTTGAATTTTGGAGCACCCGCAACTGACTTTAATAAGAGGGAAAGCCATAGTGCTGATCCCAAGGGGATGGGGGGGGGGGGGGGTGTTGCCCCCCCACCACATGTCCCCCCTAAATAATTTATTTATTAAGTGTTTATGGAATTAACGTAAAGGTGCACTACATATACAGTCGAATCTCGTTAGTACAAACTCTGTTAATACAAAATGCTGGTTATAACAAACATAAAGCCTTGGTCCCGACTGTGCATTTATGTGCACAATGAATGGGACTGATGTTCCTCTTAATACAAAATTCTGATATAATAAACAATTTGGCTAGGTCCGAACGAGTTTGTAGTAACGAGACTCGACTGTACATGTATATTTTTCCCAAATCGCATTGTTGCTATAAGATTTTCATGAGGCCGACACAGATGCACTACACTATTTCATATTCCACTCGCGCTCGCTGAATAACTGACAGAATTGTCCGATGGTCTCCATCCCCCATAAATAACAGGTTTGATAGGAGCAACAGTAGTCAGTAATCACTGAACTATGTTTTACATGTCAATTCCTGCTTTCCAGATCTAATATCTGTTTATGGAATGGTCATATTTCAATGTTATGTTAAACATACTCATTGCCAGATTTCATGTTTTCTTCTTTGATTCACAGCACCCCAAAGCAACGTCCCTGCAGATACAACTGCGAGGTCTGCAGCAAACCGTTCCGAAGCCGCAGCGAGGTTAAAATCCACATGCGCACGCACACAGACGAGCGGCCGTTTGAATGCGGCATTTGCGGCAAAGTCTTCAAGCTCCTGCCGCATCTCAAAGACCACATGCTTATCCACACCGGTGAGAAACCCTTCCAATGCGACACCTGTAAAACCTCCTTCCGACGAGTCAGTACCCTGAGACGTCACGTAGTGCGCATGCATTCCGTTACTAAGACACACACCTGTAAGATGTGTGGCAAGGCCTACTTCTCCGCAGTCGACTTGCGACGGCATGAGAGAAAACACATAGGAGAAGACTCTGATCAGGAGAAGAAGAAGAGCAAAGAAGAGAAGAAGCTGAAAAAGCAGAAGAAGAAAGACAAGGAAAGGAAATTGGCTGAAAAGAAGTTGCTGGAGGATGAGAACAAGGAAAAAGACACTGTACAGGATGAAAATGCAGAACAGATGGAGCAGGGGGAGGCATCAACTGAAGTCAGGGAACCAGACGAATCAGGCAGCGTATTAGACCAGCAGGACCCCATTGATGAATCCGCAGACAATGAGACTAGGGTTGATCCAAATATTACAAAGGATTTAGCCACAGACGATAAGCCTGTACAGTGAGCTGACATTGGTCAACTCATTTAATCCGGGGCCAATTCCAGTCAGCTTTTATGAAAGCGCTGAAATTTGCTTTAAGAGAAAAGATTACCAGCCACAATTCAATTTACATGTACATAGTGTTTTTGTTGGTGCTTTTTATTTCACCTCCAAATTTGGAGAAATTGATCTAAATGTTGGAAAAAGAAAAAAAATTAAGCACTTGCAGCAAATCTGCAAATTGTTAGAAGTTAAGGGCATTGTGAATGTAGTTTGTTTGTAATTCAACATTTAACTATAAAGGATTTGAGGCTATGAATTTGTAAGTACATGTACATGTATGTGTATTGCCCAAAAAATCTAAAAGTATGAGCCTGTTTCTTTTTGCCAACTTTGTGTAGTTTATATTTTCACAGTCGTATCTCCTAAACTGTAGACAACTTTGGTGAGTAGAAAGCTGCATTACATTTAGTTTGTAAAGGTGGTTTATTTTTTTTTGTAAAAATATGTCATTGGTGCATAAATACAGTAGTTGAAATAGTCATTTTGCTTTTCATGTTTTGCCATTATTGTGGCTCAAGAACTGTCCTTGTCGGTGTATGTCTAAAAACTACAATAAGCTCTTGTATTTTTTGACAATATGACTCGTAGCATTTATACTAAATTTTGAAGGTTTGAATTAAGTATCCAAAACAATTTTCTGTTCCTTTCTCCATTTCATAGACGATAGTGATATCAAAATACTTCCTTCAAGAGAATGTGTGAGGATTGGAATTACCAATCTTGTACAGAAAAAAAAAATGTTAATACTTGTAAATATTTGTCAGATTTCAGTTTGAAACAGCAAGAAAGTTAAAGGGAACATACAACATTTACTTTTGCTGTAATTTTCAAAAATGGATTTTTGTTGGGCATTGTCATAATGTATACATGTAAATAGAACTTCACAGAAGAGGATTAATCTGCACAAGATGTTGTGGGCCTTAAAATTTAATTCTTGTTAGTTAGTACAGCATGTTTAATTAGATTATTCATTTATTCCCCTGTTCTTGATATTTTCTCGTAGTCTTATAAGGATTAAAATAATTTTATTTTAGAGGGATTAAATTTGCAAGATTTGAATGCTAGTTGTACAAAGTTATAATTAAGCCAGTAATTGGCATTTGATGATCGGTAGAGTTATCTTTGGGAAGTTTGGGAAGTATATCATAAGTCAATCCTGTCAATCAAAACTCCAATTGTTTGCATAAGGACCACATTGACTTTTGATGACCAATCTTTTTGTGTTTTGAATTTCAAAGAATTTTTAGGTGTACATGTACATTTTTCTTTCCCTTATAATCAGTTTGAATTTCTAATTTTCTGATTTTGAACTTCACATTTTCAGCACTTAAAATGTCCTATGATTAGATATTAGTACATGAGTGAAACTTTTCATTAAAATTAAATGAAATGAAATGCTTGATCATTCGCAAGACTTGTTATTAAACTTTATTTTATGAGATCTTGAGCTCTAATATTGATTGTTTAAATAATTATTTTTTGTCATCGTTTCAATCTTATTCGAAAAATGCATGAATTGAATGATTCCAAAGACTATCCGAAAAGTGAAGTGAAGATCAAATGTCCAGATTGGAGAGAGAATTTGTTTGTCTTTTAAAAAAATAATCTTTTCTGTTCAACTTCAAAATTCTGTTTGTGTTCTATAAAACATTGTAGATCGAAATCATTCCTGTGTCCCATGGCGTAATTATAGGGTTAATCTTCGGGGTTGGGGGCACCTATGGTTGCAGAAATGTTTCAAGGAAACCACTGACAGCAAACGATACAGATTTGTATTCAAGATTTCATATGGGGGGGGGGGGGGGGGAGGGGTTAGGGCGGAGCACGGGGTTTCCTTGGGGGAGGGGGCACGTGTCCCTACTCGTATCTAGTTACGCCACTGCCGTGTCTAGGGTGGCGGAACTGCAAGGCGTACTTCACATTATTTGGGGAAAAAAGACAAGGTGCGAAGTCGTATTGCTGTTAATTTAATGCACATTAAACAACATGGAGTCTGCAGGGGTGTCGATAGGTGTGGGGTGGGTAATCCCCTCCCCCCCCCTCCCCTCGATAAATTGCTAATATAATAGAGAAAATACGAGGATTTTTGGGAACTAATGTGCTTTGCCCCCCCCCCCCCCCCAGGAAAAAGATTTTGGCGACGCCCGTGTATACGCGTGTATATTAATACGTTTCTTGCAAAGTTCATGAACAAAAGCGACAACACGAATTAAAAATAATCAAAAATCAAAACAAAACAAAATCTAAATTAAGGCGGCCTGACGTTCCGATCTTAATATGATCTACTAATAATAAAACCAAAAATCTAATTATTTTGATAAATTTGTAACGCCTGAAACAAATCCCATGTAAACTTGTGATTCCTTCCTTTTGAGCAATGGCAATGCTGAACTATTTATTCCTTTTATAGCGCTAGGATCCGCATGACTACCGATGAAGCGTGTCCACACCCAGCACAACGCATGCTGCGTGCAGCAATTTTGACGATTGTGAAACCACCCGACCGTGACGCCATAGCCTGTGCCCTCGGGTTGGGAATATGCAAATTAAGAGCCTAACCCACGATAAAAATAGGCGTGCGTGTGTCAGCTGTGTTATCTTGCGGCCTTGAACCGAACGTTGGTATGAGAAAAACGTGTACATGTACATGCCATGTACATGTACATGTACATGTTGGACGACTGGCACCATCTCGTTTATTGCGGTAACGCAAATCCATGTTATGTGTTTATTCACGTACATGAACACGTAAGTGGATTCGTGGAACGTGGTATATTGTGGTTGTGTGTTATCCTATGGAGCTATCCTATCTCCATTATTATGGTATGAGTTTCCTTGTTCGCGATAATTCAACACCACGGCGTATCTCGCGTATAGCGTTCTCTCCAGCCATGTTGTATTGTATGGTTTGGAGTTTGATCTGAATCATATAGTCCACTCTTATGGTCCAACTCATATGAGTTTGCTGATGAAGGTGAGTAGTAATATTGGTTCCAAAATTGGTTAATTTGCTGCATGTTTATGGTTTTTGTACAATACATGTACATGTACATTCTGAGATTTGTTGCATTGTTCATAGGTATTTGTACATGTATCTCTGAAAACTAGCGTTTTAAGGGAATCGTGAAATATTCGATTTTTTTTACGTCACGTACTAATGCGTGGTTTGATAACACCTTTAAATTTCAACACCTTTTACTTAGGATTCTGATGAGTATCGTCTGCGTTGATGAAGTCAGCACGCTTGAGAAATGATGACACCCAGACGTCTTTGTCATGTGATGACACTAATTGTAGCAAGTCTATGTGAGTCATCAACCTTAAGAGATTCATTTTGCCTTCATTAAAAAAATTGTATTAAACGTTTACTGACTGATATTTGTGATGTATTCTTCTGAATACCCACAGAATCCAACAGTGCAATTCCAGTGTTGAACATGTTTAATAGAAGGTCGTTTAAATGTCTGTATATAATAAACATCTCCATGGTATAAAAACATATTTATTAAATTGATCCAAAAGAACATTACTAGATGATCGGGGTATATTTGAAAAACATATTTTAAGTTGTATTCATAATGTTGAAAATTACCTCGGAGAAAAACACTAGACTGTTAAAGACCTACAAAAGGTCCGCTAACATCCTCCATGCTATACCTAACAACTTTACAAGTGCCGTGTTTTTGGCAATAATAATTCGGTCTTTTTCCGTGTTAAACATTTGGCCGCCAATATTCTGAACTAGAGTATATTTCATATAATTTATAAACCAGCCACGTAAAATAGCAGCTATTCCATGACGTGTATATAAAAGGGTCAAACGTGCACAATGGTTCCATTATTGTTCAATATAATGCGTACTATCCATGAAACAGACGCTACAGCAGAAATGAAACTGTGCACACTGAGACATAATCTGTAATAATAAACACAGCAGATGCACGCATGTTTTCATTTTGGTTTTGTATAACAAGATGGCCGCAGTCTTTTAATTAGAGAAACAAGAAACATACCCGCATATAAAATGGAATTCCTAGCATTGGTAACCCCAGTCCCCATATGTTATATCGTTCAAATCCTCCGTGCAGTGGATTGATTACGTTGGTTCACTAACATCGACCTTTGATGTTTATTCACAAGATCATAACGTACGATGTACCAGACCGTCAGTGCATGCGAATTAATTATGGTATAGTCTTAGAGTTAACCCCCCAAAAATACACTCGGTCACATAACCTTCTCTGTCACAAAAACGTATGCTGTTGAACACGTTTTTTCTTCCTTAACTTTGTGAAGATTGCATTAGATTATGTTGCTCCTACCTCCATGGTTGCATGGAGAAATATCCGGTAGAACATCCGGCAAAATCTGACCTTCCGGTTTCGTTTCCGGCTGTGACTTCAGCTTTGGCCTGAGAACCATTTTATATTAATTTTAATTTTATATTACATGTATAATTTTGTATGTATAATTCTTTGAATTTTAAGTTTTTTTTTATTAGTTTGTTAAGATAAATTAATTACAAACACGCCGATACGAAGTTAAGTCTTTGCGGTTATGATAAAAATGCAGTAGTGAGATACAACTAGGATGTCTCCAAAAAAACTAGCAGTCAACCAATAACAGCAGCAAATAATGGTGCTCTCTTTTTGCAAAACTTATCTTTAGAGTCTGAAGGTGTAGTACATACTGTACACAATGGTCTTTATCCCATCTCATTTGGACACCCCAGTCCAGAGATATATACATTAATTAAATGAAAGGGCTTGAATTCCAAATTGGGCCAATTGGAATCTAATGAAAGGCACAAAGAAGGTGAATAAAGTGGCCCAAAGAGATTTTGACAGCCTTGACAAGCTCTTCATGTAACTTTTAAACAAAAAGTTCAAAATCACACGGAACAAAAAGTCTGTTAAGGGTATAAAAGAAACAGTCTATAATCTCAGGGCATTTTTTGCCAAAAGAAAACGATTTAGTTTCTTCAGAAAAAAAATTGTTGTTTAAACTGTTATTTCTACATTATTTTGTTGGAGACACCCGGTTCTTGATTTTGTTTCGACATTTATTCCTGCGAATATCATGGAATTGTTCATGTTCCTTATAGGTTTAGTGGAAGCCAGCACGTGTTACAACTCGACTATTCACGCCACGCCCGGTGCCCATGACGTCACAGTCTTCAAGGGCGCGGAAACTATCGATTGTGAAGATGGTTTCGGCTGCTCGGTAAGTCACCCATAAAGGCTTTTTCCTCTCTCTAAATATTGGTTTGTTTTGTAACTAATCGGCATTATTATTGTATTTTTGTTTAAAAGTTGTGGTCTTTAGGCAGGCAACGGACGTGTGCATGTGACAATTCACAATAGCAGCAAATTGTATGATAAACCGGAGAAATTTCCCCAAGTGAAGACGTGTTCTTAATTTCTGACCCGAACTCCACTCATTCTAAATCTACCCAGAGATCAACTGACTTAAAATATAACATTTTAACGCTTGGTTAAAAAATGACAAATAGTGTGCGATACACGACGTGTACGACTAATTTGTCTGGTAGGAATTACGGTGATAATTCAACCTTTATAGAACTGGAACAGAACGAAACGGAAGTTTCCATGGATTTTAATTTTCGTCCTGGATTTGTTTTTCCTTGAACTTCAGAAAACTCTGATAACTAAAGCCGGGAAAACTCTAGGAGTGTCCCGAGGCTGCGGACTGTATGGCTGTCTGGGTAAATCCTGCTTTCTTCTTCACGGTCATCGGCTCTGCGTTTATTGCTGCAGTCATCCAAACTGCAACAGCGCCGGCGCTGTGACCTCTGAACTCGCACTACTTGGTTTGTCATTGGTCGCCGGTTGGCTGATTAGAAAACATTAATGAAACCACGTGATCGTGGATAATTAGGACTCGACATTGGATTGGATGATTATGAACTAAAGATACTTCAAACTCTGAGTTTTCACGAGCGTGCGTTAGCCACCACACGCATGCAACTATTATCCCGCAGCTGTAGTGGATTGTTGTTGGAGACGTATCAAGCAGAAGAAGCAGAATCAGAAACTAGCAAGTTTACTTAGGCCTATATATGACAAGCGGAATCACGAATAACGCGTTGGCGCCGTGAACTATGACCTCTGAGGACAAGTCTCGTGATTGTCTGTACCATTACAATGATTGGGAACAAAGTTGAAAGTACAGGGTCCTTGAGAAAAACTTGTCTTGTGAGCACTATGGATGATGTAATCTGCGAAGTCGGGGTGGGGGTGGGGGGGGGGGTGCGAGGGGTTGGTTAGGTCGCTTGACGTCGTCTTTCGCAGCTCAACACAGTATTTGCATCTCTTACAATATGGGTAAATTAAAGTTGACGTAATATGTTGGACATGTTACAATGGATAAAGCAAACGAAGAAGACGCATCGGCTGACGTCATGGGTCACATGGCCTATAACAGGCTGACTGGAGGCTCGATTGTGTCAAAGTTTCATTAAATTCCCCATACAGCAATAAGAATTGAATTATGTTGAATATAGTCAACAATAAGGGGTGAAGGAATCATGATGTGCCTCGCATTGCCTGCACGATTTGCCTAAAAAGTTTTCATAATTAATTTAACCCTAGGAGTCTTTGAGAATAAGATGTCCATTATCGACATGAATATGCAACAAGTAAAATATTAATGAGTTCGGATGCAAAAATAGATATCCATGGCTTAATCACCATGGTAACGGGGATATGTAAAAGCCATTTGATGAGGCCTAACATTAATTGGTTATTGGGCCTTCACTCAGGCTGGAAAATATTGCAGTCGTTGATTTGTTCTCAGTTTCCACAACCTGCCTTAATAAAAGACTTGTACTTTCGTAGGAGAAAGGATCTATGCCATAAATGCGAACTCATATTATAGAAAAAGAAGTAATTTATGAGGAGGACCTCATTTCAGAAGTAACTATTTTTGTCCATTAATATTATTATCTTTACTAACAACTCTTTATGCCTTTTGTATGATACCAAGAAAAATGGATCTCTTTAAATTACCGCAACATGTTATATTATTTAAGTCTTGGATCCTAATGTTTGTAATAAATATACACATATACTTGTATTCTTTAAGAAATTCGTCATTGTTGGATTTTTTGTTTGTCGTAAGCTTTTGGCTACCTTTTTTTTGGGGGGGGGGGTACATAAAATGTAGATAACCTGCAAAAACAAGAAAACAATAGTTTTTATATTTTATTCAATGCACACAATTAATGTACACATATATTTTAAGAAGTCAAACAGTGTTTTCACAGTCGTTACCATCTCGAAAGAGCTGTCGCTTTCCACAAACAGACGAATTGTTTTATGGAAAATAGTATTCTATAAAACGGATAACACAAGTCGCAAATTTCATGTACCCACACAAATAATGTCTACAGTGTACATGTATTTGGTTACGACTAGAACATAGCAACTTGAAACAAGTCTAAGCGTTCCAGAATCCCAGTGACGTTTCCATAGATACCTGTTACCATAGCTACAATATTACAGATGCAATTATATTCAAATCAATATATTTGATTAAGTGTGTAATTGAGAACGCGCCGAGGCAATTATGGTGATTGACACGAGCGTTCAGAAAAACGAATAAAAAGTCAGATATTTCAATGAAATTCGCTGTTATACAGGCATGCAATACTCTGACGTATCGCCGTTTGCGTTTCTTACCCTAACCCCCGGATCCGGCCTTGGATTCTGCCCGTTGCCTAAATTACGACATGTCGTGTCAGACACAGAATAAACGCACCAACATTGGTATCATTGGAGAAGAAGCAGAGAAATGTGCCGCCCCTACAATCCCAATCACTAAGACATTCGTGTTTTTATAAATTGCTGTAGAACGAGATGAGAATAATAAGTTGTTTCAGAATTCGGAACCCAAGGCAAAACCAGGATACCTTCACATACGATTTAATTTCGAACGTGAACAAATCGTCGCTTTGCTCACGAAGTGACAAAAACCTCCAAAATCGATAATTATTCGATTTTGAGTTTTACTAGCCATTTTATTATAGTTGTCTCAAGGAACAATTTGACCAAGTTTCAAGGCAAAATATTGTTTACTTTCTTAATTATTGTAAACAAACAATTGACAAAAAGCCTGAAATCGGTGATTTTCATTTTCACAAAGTGTAAAAAAGTGTAAAATGTTCTCACGAAGTGACAAAAAGTCACCTCGTGAGCAGGGCCAGAAATTATACAATGGTCTATACGCGGCAGGATGGAAGCATACACGCGCGCGCGAACGATGTTGAAAAAGAACAGACGCGCGCGCGCTCAACTGTCGTGACGCGCAAAAGTAACAAGTTTGTTGCGTCGAAAAAAAGATTCATGATCCCACGAAGTGACAAAAACTGTGTACAAAGTAATTGGCAAAATATGGGAGCCAAAGTTCTGATGTTCTCACGAAGTGCAAAAAAGTTGTATTAATGAATTACTGTTTAATTACGAACTATTTTTAACAAACAACTATGAACTAACAAAGAGCAAATCATATCCTATCGGACAATGTAAACAATTCCGAATTCTGTTACTGCAAAATGGTCGAAAATGTCCTTTGAAAAAATGAATAATTTCAAATGCGATTATCTCAGAATGAACTTTTGTCAAATTTTGAGGTTTTTGTCACTTCGTGAGCAAAGCGACGAAATGTGAGACATTAAATTATAATTAAAAAACCAGTGCGTGTGTCAATAAAATTACTTTATATAATAGGCCTATCCAATACTTTGAAATGACATTAATTTGTAACTGCCCTTTTTAGAGTATAATAATAACAAAAAATCAGCAACACTATTTTTAAATTTCAGACAGCTGGCATTTGCAAATTAAATGATCTCGACAGATAAAAATAAATGGCAATCGATATTATTGTGAATAGTTCTATACGTGCATCAGAAAAGGAACTTTGGAATTAAGTGCATTTAAACTGTAATTATTATTGGGAAAACCGTGCACATTTTCCCCGGTCATGTTGGTTTCAAGCGAATTTTCATATGAGCTGAAGAGTTTTACCCCAAAAGGGGAACTCGGTGCTGAGTCCATCCAAATCGCTTGAAACCTCTCTTCTTCCTAAGGGAGAAATATGATATTAGAGTCCAGCCCTAGGGTGTTGTTTTTCAACAGTTTGCAAACGAGAATGCAATATAAATGGCGGCCATTACAAGGACTATACTTAAGGTCATAGAGCATGCGCCGTTGCAGTATGACCCCACGCATTGGTAGCGGCAAATATCGATGTTTACACTGGTCAACATGTCGTCTTCGTTTACGGCACACGGGTCAAGTTCCAGGTCACTGTCGGTTACATTGTTAGGGGCACACGAACGAAGGATTAACTTCACACCCTCAGCAGATAGAACGGTCTTCTGCAAACCGAAAAAATATTAAAAATGAATAAGTGAATAAAAAAAAACCACACAGATACTTTATATAATTACCTCTGCCACGGAGGTTATAGTTTCACCGGCGCGCTCAGGTAGTATACACACGCTCTGGTGGCTAATTCGATCATAATCCGGTTAAGGTTCGTACTTAAGTTTAAACCACGCCAACTGCACATTAACTAGCACTGGAACCATTGGAACCGGAAGATAACGGAAAGTTTAACCTGAAGTTAACTTGAGTGTTAATCCAATGAGCGCTGGTAATCCGTGGGGCTACTAAAATGCGCGCGCGCGTGCAGCATGCGTGGGGCCGGGGGCGTGGCACCACCGCCAAAATGGCTTCTAATTTGTTCGGGGTTAATTGAATTACCTGGCATCCATTCGTGGTACATTCTAATTTGAGAACTTCTTCATCAAGGAAGGGGTCATTACAGACGGAGTTTGGGTCGATTTGTGTTCCGGTTTCATCCAGGGTATTACAAAAGTAACACGTGGCACCAGCTGACGTTGAACCTGCGACGAGCAGAAAACCAACGAAACATGTATACGGCTGCTTCAGAATTACTACGCTACGGCTCGCGATTACACTCGCCTCTATGGAAGAGGTCGAAGCCTCTTTGCAAAGACGCGCAAAAGCCAGATCACGTTTTCATTTCTCCTTCTTTAGAAAGATTTTTTCAAAATCTAGGCCTTGTCTCAAACTTCGGCTGCATCCTGGCTTGAGAAACATTGGAATTAACTATGACTTATTGCTTAATTTACCAAGCAAACCTTTAAATCCTATTCAGAAAATATAACCATTCTTTTACAAGATTTTTCTATACTTACTGATACGCAGAATGTTAAGCATCAGTACAGCCAATATAAACCCCATCTCTACACTATGCAAAGAGAACCTGTCGAAAAAAGGTGAAAGTAAATTGATTAATTTTCTTACGAGTTGCAAAATTTATCGTTGGAAAAAGATCAACTTAGCAAACAATTGCCAAGTTCAATTATTGTTGCTTCATGACGGCCGAGACGGGGCAAAACAAGAAATCGTAAAGTAAAAATACGAACAAAAATGTTTAGCTTTTAGATGTTCCTTTTTGGTTGCCAATGTCATACTTGGGTGCTCTTTCCAACATTTGGTGAGTGTTGCAATGTCATTGCCTTATGAAGTTATTAAAATATACAATATATTGCAATATACATTTTTGAAGATTTTTAACTAATGTATTGGTCAGTGTGTCATTTCAAAATTGGCAGCGTGTCTACAGATGCCATTTTGGTGTTTAATTAACACTACAGAATTAACACTAAGAATCGGCCGAATGCACTCAGAACTATCATCACCACTGTTACAAAATTTGGGCCTACCTTTTCTTGCAAACTTCCCCGACTTTTAGCCTTGTGTCCCTTTGGATGTTGTCCCAAGCACAAGCAGCAAGCAAGTGATTGCAGGCAACAAAAGAAAAACTGACCACAAACAATCACTTAATGAAAAACAATCGAGCAGAAGCAATTGGACGGAGCAGTGGCAAACGACAAAAAGTCATTACAAAATTTCTGTTTGGCAGCAGGTATTAAGTTCAAAACTCGATGAGAAGCTATCTGGTGTTACAAAACTATCACGACAATGAATACTTTTATTCCAAGACGATGGCTGTTTTCTAATTTTCCGAACAGGTATTTTTTAAAGCTACATACTTTAAACAATTAATTTCCAAGGAAAATTATGCAGTGTGTGCATTTTAGGCATCTTTTGGGCCCAGCAAACGTTTTTTGTTAATGACTGCAGTAACGATGGAACTGTCCTCTACTTTAAATTAAACGAAAGGGTGAAAATTAAAATAGGTAATTGCAATTGTTATTAACAATTGCAATTGCGGGCATCTCAATAACTTCAATTGTCTTTAGTTATTTAGCGAGGCAAAATGTTTTTCCTCATTACAAAATGGAAGTGAATCGCACTTCCCGATTCGATACACAACAGATTCAAATTGACACGGTGATGCACATCTTGATCTTGCAGGTCCTTCTTTTAATTAAGATATACGTGTTACCATTACAAGTAGCTTGGGTTTGATGCAACGCAAAATATACAGGTATAAAATCAGATACAGTTTATGGAAAGGAAAGTTGTTGCTTTTCCTAATTTTTAAAAAGAAATGTAAAACACAGAGACCCAGCGGAACCTTTGCACTTTTAAAAGGAAACCCAGACGAAATGCAGACAGTCGATAATATTGTTTGATGACAGCCCTGAAGTATATTTGACTGAAACCTTTCCTGCTCAAAAAATAAATAATTCAATAAGAACAATATAACATTAAGAGTAAATATGCTGCTAAAAAAACAAACGATTCAAGTGGCCCACTTTTGCACAGCAATACATTAATGCTGGAGTTTTGACAAAAACAAAAGTAACCAAAAACACGGGATTCTTAGCTGTTACCTGGTCCACGCTTAGCACTTATCTACTGATAAGATCGATTTGGCATCCTGGTATTTTACGGCCATTATTGGGACACGATCTGCCTTTGCATTTTTTTTGAAGCTATTCAGGAATTCCAGAAGGCTTTGGTATATACGAGTAAAAAAAAATAATAAAATATCAAATCGAAGAAAATGTCCACTATAGAGAACTAGGTCTTAGTGGTAAAAAACAAAAGACCATAAATATATGATAAAAAAACAAAGGACCATAATTATTTGTATAAAAAATATAGTGTCTGCTTCAAGGAAAAATACAATTATACTCTTGTTCAGAATTAAAGTATAAGAATACACCGCAAAATATTTATATATTTTAAACAAAAGCAAATTATTTACAGCCTTATAGGCTTCAGCTTATTTATAGGCTTCAGTTTATTAAAATTGTTGGTTCCGTTTGTGAAGATGATGCTTAATTACACATGTCACATCATCATGGAAACCAGCATTAATATCGGGGAGATAAGCATGATGGGAAGGTTAAAGGTCATTGCGCCTGCGCTGTTGCATCTGTTGTCAGTACAGCAGTAATTACACGTCTCCCCAGTACACGTTTCACTGCTGCATTCCTGTTCCGTTGAGCATCCTCTCATTATCGTCTCTGTGTCGTTCATCATCGCAACGGATTTCTGGTTAAAAAAATGTCATAATTAATAAATGCATGGCCGGTAAATTATTGTGTGGATGCAAAGCAATGAGCAATCGGCGGTCCGTAACTTCGCCCTCAACTGTTAAAAAAGAAGCAGCAAAACATAGTACACCGTTCACAGTGGGCCGCTATTTATATGGTCATGTGGTTTTTGCCGGGGGGTTTGGGGGTAATTTTATTTCAAAAACGTCCCATTATGCTGAGGAAACTGTGCGCGTACTGCTTTGCGCGCGTATATTAAGGCTCGAAGCACGACTAATGTAGTCTGGTTTCCTGACCCATTGTCATTTGGACATAATATCTTTAAGGGGGCGGGCAACAGTCTGGACTAAGTAAAGTTTTAGCGTCTTTGCGAAACGTAAACGTCAGGCGTCGTCATGCAGCAATGCGTTCGAATCATGTTTCTCCCAGTGGTCTTCCCAACTCTCCCTTTCATACCGTTGAGGGGGTACTTGTACTTATGCAGGGAGCCCATTATGATCACATATTACCCATCTTACCAAACAACCGGAGGAGCCAATGCAGTTTTTGACTGAGATCGCTTCAGGCGTAGTGAATGGGTCTTTGCATGAAGCCATGTCATCGGTTGCTGATGACCACGAACACCAGTAGCATTCCAATGCCGTTACGATACCTTAAGTCCAAATAAAAAAAGGGGGATCGAGAATAAAATCTGAGGTTGAAGTGATGGCGGGGGGGGGGGGGGGGGTAAACATCCAAATTTACAACACTGGAGTACATGTTGTTTAATCTTCACCCTGCTGGCATCTTACGGGTGCCATAGGGGTAACCAGGAAGCGGGGTGGTGGGCGGGAATAAGACGATGCAACTCTGTAATTAAAATACCTAACATTTCTTCAGTATTTTCTTCCATCAATTTTCTTTGTTTCCAGCAACTGTTGTGTACTTTGAAGAAAGGGCCTTGATTTCATTACTATAGAAATAATTAAATCCAATTTATAAATTGAACAAATGATAATGTTTCAGTCCCTATTGCTGTAACACGACTTTTCTCTACTCATTTACCGATTAAGATCTGGAGAGTTGCAAGAATGAGGAACAACTTCATCTTCATAGTCGTATCGGGATGTCTTATAGCTGTGTTTGATTTCTGTGAACAAAAAGAAAACAAAATCGGCACAGTTTTGAACGAATTTGCTAAAATAGCAGGGATTTCCATAAAGTTATTGTATAATGAAACCATTGTTATGGGTACATCCCCTCGACAAAAGTGACAAACTCTGTTTGCCATAAAAAGAAAACCTGCCAATCAGACTAAATCCCTCAGTAGTCAGAACAAGGGCCTCAGTGAAATAAAGCATTGAAGAACTAAGTTCACTGAGCTGAAACGCAGAGCTAGTCGCATGTGACATCACTCGATCGAGACCATCATAAACCATTTTCCAAAAACACGTCTACGTCTCTGGTTCATCTTATCTATATCTCCAGTTCTGTAATCCTTTTTGATGTATTTTTCTGTATGAACCCGATTAAAATACTAAATTGTGAGAAAAAGTAATTTCATGTTCCTGATGTAGAGCATATGATCCGAGGTTCCCATGGTCAGTGGGCTATCAACGCCAAGTCGTAATGAAGGTGGGATTTGGAAAAAGGTCTCAAATCGTCTTTCATGGATTACTATTCTGAGTTTTGCGCCCTAACTTAAGTTTCACTCGATCCTTAGTGAATATCATCAGAAAAAGCGGCGACCAGAAATTAATTATGATGACAATAGCTGCGCTGAGTGGACCTCTAAACATAGTACTGTCATGTTCAAAATAATTTAGAAAAAAAACATTAGCACAGTCGCAACAGCTGTTGATTTTGAGCACTGCGAAATCAAGTTCAAGTTTGAATGAGGTATTTTTTTTTTTTAAGAAACCAGCCTCATCAAACTTCATTTTGTTTACTGAATCAAACCAAACCCACAAGAGTGGCATTTATTTTATCATCTTCCTGTCAACACCTCTCTCCGAACGCAGGGGGTCTGGGGTCAACGTCTAAACTTGTCACTGAGACCATGGAGGAATAAGACGATGTATTTGACTGCGGTGTCTTGTAGAACATGAAAAATGTGCTCACGTACAGTAAACAGACCAACTTGAACATTGCGACCTTTGAACTGATCCGGCAAACTGTACATAGTGTGATCGAGTATAGATCACAAACCGCTGCAGTGTCACCCGTTGGAAGTTATAATAGATTTTGTACATGCATACACAATACAGGCCTAGCCTACATTACGTAATGCAATAATCTTCTCCATTGACAAAAGTTGTGCAAAACGATATTAGGCTAAACTGATTATGATAATAACCATCATGGCACAGCACCAATTTTACCTTACACTGAGCTGCAGGACGTAACCTTAACGAGAGCTTTGAGAAGTTGCGTCAAGTTTCAAATCTCTCAAATGAGGATTATTGTGGCTATTATGCACGTACGGTGTCACACAGTACGTGTACAATGCGTGTATATTATTCAGAACAACCTGCAACCAAAAATAGCCTGAATGTTCACTGGTTGCTTTCGCACAATGGCGGTTCAATAAATCTCTTCAAAGGGAAAGCGAAAGGTTTTCTAAAGGTCGAGGTGGAACTGTGTTCAACGGCAAGTTCACATGCGACAACGTTCTGACCGATACCGGTACGCGAAAGGGCGCCCGGAACTTTAACATCCGACTGCGCAAGCGCAGATCCTAAAAGTTTGCACCAGGCTTTTAGTTTCTTTTCACTTTTTATCGTTCAGCATAAAAAAAATCAGCACAAAAAAATTGTTCTGTTGGTAAGCTATTAGATTTCCTGCAGTTACAATTTTGAGTAATGGAAAGTGGATGTTCTGATGACATCACGTTATGATAATTTTATCGGCTGGGACTGAAGCAAAATATTTAGATGGAAACGCGCTGCCTATATTCCTTGACCAATATAAAAGGACATTATTGCCAGTGCGGCTCAGTATAGCGGAACTAGAGAGGGGTTGGGATTGCAACCCCTGTTCAGCCGCTTATATATGGAATGTCAAAGTTCCTAAATTTAGTCTCAAATAGCCATAGAATACAAGAGAAACCATCGTAGTTTTCCAATTTTTCCCGGGGCAAGCCCCGAACCTGCTAACAGGGCATGCCTTCAGCACGCCTTCAACCCCCCTCCCCCGGCCCCCGTGTCCTGAATGTTAGATGCGCACCCGAGGCTATATTATTTAGCGAATTTCCATGGGAAAGGAGAGAGTTGCGACGGTCCCTAAAACCTGGAAACAACATGCTTCCATCTGTTATACATGTATTTTCTATGAGTATTGATGCATTGTCGAAAACAACGCAATTTGTTATCGCGTCTCTGATCTGATCACGTTAAGGCTTCGACTTGAGGTTGTGTTTATAATTATGCCTGTGGGTTCAACAGTGCGCCTGGAACTGCGCCCTCAATAATCATCTCTCAAAATTCCAGGCTTCTTCGAGGGCGCAATCAACAGAGTTCAGGGTGCTGCCCAATTATCATTCCAACAGGTGTCCAGGCTGCACAGAAATATTTATAACATGTCGTCTTTCAGGTTTCTTTCAATTTTTGGTGGGTTGACCGACAGGGCGAGTCAAAAAGAAACTGGACTGGATTAATGATTCAATCCGCCCCCAAAGCAATTACGTTTAATGCACAATGAAGCATGCATGCATGGATTTTTTCAAACCTAATTAATGAAATTGATCCACGCTATCAGAAATGATGCCTAGCGTACTAAAAGAAGAAGCCATTTTACTGGCCATGTAATGCTATTTTGAAGCTATTCAGCTAAGTGAGAACCACATATTACACACAGGCATTCAAATACAAATGGGATTGTAATAATTCGAGTAAATTTAGACTGAAACTTTATTTTTACTGTCAGACTTTGTGTTTTGTATGTGAGGAACAAATCTAGTTTCTTTTTCTGAATTGATGATGGTGATTTTGTCTCTTTTCCTTTCCAAGTATGCCTTCATTCATGGACAAAAACTGCATTGATGCGCATATAATCAGTATATGGCCATTGTGGAAGGAGGCCGAATTTTCGGATATTTGTAATACTATTAAGATATCAATAACGTATGAATAGACAATGCAGTTACGTGACATTTTCACAGTTACTAGTCAATAGTATTTTATTCGTATTTACAGTGAGCCAATGTTTTTAAATGTTTTTTTTTTTAACTCAGCCATTTCTTTATTTTGACACGCACTGTAACCATGGTAACCTGATATCGATCCATTGTGTTCAATCGAGACTATAGTTCAATGTTGTAACCGCTCGATTTCTATCGTGTTGTTTATTCCATTAAAATAATGCACCTCATCAATTGAACGATAATTAACCTGGTATCATGTAAAAAATACGTCAACGCAGCTTGTGAAATATTGTCCAATTACATGAAATACAAAAAGACACGGAACGCGCAAAAATGGAGACAAACAAAACTTAACGTACACAATTCAATAGGGTTGTCGAAGGGGCGTGGGTAACTCGCAAACGGCGATAGGTCAGTTAAACAGGTAAGTATAATTTGTATGGCTAACTCTTCATTCAACCATAGGAATGCCATTTTGCTTATGCAATTTTTCTGACTTCCCTTTCTTTTATTTCTCATTCTTGTTTTCAACGACGCTATATGGCGGTTGGAAACGACGTGGCGCGCGGTTGCCATATAACGTCGTTTCGAAGGACGCCGTGTTTGTCGCCAAGGAGACAGCTTTTTCCTAATAGCACAAACGCTCTCTAAATATAGCTCCTGGTTGCCCTAATGGTCAATACAAATTACTTATGGTTTGCCAGATGCTTATAATAAGTCGATTCAGGGGCGATCTGTCCCGCCAAACTAGAGCAAGAGATATCACCAGCCAATCAGAGGCCAGTCATCTCTGACTGATTTGCATAGTTTAAGTCGCGTCGGGCAGCCATTGGTTGTTACGAAGCAACCATGTCACATGACCAGCACGCGAAGAGAAGAAGCGCGTCGTTGCGCGCCCCATATTCCTCACTCCCTGATTGCCTCTCCATCAGCTAACTGGTCGAAACATTTCGTCTAGCAAACAACCAGCGACTGACTAAACAGACTGGTAAGTTGTGCCCCTCACTTTACTCACCTCAAGTTTGTCAAACAGGCATTTGAAGATACATATCTCCTGCTCTTCAAAACGTGGAAATTTTTGTTTGTCCTTTAACGAAATTTCAATTTATGTTTTTTGTTATAACGAAAAAATTATACTTTAATCCGATTTTTGGACGTCTGCAACCCTCTGAAAAAGAAATTTCGTTTGGCACAAAAACCATGGAGGAACGAACCCACCCAGCAAGAGCCGAACTACTGTCTGGCAGCCAATTAGTCGATTTTTGTGAAGAAATGATTCAAGGATTAAACGTCCGAGGATTTTTTCCATTCGATCTTTCATTCTAAAGTGAACAATTTCATATTCTTGGGAAAAAACTTCCCTTGAAATAATAACGAGAAGCAGAAGTAAAAATTATTTCGTAGCCTTCGTGGTCAACTTAAAACGTGAACGTAAAACCACTAGTCTGCCATCCAATAAGTCGATTTTGTGAAGAAATTGTTTAAAAAACTAAACGTCGGTGGACTTTTTCGTTCGATGTCTCATTCAAAAGTGAAAAAACTTTTATGCTTTTTGGGGGAATAATTCCCTGAGAATAATTAGAGGCAAAAGTGAAATGTATCCCTCAGCCTGGGTGGTCAACATAAAGCGCGAACGTAAAACCATCGCCTCCTAGTATACAATCGCGGATAAAAGCGAGAAGAGAAATGATCGAAATACTTTGAACCTAACACCGTGGTTTGCCTAATTCAGTGAAAAAGCTGTTTTAGGAGTTATTAAGAGAGGCACTGAAATTAAAACTGCTGTTTTGAATAAGAAAGTGATTAGACGCCTTTGTTACGCGTGTGCACTTGTTGAGAAGGTGCAGCAAATATGCAAAATTTGAAACCTTTCTCCATGGTAACCACAAGTTCTAAGACACCTGATCTGTGGTTTCTGATCCCACCGGTCGTGACCTTCGGGGGCTCTTTTTGTGTCGCTTCCACTTTCTATCTCGGACAAAAGTTGCTCACAAACCATGGCATATTTCAGTGTATAAGGTGACAAACAGTTTCAATTTGAGTTGTGTGAAATCCATTCAGCCCAAAATGCACTTGCGTCACTAAAAGCTGGAGTATAAACGAGTATTTAGCTTTGGTTGTAACCTAAACCGAATCTCGCACACAGTGTAACGAATTACCTTCCAATTTTGTGAGGCATTTCAACAAATACAAGTCCTGATTTCTATAAATTTAAATTTATTTCTATAAGAATAAATTTATAATCCGACTAGGCCTACTTAAAAGAATGGTGTGTAATGTTCCAAGGGATTTTAGCAGGCACATTAACAGAGTATTCAACCTGCGTCAAATGCTTGTGAAAATGTGAGAATTATTTTTCCGACAAGGATAGGGCATATGCCTATACAAAGAAATGTAACTTGATAAAATATTGAGTTAGCCTTCCAAGGTCTTGTGCTGTATACGAATAATAATCCATTGGTATATGGTCTCTATGATTTAACACCTCTCAGTGTTTACTTTGAAAAGCGTCAAGAAATTGATAATTATAGTGTTTTGCAAAAGAATGCTAATTTGGAATTTAGGCATGAATCTTCTGTTACAGTTTTTGTCTATTGATTTTTCCAAGGACTTTCATGCTTTCTTGCAACGTATTCTGACAATAGCCCAGAAAGAGCAGCATCTACATGTTATTGCAAAATTATAATTATAATTTCTATTCATTGTCAATCACTATAAGGCCCCCCAAAAATGTCTCCGGTTTCTGGTATGGAGCTTGCCCAAAAAGTGGTGCGGCGACGCAGCTTTTTTTTTTACCTGATTTTTCTGCTTCAAATGTCGGATGATGACAAGGGCGGATCCAGGGGGGGGGGGCAAAGGGGGCCATGGGCCCCCCCCCAAAAAAAAACGAAACCAATTTTTTTTTTATGTGGCGTCGCAATAAAGGCAGGCAATGAGTACACCACCATCTTTTCCTCAAAAAAAACATTGGTTAAAGTGGTCAGAAATTGCCTCAGATCGCACCACAGAGCATCTAGATTCCAACAGTTTTCGGGGCCCTTAAGCGGGCCCCGAACCCCCTGCTGTAATTTTTTTGATCCACTTTTTGAGGGGACCAAATTGTTTTTGCCCCCCCCCCAAAAAAAATTGTGTTCTGGATCCGCCCTTAGCTGATGACTGCAAATGGTGCCCGACTAAACTTAGTGCAAATATATGGGAGTCCAGGGAGGCCACATAAAGCTTATTCTCGACCATAACCCAATCTAAACACACGTTAAAATTGTGCAGCAGCAGGATTCCAGTCAAACCAGTGAGTCTGGCGGTTTTGAGACATCATCTTTCATTGAAAAAAAAAAACTTTTTCATTTTGCCGACGCGCATGGCTACGGCGACGCGCGCGCATACCAGAAACCGGAGACTTTTTTTTGGCCTAAAGACTTCGTTAAAAGGAATATGATAATAAGCGATGCGCACATCAACAATTGACATTTTTCATATTTTACACAATCACAAAATTACACAATTATAGGCCTACCAACGAAAGTGACGATACGTTCTCGGTTCAAAATGCTTGAACAAAACAGAAAAAATTCTCTACCCATCATGTTTCGAATTTTCATTTTATTTGGTAAGCGGGTTTTTTTCAACCCCCCCCCCCATTTTTTCTCATGCAAGCACAGCAAAACAGTTAACAAATGTTTATTGGAATTTTTAGATTATTAGACAAATCTAGTCGGAACTGATACACATGAACGACTGCTTTTCGTGGTATAAATTGTTGGGGACTTTTGACCAAAATATTCTCTGTCTGTTATGTTATGAAGCGTTGTTTTTTGGAGGTCTTATTCTCTGTCCTTTACATTCCAATAAACGAATTCGGTAGCTTATCAATTTTTTAAATTTCTCCTTTTGTTTTTCAAAAGAAATTTGACCACGCCCAGTCCAGTGTTAAACCAAGTCAGGATGAAGGTTGCCCTGTGTGCCTTGCTGTTCCTAGGTGTCCTTGGTGAGTTATCATAATGCCAAATTACCCCCAGTATTTTGGTAAATACTTCGCAAAATTAAAAAAAAAAACACCGAAAACTGACAAGATTCTTCTGTACCCGGGCAATAGAGTGTCTGTTAACAGACACGAAACTCGAGCTTTGTTTGAAACTGAATTGTTTCTTGTCTTTAATTAATTTCTGATTTCTGAAGAACAGAAGACAATTTAATAGAAATCCCTGAACTAGCAGAATATGTTTGGATTGATTGATTGACTTAAAAAGGCTAAGTTTGATTAACTGTTTATCCGATGCATGCCCCAAAATGAATTTGATTTTAATCAGTCTGGATTGTTTTGTTGCAAATAAACACAAATGTATGGCATAAGTCTACGTCTTTCTTTCTTTTCATATTGCAAAAACAAAACGATTTAGTTTTTATATTTTTGTATTAAAAAAGACATGAAAAAACACTTTTTCTAACTTTTTGACTCACCTTATGCAGGTACTACCTTGGCTCTAGAATGCTACTCATGTTCCTACACTAACCTCGTTAGCGAGACTGGCGACAAGAATTGTGCCGACCCGTTCAAAGCAACTGGCATCAGTAAGAGCACCTGCAGCGGAAAATGCTATGTAAGCACACATTTTAACCTCCAAATTAAAACCAATCAATTAAGTTTCCGGTGTCCGAATTGTTTATAGAGCTTCAAGTTCAGTCTTTGTTTTCGGCAATTACAATTATGTGATGAAATGCTTAAAGTAGTCATAGCCGTACGTATCTCAGCAAGCCCGTTTCGGATATGGCTTTTTCTTTTCGACTTATAGGCTCATCCGGGTTGTTATGGCATTGGCATATTTGTTTCTGGTTGGTACCATGTTTTACACTTAATCTCCCGACGATGCATAGGTCAGAAACCAGCTTTCAGTTGTTGACTGATCCCGAAGCCTCTTTTACTAATTCTTAACAATTGTACTTGACGGACTGTGAACCGGACTGTGTCCAAACCCACCTTGTCTGGCGTGTATTGATTGATAAAATGCTTGCGATCACCTACGAAATATTGGCCCATTTATCACTTTCTCCATACCAAAGGTCCCAAAGCGTTTTACAAACTATTACCCCTGTTCATCAGGCCATGAGAACAATTTTTCCAGCTGGTCGAGATCAGCCCTCTCTGGTCTCTACCTTCACATGTAACCATTTTACTGCTGGGTGAAAGTGTCTTGCTCCCAACACACAATCACCATGTTAATTCCGGGCAGGGTTCGAACCCACATACCACGGCACGTGGGTCGAACGCCGTAACCATGGGACACAGTGCTATATCAATGTGACACAGCGCTTCCATTTTCAAGGGAGTTTCCTCATTCGAAGGAAATTTGTACGTTCGAAGGATTTCTAAGGAAATGAAAAAAAGGAAAGTTTGAGGAAATCCCTTAGGGGTAAACAAAGTGTAAGAAAATTATTAAATTTATTATTCGGTCAGTTTTAGATTGACTTGAAAAAATACTGGTAGAATAAAACTTGCTGTGCTTGCGTACAAATTGAATTCTTCAAAAGAGGCTGGATAAGGATAAGGATTGTGGAAGCTCTGGTGTTAAAGGTCACAAATTAACCTCTTTCTTAGATAACTCTTTACATTATTTTTGGGTTTCTCTTTGCAGAAAACCATCACTAAGAACAACGGTGAGACGACAAGCGTCAACCGTGCCTGTTCGGCCCTGTGCGTTGCCGCCGACTGCACATCTGTCCTCGGTATCGAGGTCTGCGCAACATGCTGCGAGGGTGACCTTTGCAACGGCGCAGGCCCAGTGACCTTCAGCCTGGTTGCCATGGTTGCTATGGTGGCCTCAGCTTGGGCATTTTCCCAGTAGAGTGGCTTTTCGAGGCCACCATAGGCATCTCTGAACCGATACTGAAATCGTTATTTTGCAATAATGTTGAGAGTGCCTTTTCCTATTAAAAACACAAATTCTAAATGTTTTAATCGGTTGAATGTGTGCGTAATGAAGTAGCTTGGCCGAGGGGTGCCTTTCGCGTACAGATTATTAGGGTCAAAACGTACACCTGGAGAACATATTGATTTACAATTCACTTGAGTTACGTACAAAGTGCTAAAGACCATTCAGAAGGTGCCAGAGTATTTCAGTGACTATAGCGCCCTCTATTCAAATGTAGTTTTAAAGCGAGGCGATAGAATTGTAGGTCGATATGTTTTCTGACGAATTTCTCCGGAATCTTGTCCATGACCTATTTGGCATCAGTTAGTCCAAAGAGCATCCCAAATGACGCTTTTTAACAGTTTTTTTAGTCTTGTTTGGTACATGTACTTTTGTATGGAAACTGCATTTTTTGTTCTAGTATATATGCCCCTATATATGGCAGCAATTTTTCGAATTCCGTGGAGTCAGTATTTTTGGCCTTTTTCGTGTGTTGTATAATAAAATTGATGAACAAGTGCCTTAATTAAAACCGTGTGCTTTCATTGCACCTGCATTTGTGTGCAAGGGACTGTAATTAATGAATCAAATTACAAACTCATTCTATGTAAACCAGCAATGTTTCAAATGCACTCACGCACTCCCAACTCGGACTGACCATTAACTGGCTATTTCAATGGAACTATATAGGGAAGAACTATTCACGCTTAAGAGTGAATTTATCTAATACCGAATGGTTGAATTTCCACTACACAAAATTTTGTTTTCCGCAATTTCCATCAATCCTAAAACCAGAATGTTTTATTTTCACTTTAAATCGTCTGTTCTCGATTCTTTTAGTTGTTGATAAGGTGAAATTTCCATTCTTTCTTTGGAAATAAGAGGGTACGTTGAAGAGACTTGCAAGCATTTGCTCTATCTGGTGTAAACAAGCAAAATAAATGTGTAAGAGCTAGTTTAAAAAGTATTAACTGAAATGACATTGTTCAATTCTTAAATCCCCTCCACCTAATAGTGACCCTGTCATATTCGTGTTTAATTAAACAGGCAGAAAAAATTGAGTCAATTAAGTTAAATAAACCTTGAGACACGGATGATTAAGAAGACCCTGAGACAATCATATGTTAATGACTGTTTAAATATTAACCGCTGCTACATCAAACTATAGCTACTGCCATGAAGCATGAGCACCCATTAAAAATTTTTAAAAAATACTCGCTTTCCAAACAAAGAGCTTTTTGATTAATTAAAGCCGTCTGTCGAATAATTGGCTATCTTCAGATTGCAACACCGTATGACACCAGCGGTCAAGGTACACCTCCCGGTCAATTAAAGCGGATGACATGCTTGAGGCAGCCTCCTATATTAATTTATTTATACACATGTACATATACTATCGATTGACCTGGACGCGTGGATGGTTTATTAGACAGCGACCTTGGTCAAAAGAGAGAGCTTTACAAGCACCGCATAAAATGATTGATTAAATTTACTGTAACCGCGACCACCTCCCAACGCTATTCTGAAGCTCACAAAGAGGTAGCAGCTCTTCGAGCATACTAAAAGCAATTTCTGAACCGTTTTGAAACAAGTCAACATTTTACCCAATTTAAATAAAAATGCAAGGTTAACCCCTTGCACTTTTATTTTCAAATTTTGGCAAAAGAATGAAGTTGCCCGAAACTTGCAAGAAACATGCCCAAGGGTCCCTAAAACATCTCTCCATATATACATTGGACAGACGTTTCATTTAAAGGGCAAAATGCATCAAAATAATTAGTAAGAAATTGCATTTTCATCAAAATTGGGCAAAATTTGACATTTCTGGGAAACTTTAAACTGTAAGGGGTTAACGCCTTGCATTTTCACTCACAATTGGGCAAAATTTGACTTTTCTGGATAGTTTAAAATTATAAGGGGATAACCTTGCATTTTCATCAAAATTAGTCACAATTTGACCTTTCTTGAACGTTTAAAATTGCAAAATCCATTTTTATCAAAATTTGGCACAATTTGACTTTTCTGGAAAGTGTAAAATTGTAAAGGGTTAACCTTGCATTTTCATCAAAATTAGTCACAATTTGACCTTTCTTGAACGTTCAAATTGTAAGGGGTTAACCTTGCAATTTCAGCAAAATTGGGAAAAATTTGACTTTTCTGGAAAGTTTAAAATTGTAAAGGGTTTACCTTGCATTTTCATTAAAATTGGGCAAAATTTGTCATTTCTGAAAAATTTAAATTGTAAGGGGTTAACCTTGCATTTTCATCAAAATTTGGCAAAATTTGACTTTTCTAGATAGTTTAAAATTGTAAGGGGGTTCAGCTTGCACATTCATCAATATTGAGCAAGTTTTGACTTTTCTGAATGGTTTAAAATTGTAAGGGTTAACCTTGCATTTCCTTCAAAATTGTGCAAATTTGGTCTTTCCTGGGAAATTTTAAATTGTAAGGGGTTAACCTTGCATTTTCATCAAAATTTGGCAAAATTTGACATTTCTGGATAGTTTAACATTGTAAGGGGTTAACCTTGCATTTTCATCAAAATTAGTCACAATTTGACCTTTCTTGAACGTTTAAAATTGTAAGGGTTAGACTTGCATTCTCACTCACAATTGGGCAAAATTTGACTTTTCTGGATTGTTTAAAATTGTTAAGGGTTAACGTTGCATTTTCATCGAAATTGGGCAAGTTTGGTCTTTTCTGGGAAATTTTATATTGTAAGGGGTTAACCTTGCATTTTCATCAAAATTGGGCAAAATTTGACTTTTCTGGAAAGTTTAAAATTGTAAGGGGTTAACCTTGCATTTTTATCAAAATAGGGCAATATTTGACTTTTCTGGATAGGTTAAAATTGTAAGGGGTTAACCTTGCATTTTCATCAAAAATGGGCAAAATTGGACTTTTCTGGATAGTTTAAAATTGTAAGGGGTTAACCTTGCATTTTCATCAAAAATGGGCAAAATTTGACTTTTCTGGATAGTTTAAAATTGTAAGGGGTTAACCTTGCAATTTGATCAAAATAGGGCAAATTTGGTCTTTTCTGGGAAATTTTAAATTGTAAGGGGTTAACCTTGCATTTTCATCAAAATTGGGCAAAATTTGACTTTTCTGGAAAGTTTCAAATTGTAAGGGGTTAACCTTGCATTTTCATCAAAAATGGGCAAAATTTGACTTTTCTGGATAGTTTAAATTGTAAGGGGTTAACCTTGCATTTTCATCAAAATTGGGCAAATTTTGTCTTTTCTGGGAAATTTTAAAATGTAAGGGGTTAACCTTGCACTTTCATCAAAATTGGGCAAAATATGACTTTTCTGGAATGTTTAAAATTGTAAGGGGTTCCCCTTGCATTTTCATCAAAATTGGGCAAATTTTGTCTTTTCTGGGAAATTTTAACTTGTAAGGGGTTAACCTAGCATTTTCATCAAAATTGGGCAAAATTTGTCTTTTCTGGGAAATTTTAAATTGTAAGGGGTTAACCTTCCATTTTCATCAAAATTGGGCAAATTTGGTCTTTTCTGGGAAATTTTAAATTGTAAGGGGTTAACCTTGCATTTTCATCAAAATTGGGCAAAATTTGACTTTTCTGGAAAGTTTCAAATTGTTAGGGGTTAACCTTTCATTTTCATCAAAATTGGGCAAATTTGGTCTTTTCTGGATAGTTTAAAATTGTAAGGGGTTAACCTTGCATTTTCATCAAAATTGGGCAATATTTGACTTTTCTGGATAGGTTAAAATTGTAAGGGGTTAACCTTGCATTTTCATCAAAAATGGGCAAAATTGGACTTTCTGGATAGTTTAAAATTGTAAACGGTTAACCTTGCATTTTCATCAAAATAGGGCAAATTTGGTCTTTTCTGGGAAATTTTAAATTGTAAGGGGTTAACCTTGCATTTTCATCAAAATTGGGCAAAATTTGACTTTTCTTGAAAGTTTCAAATTGTAAGGGGTTAACCTTGCATTTTCATCAAAATTGGGCAATATTTGACTTTTCTGGATAGTTTAAAATTGTAAGGGGTTAACCTTGCATTTTCATCAAAAATGGGCAAAATTTGACTTTTCTGGATAGTTTAAAATTGTAAGGGGTTAACCTTACAATTTGATCAAAATAGGGCAAATTTGGTCTTTTCTGGGAAATTTTAAATTGTAAGGGGTTAACCTTGCATTTTCATCAAAATTGGGCAAAATTTGACTTTTCTGGAAAGTTTCAAATTGTAAGGGGTTAACCTTGCATTTTCATCAAAAATGGGCAAAATTTGACTTTTCTGGATTGTTTAAAATTGTAAGGGGTTAACCTTGCATTTTCATCAAAATTGGGCAAATTTGGTCTTTTCTGGGACATTTTAAAATGTAAGGGGTTAGCCTTGCACTTTCATCAAAATTGGGCAAAATTTGACTTTTCTGGATAGTTTAAAATTGTAAGGGGTTAACCTTGCATTTTCATCAAAAATGGGCAACATTTGACTTTTCTGGATAGTTTAAAATTGTAAGGGGTAACCTTGCAATTTGATCAAAATAGGGCAAATTTGGTCTTTTCTGGGAAATTTTAAATTGTAAGGGGTTAACCTTGCATTTTCATCAAAATTGGGCAAAATTTGACTTTTCTGGAAAGTTTCAAATTGTAAGGGGTTCACCTTGCATTTTCATCAAAAATGGGCAAAATTTGACTTTTCTGGATTGTTTAAAATTGTAAGGGGTTAACCTTGCATTTTCATCAAAATTGGGCAAATTTTGTCTTTTCTGGGAAATTTTAAAATGTAAGGGGTTAACCTTGCACTTTCATCAAAATTGGGCAAAATTTGACTTTTCTGGAATGTTTAAAATTGTAAGGGGTTCCCCTTGCATTTTCATCAAAATTGGGCAAATTTTGTCTTTTCTGGGAAATTTTTAACTTGTAAGGGGTTAACCTTGCATTTTCATCAAAATTGGGCAAATTTTGTCTTTTCTGGGAAATTTTAAATTGTAAGGGGTTAACCTTGCATTTTCATCAAAATTGTGCAAATTTGGTCTTTCCTGGGAAATTTTAAATTGTAAGGGGTTAACCTTGCATTTTCATCAAAATTGGGCAAAATATGACTTTTCTGGAATGTTTAAAATTGTAAGGGGTTCCCCTTGCATTTTCATCAAAATTGGGCAAATTTTGTCTTTTCTGGGAAATTTTAACTTGTAAGGGGTTAACCTAGCATTTTCATCAAAATTGGGCAAAATTTGTCTTTTCTGGGAAATTTTAAATTGTAAGGGGTTAACCTTCCATTTTCATCAAAATTGGGCAAATTTGGTCTTTTCTGGGAAATTTTAAATTGTAAGGGGTTAACCTTGCATTTTCATCAAAATTGGGCAAAATTTGACTTTTCTGGAAAGTTTCAAATTGTTAGGGGTTAACCTTTCATTTTCATCAAAATTGGGCAAATTTGGTCTTTTCTGGATAGTTTAAAATTGTAAGGGGTTAACCTTGCATTTTCATCAAAATTGGGCAATATTTGACTTTTCTGGATAGGTTAAAATTGTAAGGGGTTAACCTTGCATTTTCATCAAAAATGGGCAAAATTGGACTTTCTGGATAGTTTAAAATTGTAAACGGTTAACCTTGCATTTTCATCAAAATAGGGCAAATTTGGTCTTTTCTGGGAAATTTTAAATTGTAAGGGGTTAACCTTGCATTTTCATCAAAATTGGGCAAAATTTGACTTTTCTTGAAAGTTTCAAATTGTAAGGGGTTAACCTTGCATTTTCATCAAAATTGGGCAATATTTGACTTTTCTGGATAGTTTAAAATTGTAAGGGGTTAACCTTGCATTTTCATCAAAAATGGGCAAAATTTGACTTTTCTGGATAGTTTAAAATTGTAAGGGGTTAACCTTACAATTTGATCAAAATAGGGCAAATTTGGTCTTTTCTGGGAAATTTTAAATTGTAAGGGGTTAACCTTGCATTTTCATCAAAATTGGGCAAAATTTGACTTTTCTGGAAAGTTTCAAATTGTAAGGGGTTAACCTTGCATTTTCATCAAAAATGGGCAAAATTTGACTTTTCTGGATTGTTTAAAATTGTAAGGGGTTAACCTTGCATTTTCATCAAAATTGGGCAAATTTGGTCTTTTCTGGGACATTTTAAAATGTAAGGGGTTAGCCTTGCACTTTCATCAAAATTGGGCAAAATTTGACTTTTCTGGATAGTTTAAAATTGTAAGGGGTTAACCTTGCATTTTCATCAAAAATGGGCAACATTTGACTTTTCTGGATAGTTTAAAATTGTAAGGGGTAACCTTGCAATTTGATCAAAATAGGGCAAATTTGGTCTTTTCTGGGAAATTTTAAATTGTAAGGGGTTAACCTTGCATTTTCATCAAAATTGGGCAAAATTTGACTTTTCTGGAAAGTTTCAAATTGTAAGGGGTTCACCTTGCATTTTCATCAAAAATGGGCAAAATTTGACTTTTCTGGATTGTTTAAAATTGTAAGGGGTTAACCTTGCATTTTCATCAAAATTGGGCAAATTTTGTCTTTTCTGGGAAATTTTAAAATGTAAGGGGTTAACCTTGCACTTTCATCAAAATTGGGCAAAATTTGACTTTTCTGGAATGTTTAAAATTGTAAGGGGTTCCCCTTGCATTTTCATCAAAATTGGGCAAATTTTGTCTTTTCTGGGAAATTTTTAACTTGTAAGGGGTTAACCTTGCATTTTCATCAAAATTGGGCAAATTTTGTCTTTTCTGGGAAATTTTAAATTGTAAGGGGTTAACCTTGCATTTTCATCAAAATTGTGCAAATTTGGTCTTTCCTGGGAAATTTTAAATTGTAAGGGGTTAACCTTGCATTTTCATCAAAATTGGGCAAAATTTGACTTTTCTGGAAAGTTTAAAATTGTTAGGGGTTAACCTTGCATTTTCATCAAAATTGGGCAATATTTGACTTTTCTGGATAGTTTAAAATTGTAAGGGGTTAACCTTGCATTTTCATCAAAAATGGGCAAAATTTGACTTTTCTGGATAGTTTAAAATTGTAAGGGGTTAACCTTGCATTTTCATCAAAATAGGGCAAATTTGGTCTTTTCTGGAAAATTTTAAATTGTAAGGGATTAACCTTGCATTTTCATCAAAATTGGGCAAAATTTGACTTTTCTTGAAAGTTTCAAATTGTAAGGGGTTAACCTTGCATTTTCATCAAAAATGGGCAAAATTTGATTTTTCTGGATAGTTTAACATTGCTTTTTCATCAAAATTTGTCACTTCTTGGAATTTTAACTTATAGGGGGTTAACCTTGCATTTTCATCAAAATAAGGCAAAATTTGACACTTCTGGGAAATATTAACTTGTAAGGGGTTAACCTTGAATTTTCATCAAAATTGGGTAAAATTTAATTTTTCTGGGAATTTTCAAATTGTAAGGGGTTAACCTTGCATTTTCATCAAAATTAGGCAAAATTTGACATTTCTGGATAGTTTAAAATTGTAAGGGGTTAACCTTGCATTTTCATCATAATTGGGTAAAATTTAACTTTTCTGGGAATTTTCAAATTGTAAGGGGTTAACCTTGCATTTTCATCAAAATAAGGCAAAATTTGAATTCTCTTGAACGTTTAAAATTGTAAGGGGTTAACCTTGCATTTTCATCAAATTTGGGCAAAATTTGAGTTTTATGGATATTTTAAAATTGTAAGGGGTTAACCTTGCATTTTCATCAAAAATGGGGAAAATTTGACTTTTCTGGATAGTTTAAAATTGTTAAGTGTTAACCTTGCATTTTCATCAAAATTAGTCACAATTTGAATTCTCTTGAACGTTTAAAATTGTAAGGGGTTAACCTTGCATTTTCATCAAAATTGGGCAAAATTGGACTTTTCTGGATAGTTTTAAATTGCAAGGGGTTAAACTTGCATTTACATCAAAATTGGACATTTCTGGATAGTTTAGAATTGTAAGGGGTTAACCTTTTCATTTTCATCAACATTAGGCAAAATTTGACATTTCTGGATTGTTTGAATTGAGCCCAATTTGACTTTTCTTGAAAGCTTCAAATTGTAAAGGGTTAATTTGCAGTTTCATCTGAGGGCGAAATTAGTCACAATAAAGGGTTTCATTTTCAGAACGATACGTGTTTGAAAGCCCAAATGAGCTCTTCTTGAACTTTCTGAGTAGTTTTTGACAAGATTAACTTTTTTAGCCTATTTTTACAAAAATGTAAGGTTAACCCCTTGCAAATTCCTTTCAAATTGTGGCAAAAAAAATGAAGCTGCCTCAAATTTGCTAGGAAGATGCCCAGGGTACCTAAAACACATTCCTGAACATATATTCCTTTGAAAGAATGCTGTATCAAAATGTTTTGCCAAAATCATTGATGTTTTTAATTAACTTCACATTTAAACCACTGCATGACTTTCTGAAAGAAAATTCAGACTAGGCATGGGGAAAGCCACGTGAATTGCAGCGCTATACACAATCTTAACAATGCTCAATGTTTAAACATTCTGGAATTATTAATTAATACTTTAAGTTGCATTGCAATGCAAGTAACAATAATTACTTTATTTTACTTCACAATAAGTAATCAATGGTAATTAGAAGGGGTGGAGCTAAACGTAAGAATAGGTGTGACCACAAGGGGAGAAGTACAGTTTCCTTTACCATGTGAAGGGATGCCAGGTTATAAGACACAAAGTCTGATTAATTGCCTCGCACCCTAAATCTCTGCTCTTAAGACTTGCACCTCCCCGTGGAGAAAAAACACCAAACAAACAGAAGAAAAATGGCCAAAAATGCAGCTAAAAAGTTCACATTTCCGCATCATACATTACTTCTCATAGCCTCTGAATTTAGTGTTTTTCCAAACCCATCAATTAGCAATCCACCTGTTGCTTCACCACTACACCTGATATAAAATTCAAACCTGATAAGAATCCAGTATCGTGCAACTGAGCAGTCGAGCATCAGTAGGTTTGATAAATACACAGAGTGAGACTCTCATAATTAAAGTGCTTTTTTAGCGCCTTGAATATGATTGCTTTTATACTAAAGCAGTCAACCCAATCGTAGGAAGCAATTAACTCAGACTATTTATGGGCTTTACACTAATTGGTCATACAGTGTGCAAAAAATGACAAAGTGGATAATACCAGAGTTTTGAAGACTGTAATTAAAACAGCCTTGATAAAGGCCAGTTCAAACTCGGTAAGAAAGTGAACACAAATGTGAATTTATGACGCCAGGGCAAGTTTTCACACTGGGAATTCGCAAAAGTTTAATATATTTAAACCTCGGTGAATTTTGCAGAAAATGATTGAAATTCACATCATATTCGCATTTGCATGAAGTATGAACTGGCCTCAAAGATACAAGGTAATTGAGTTTGAGAAACATCCCTACCACTGAGTATGAATTTTTCAGACTGAAGAATTATTCTTAATTGGTTTTTGGCAATCGCGTTTTCCGGTATCACATTTTGATGCTTAGGTTCGATGCAATGTGGCCTTGAACTATGTACAAAATGTATGACCGCTACAGATGAACAAGTCATTAATTGTTCAAATTTCTAAAGGTGCCTGTTTGCAATATTGGGGATTCCATCAATTATTTCGTCCCTATATCCAATGCTTCTCTCACCTCTGGACACAACTTTCCTGTTTAGTAAAACTAATAAAAAATACTACCAATCCTTTTTAATATTACAAAGAAAAATCTTGGAAGAATCCGTTATAAATGAAATCAGAAGATCTTGATACCTTAATTAAATCACAAAGTTTTTAACGGTTGTCAGACAGAAGCATTCCTCGCAACCTGGTCAATAAATAACCCTGAGCTCAGTCTGTAAGCCAATAAACTAGCCTTTTTACTTTCGGGCTTATGCAATTCAAACCATTGTTAAATATTTCCCCCTTGTGTCCCTTTCCATGACATAAATGGTCCTACAGTTTTTGTGCGCAATCTCGAATCTCAATTCCTACTACAGTTGTCACATAAAAGCTTCTCTATTTAACATTACTGAGAAAACAACTGAGAACAAGTAGAAAATTATTTTACAGGACCACACTGGTACATATATATAATCCTATTTTACATCTTAAAATACTGGTTAAGTGGCTGAAGATATTCATGACCAATACTAATTGAATATTCATGATAGAATCATTATCAACAAATTAAAAAATACGATAACAACGTTGTCATGAAGTACAGACTGAAATATCTACGTTGTCTTTTCTGGGTAGCACAAAATGCTATGTCGGGATAACATTCGGAACACTGATGACAACAATGATTACAAAAAAGTGTGTAGATATTGACTGCCGTAAGATTTTGATTAGTCAATAGTTAAATATTGACCATTTTGAGTGACTTAGTCTTCGTTTTGAATTATTAAAATTCAAAACTATTTAATTCAAAAATTATTCCTAATGTAATTGTAACATTCCATTCCATGTGATGATTGCATGCATTCATCTATTGATGCATTTATCTATTGACCAGGAACTACTGCCCCCTCCATCAGTCAATAGTGCACTCAAATGAAATATTCTCATTGCAGGGTAAGTCCAAGAAAAGGTTTTCTTTCTGCCCCATATTTGTCCCTTTCTGTCCCACACCATGTTTTCTTTAATTACATAATCGACGTAACGACTAATAACATAAACCTTTTTGTTGGTCTTCTTGCAGATGCCCAACAGTAGATTAAAAAACAATGAAATCCATGACTATCTTGAAGGGCTGAACTTTTGTTACGTATGGGACACAGCCTCGTGAATTCTTGAACTTTCCCTGCAATATTCCCTTGGTCTGCTCAGCCTCTTGTTAAATTATTGCAATTCACTCAATTATCCACCTACAAAAATCCTTTAACACTAACGATCCCTAACCAGCAAACTTCCAACCCCAGGGTTTGTTGGAATTTGTTAGGATGAGTGCCATTAGGCATACCACAAATAAACAGAGTCCAACTGTTTATGTGCACAGTTTGGATGTGGAAGGTTCCTAGTAAATCACCCTGGAGAGTTAGGGTTTATGTAATCAGAATGTTTGTGTACATGAACATACACAAACAAAAACCATTTCATATGAAAGTCTTGTCTCTTAATTTTGCTGTAAAACCAAGCCCAAGGAATTGGACTTCCAAACTACTGGACAATTGAATAGCCCTTCGTCCTTCCCCTGGACTATCGTCTATTTATGACTGTTAAGATGTTTCAGTCAAATTCATCTCCAAGTTCTCACAAGTCTGTCCAAAATTAATTCAAAAGCTTTTCACTATTTTGTATGATGGAACTTTGCTTTGGGGAAGATGTCAATTTAATATTGGGTTTTGCAACCGATTTGAATTCCATTTTACAAATTAGTGATTTATTGTAGTACCAAGTGCTACATCAAATGCAAGCTCATGGCATTTTTCTCTGAATTCTTTTTCTCCTCAATTACATCATTGACGGGCAAAATGAACTGAGATGAAAACATTCCTTTGTTGATCCCCGTAACTGATGAAAGAACTGTGATGGACTCGACTACAACACAGGACAGTTAAATGACATTGACAATGCGCAGTTCAATATCCAATTAACAGTGCTAATTATAATGATAATACCCCAAGTTTAGACCGAGATGGATCCATCACGGAAGTCCGTCTTGCCTACCAGACAGTTGATGAGGACCGGTGTGCCATCCTTACAAATCTTCTTGGCTTCTTGAAAGACTTGCTGGATCTGCTCAGGAGTTTCCTCACTCAGTCGGAATCCTTTGCCTCCGTAGCCTTCAGCTACCTTCTCATAGTCACGGAACTGCAGAAAAGACAATGTTTGAGATTTAAAATCCTAACCACAACTCCTGGCTCTGCTTATCACTCAAAAGTAAAGAATCCCACTAACTACAGCAGGACTTTTTGTGGGGGAAATGGTTAGCTTGTTGACTAATATGTTGACATCATTTTAGTTATTTTTACTTTGTGACTACTTTATTTAATAGTTGTTGAACGTTTTATGCTAATGTGCTCTACCTAATCATTTATGTATTTATTTATCGTCAAACACCTTGACCAAGGCTAGAAAAAAACCTGACAAATCTCATCCCTGCACGGAATTACAAATGAGCACATCTTACCGCAAGCTGGCATCCGACAGACGTTCCAAAGATCGGGATTTGTCCACGTTCAATCTGCATCCAGGACGCGTCGTTACCAACCACAGCAATCACCGGTGCCCCGTGTCTCTCAAAGGTATCAAACTCAGCCACTGTGTATCCCAGGGTACCGTCACCATAGATGATCCACACCTCGGAGTCTGGACGGCAGAGTTTAGCTCCGAGAGCAAAACCTCCGCCGACGCCTAGAGTTCCAAAAGCTCCAGGGTCCAGCCATTTGAGCGGTCCACGGGGTCTATGGTGGGAAAAAAGTCAGATTTATTTGATTGTGTTTGCTTAAGGGTTGGGTAGACATATGTCATTTGTGCAACTGTTTTTTTTCATTTGAAGCAAAAAAAGTGCACAAAATCTAAAAGACAGGTTCTTAAACAACTAACCTGATGAAGGTTTAGCTCAGTGAATGCTGTATATTCTGAGAAAAGAATATTTTAGGATCTCGATTTCAATTCAAAGGTTGCCAAGTCATGTTTTGAATTGCGCCCCAAATCAGCACCTAGGTAACTTTCCATTTCAACCAATTTCAACTACGCGATGTCACGCACTGAAATAACTAATCACACTTGATATCGATGCCGTCTCACCTGAGTATGTAAGCAGCACTGCCTACAAAGTCCCCACCATCAGCAACAAGTATACTGTCTTCATCCAGACAATCTTCCATGATATGAAGAACCTTCAGCGGATTCAGGAAGTGGTTCACTGGAGCATCAGATTTCACACTTTTGTAAAAACAAAACATCAACAAGCAATCTTAACGTCGTGCTTATAAAAATAGGTAAAATCATTTTGTAATAATCGGGTAAATGTGACATTTAGAAAAACAGGTCATTTACATGATCAAATGAACTAAACTAATAGATTAGAATCCACAAAAGCAGGTAGTACCGGTAAAGCTGCTGCCAAAGAGATAGGCCAAACGCAGAATACATTTGCAGAGTAAACCTAATATAATTCAAAATCACTATTTCTTTGTTAGATTTGAGCGTAGGGGAGATATAATTATACTATAGATTGAGCTTCACCCTAAAATAATTGCACATTATGCCATATTCAGCTGCATTGTATTCTACTGAATTTTAGCCTGATGCACTCACATATTTGCCTGTTCTTTCTCTTCATCTCGTCCTTTGAGTGTCTGTGGCCACTCTGGGTCACACTTGTACGTTCCTAGAGCCTTCTGCAGAGAAGCGACAAATGTTCCAGGATCACCCTGGATTGCCAAGGTTGGGGTCCAGATCATATCTGAGTTCTGAAAATAAATGGAAAATACAGAGTTATGATAAAACAGTGCGGTAGGGTTGGAGCAGTCCTCATACCCCTATTTGAAGGGAAAAAAACACATTTAAAAACCAATTATGCCAATCATTGTTGATTTATCATGTGAATCATACCGGACATTGCGGGCAGGTGTCAGCCTTTGTGAAATGGCTAAATACTTAAACGTTATCCCACATATTTACAACTTTAAACGCAATGTCAGATCCTTAGTCCTAAATCAATATCAGTTCAAAACGCATATATGAGAATAGTGATGGGGTTATAGAAACCACAAAAGACTAGGTTCTGAAATATAAAATTGTAAAACTTTGGACCAGATTTTTTTTTTTTTACATTGGTCTTATGGTTGAAAGAGACTTTAGTAACCACCCCCACGTGTTTATTTTTTTCATTTTTCTCCACAATGGCTCGTGCCCAATTCCCTCTCATTTTGCTAGGAAGCCTCACATGTTTACTGTAGGATTGCATCACTGTATCACATTTTAATTTTATTTTAATCAACTTTAGTTGTGAAAATCCAAATTTGCTGAGGTTACCTTCAGTAGTTGAGACTTGTTTCGATTGACGGCGATGACTTTGGACCGGCGGCTCAAATGGCGTCCATAGGACAACCGGAAGTCGCACACAGTGCCTAGGGAAAGAACAAGCCTATGATTACAAGCATTTCCCGTAGTAAGAAGAGTCCACGCAATCCAACTATAATCCACAAAGCTAGCTGGTAATCAGTGCCAAATAGTGTCCTAGCAATAGCACATTTGGTTGGTTACAATTTTAATCTGCAAAGGCAGTTACAAAATCTTGGGATACCTGGCATAATCTAGTGTTAACCTCAGTGGGGTATAGTCAAGCCCATAAAGGTTAGAATTAAATCACACTTGCTTTTATCACACATCACAAGCAGTGAACAATAAAGAAATGCTTTTGTACATTTCGTTTGAACAGAAGTCCTGGCATCTTGCCAAAATTGTATGGGGCCAATAATGTCCGCTGATTATGCGCAGTAGATGCAGGACGCCATTTGGAACATAATACATGCCTAATAGTGTTCGGTGCCTAATAGTGTCCCGTGCTCAGTGGTGTCTGAGCATATGATTCACATGGTGTTACCCAAACCTCCCATTAATGTTTGTGATTCGACTTTTGATAGACTGATCCACTACCAAACTAATTAACTTTCCGATGGTTGCTTGACCTCACCTGCCAGTATGACGACATCAGCGTCTCTCAGTGCATCACGTCTGCGTTGTCGGATGTGATAAGGACTGTTCTTACCCAGCATGCCTCTGGCCATCCCGCCCAGAAAACATGGGATACCCATCGCCTAGAGAAAGACAAGAAAACATTCCGACATGGATTAAAAAAACTTTATACCTGGAAGTTTGAAGTTCCTCTTTATTTCATACGTTTAAAAAGATCACCAGAAATATTGTCTGCTTGCAAACAATTCAGAATTCAGTAAGTTTTACGTATATATAAACTCTATGTTGCATTAATCCTTACCCTAGGAACCATCCTCAATCCTGCAAAATCCTCCAATTGCTACCATGTAAAGATTTGATTCGGCCTCAATCCTTCAAAATCATCCTTTAATTCTTGAATTTGTTCATTGGAGGGTTGACCATTGCCTCAATCCTTCAAAATCCTCCAACAATCACTGTTAATGGGTTGAGGCAGTGCCGTTGACATTCAAAAGCAGTGCGGATGATATTGAGCATAATGCAGGGCTCCATTATGCATGACTGAACATAAACAATGCTGGGCACAGCCTGTGAACTCAACACTTTCTTGACATTCAGCCTTAATCCACCAAAATCCTCCAAAACCGCTTGGAGGATTGAGGAATCAGGATTTAGTTTTAACTACGTCCAAGTTGCTTGACAGAATTTACCTCCAAAGCTTCCCGGACCTCTTCAACTGGTGTGGGAGGAAGAGTGACTTGACTTCCCAGAACGATGACAGGTTTCTTGGCTTTGCTGACGATCTCCACAGCTTTTTGAACTGAAATTAGTTCAATTTAAAGAAAGGAAACTCAATTCAGTGGCATCTTTTTGCTCGAAAAACGCATTCTGCTTTTTCCATTAGGATCTTTTACTTACAGCGGCAATGTCCATCAGAAAATAGTTTTACCAGTGCAGTGGATCTTGTCTGATCCAGCAGGACTTGGATGAAATGGTTATTAACTGTATGAATTCTACATTAGAGTTTGCCCTTCACCGACGTATTTAAAAAAACTGTATACCTCATGTTGTCCCAATTGGTTGCGATAAAAACATCGCTCACGTGCTACTCAAACCCACAACCTAATGCTTACTAGTGAAGACATCTGCTATATCAGATTCAAACCAGCCAGCCAACTCCAGCAAGCTTGGAGGTTGAGTGGTAAGACATCTGCACTAGTAAGCAGGAGTTGTGGGTTTGAGTCCCACCCGAGTGATTGTGTTTAATGATCACTTAATATACAGCATTTAAATATGTCAGTGAAGGGCAAGACCCAATATTGAATTTACATCACCGTGCACAAATCCAGCAAAGGTGTTCCAAAATTAGGCTTAATTTCCAAATCAACACTAGTCTTGTTTAACTTTGGGAAGATTTTTTTTAAATGAAAAAAAAACCCACAAAAATGATAAATCTCATGTTTTTCGGAAAGAAAAAAAGTCGTACTTTTAGACTCTAAAAGCTTGTATGTCATTTCCTAAATTTAAGCGGTGGCCATTTAAAAAAAAAAAAGCTGATGGTCATCTTGAAAATAGCCCGGTTGATCGTTTTGGAAAATGGATCCGGCGGCCATTTTAAAAAAAAACCAAAGGGCCGCCTCCTTCCTTTTGTTTCAAAAAGGCAGGACGCTAAAAAAAATTTTTTTTTAATTTGGGCCTCATACATTAAAGTATTTGCAACGATTCATGAGCGAAAGATAAAGGTGAAGCAAAGACCAAGCCATGGTTCAAAATAGGTGTCCTCTCTCTATGAGGACATACCGTACTCTTTGTGGTGCATATATCCATTTACCTTGTTCAGCTGATGCCATTGGCTGATGAACTGGCAAGGGACCCACATCTCTCTGCTCCCATGCTCCAGCAAAGATGTTGTTGACGTAGGTAGTAAGATAACTGGAAGATACAAAGAGACAAGTAAAAAGTAAACGTATTATAGCAAAGTCTGTGCTTATCTCCAGTTTTCTTGGCATGAAACAACTGAGAACATTTCTATTCTATGTAGTCAACTCAATCACAACACATCGAAAGTCAAATCACAAAATGAACTCACAAGTGAATTCACAAGTTGCACTGCATGAAAAATTGGTATGGCCTTGTGCTTATGGGGATTTTATTTAAGCTGGTTAACATAAATAATGTCCACACTTACAATGAGACAATACTGGCTAGGATTCCTGCTTTACTGCCGCTGGTACCCAGTTCCTTCTTGACAAGGTCATAACTGTACAGGACATCGATGGGCAGCTCTACAAACACTGGGCCTGAGGACAGCCAAGGGAAGCGAGAGATTCACTTTATTATGACAATCTTCATTTATTGAGTCATGAGATAGAAAATAGCGCCCAACGGATGTACTTGAGTCCATTGCAAGTCCTCAAGTCCTGATTCAAATCACAAGCTATGCAAATGAGCTTTGACAAAGGCATTCCTTTCTTATAAAGTCCAAGTGTGCCACTTGTTATGGTTCAAGCGCATAGCCGTACAAGTGTGTGAAGACATCAGCGTTTGAACCAGAACAAAGACTGCTGACATCACACTTGACTGGACTTGTGATGGACTCCACTACATCCCTGTCACGCCCTTAAAAACGTGTGCGCAGAACAATGACATAATGACTGGCATTACTTATAACAGTAAAAGCAAAAAGGTAGAAGTTTCTTCCTGCTTGACCTGCTCCTTGCTGTGGCCAGATGGACAGTTGGAATGAACTCACCTGGCGTGTCTGATTGTGCTTCATAGATGGCCTTACGTATCGTAGGCACGATGTCCCGCACACAACTCACACTAGCGCAGAATTTACAGAGCGGCTTGAAAAGAGACATCTGGTCTATATCTTGCAATGCCCCACGACCCTGCAAGGACAAGAAAAATCCATCATTTATCACTGACACACTGAAACTACCCCCACATTTATCAACCAAGTAAAACTGATGCACAGTTGGGAATATAAATCTGAGGCCAAAACCTGCATAAATCGCACATATCCATTGGTGCTCAAGACGCTACATCATTATCACCCTGCACATTGGGCCAAAGAAGCATTCCACATGCAGAATGCAGAATTAAGCGCAGACCACAAATTTAACCTGCAACCTGCAGAATTACCACAGACCATGGATTTAACCAACAACATGCAGAATTGCCTGCAGACCACAAACTTAACCTGCAACCTGCAGAATTACCCACAGACTACAAATTTAACCTGCAACCTGCAGAATTACCACAGACCATGGATTTAACCAACAACATGCAGAATTGCCTGCAGACTACAAACTTAACCTGCAACCTGCAGAATTACCCACTGACCACAAATTTAACCTGCAACCTGCAGAATTAACCGCAGACCACAAATTCAACCTGCAACCTGCAGAATTAACTGCAGACCACAAATTTAACCTGCAACCTGCAGAATTAACCGCAGACCACAAATTCAACCTGCAACCTGCAGAATTAACTGCAGACCACAAATTTAACCTGCAACCTGCAGAATTAACTGCAGACCACAAATTCATCCTGCAACCTGCAGAATTACCCACACCACAGAACATGAATTCAATCCACAACCTGCACAATTACCACAGAACATGAATTCAATTACTTGGCTAGTCTCGCTGTAACACATACATGTACATGTACTTCTATGGAAGCGGCTACAGCCACTTGCCATAGACAAATATACTAGCCACAGCCAAGTCAAATTCTGACGTAGCGTTTGCCAGAGTTGATGATAAACAGATAAGATAGATAAAACTTTATTAAATTCAAAACTGGAAATTACATGTTGCCATCTCTTATTAAAAATATAATACATATTAAAAATTAATTAGAATACACAGAGAAATTGCAAATCACAACATCAAAATACAATGCATTACAATCGCACGCAATAAAAATAATCAATTTAGAGAATAAATAAACTGTGTAATTGAAGCACTTACTTTGAGCATTGTGGCAGCAGCTCCGCCCATCAGCAGAACTGGCGACTCTGCCATCTGAGCATTCTTGACCGCAGTGATGGTGTTGGTTAAACCGGGACCAGCCGTTACTATAGCAACACCAATTTTGCCTGAGAGACGAGCAACCGCATCGGCAGCAAATACTGCAGAGGCCTACAGCACGAGCAGAGAGAAAGTTCAAATGGTTAAGGGGTCAAAGGGCAAAAACAGTGCACGAAGAGGAAGTTTGTTGAACTGGTAACTGTATTTAGATTACACTTTATCTTACCACTTGTGCAAATTTACATTTGATAGCACATATGGAACCACTTCCCTATTACCCAACTTCATACAAGTTTTCTGACCAGGAACAAGTTACATTGTTTCATAAACCTACATACATGTACATGTATATGATGTTATTGAACTTTTTCTGTGTTTGGCCTTAAATTACTGTCTTTCCCTCCAAATTAACAACTCTTTCGCAGAGTTGAAACCACAAGAAATTTACTCCTAAAATAAACTACAACTTGGAAACTGGCTAAGTTCACTTTAAAACCCTCCTTTTGTTTGATCAGTCACAGACAGTCACAATTAATCCTGTTCCCCTGCCATGCCTTTTACACAGACTAGTCACCAACAGTCAAATCATATTTCAAAAGGCACAGTGACTAGTCAAATTCCATCAACAGACAAAAGCAGGCGACTGGTGGGCACAGCTGGCTTATCAATCTCCTACAGTCAAAGCATAGCTTTATCAGGTTTCATAACAATCACAGCCAGTCAATCCTGCTTTACCAAGGCAGGGAGTGCTCAACTGTTAACAAAAGTCACTTAATTGATTTTTACTGCTGGGCTTACCTTGTTGAATTTGCCAGTCAGAGAGGTAGGGTTAATCAAAGGTAACACAAAGAAAGAGAATCTTTGACTGTGAAATATATTTTTCAGAAATTATGTCATGTATCCACAGTAGGGACATACATGTAGGAATTATTCAATCAATTTTCAGAATTCCTTTAAAGTTGAAACTTCTCAAACTTTGTTTGAAATGCAAATAAACTGAAAAGCTCTAGTATCAAAATTCAGACAACTCATTGTTTGGGTCACCAGTATCTTTGAAAGTGTTTAAATATATATGATACAAGTCATTCAACTAGTTTGTTCAGTAATTGACTGTTTTCTAAAGTAAATACTTTTGATAGAGATGCCATTATCATATCTGCATTGTCTGAAAATAGCACTGGATTCTAGATTGCACCGTTCTGAACTTTTGCTTTGCCACGTGGACACTTGACCTGACATTTTTTTTTTAGTTAACTGATGTTTGAAAAACCTACATTTTCATTATTAGGCCAACAGCTTTTGGGAGAATCACCAACTTGCATTATTGCATACAGCTACATGCACTGAGAAAATATGATTGCCAAATATATTTTTGCAGCCTTGAATGCTTGCTGTACATGTACATATTTCATCCTGATTGCAAGGACGTCACGCTATGGTGGGAGACAATCTGATGATCATACAAACATGTTTTTTTCTTTCCCTCTGAAACAATGCCTTCATATCACATAACATCCTGTTATCGGTCACACCATATCCATTCATGGGCCAAATGAAAATAAAAAAATGGTGCTGGTCACAAAACATGATATTGAAGGAAACACTTTATTTTAAAGGCCTTCCAACATCCTTGTCTTCAAATTTGATGGTCAGATTTGATTTCTTGTGAGAATTTCATTACATTACTAGAAAATAATTGAATTTCTCTTAGATGTTAGTAAGCCCAAACAAAAAGTTCTGCTTTCGGTTACCCTTCCTACGCTATTTTGACAGCCCCTACCCTATATTTTTTTGGGGGGGGGGGGGGGGGGAGAAATGAGGGGAAAAACCCTGAACATCATCAATTACTACCTTTTACCCTTGACTACACGCAGACACCTCCATATGATCGTACATAAAAATATTACCGCCCCCCCCCCCCCCCCCCCCGCGAAAAAAAGACAAATTCCCTATCTACATGTACCTACACATGTACCCAATTTTCAAATGCCATGCGATCAATTTTTTGGCCTATTTTTTTTCCCCTGCTGGTCACCAGCACAAAGTATTTGCTCAACATATGATTTGACTGCTGGTCACACTAAGCAGGCAAGTTGTGGTCTCAACTGTTTTATCACTCACCTGGAGTCAAATACATGTATCTGTATCAAGTCACTTTATCAGTCCAAAGCAGTAATCCTGCTTATGTGGGCTGGGAATTCTTAAGTGTTGCAACAGTCACTTGATTGATTGTGACTGCAAGCACAACTTGGCACATAACGTACCGGGTATGTTTGCATAGGAGGGTTAAAGTTGGGGTGGGGTGGGGTGGGGTGTGATAGTGGCCAGGTGTGGAGGGGTGGGGTGTGAAAGGACCAGACTGGGGCAGGGGTAGGTGAGGGGGCATTAATACTCACCTCATGCCTTGTATCAATGATGCGTATACCAAGCTTATCAGCAGCAACATTGACGGGTGAGATGTGTCCTCCACACAGTGTGAACAGGAATGGTACCCCATGGGCCTTCAATGTCTCAGCCACCAGTTCACCACCATGTCGTTTAGAATCGGGATCAGCCTGAAAGGAAAATGGAAATTGTGCATCATGTCTAATAAATATAACTATGACATAAAAGGCAGCATGACATTAGATGTACATGTCCACAGTGTAACAAGACAGGGTTAATGAATTATAATTTTTTTCTCTCTCTACAAAAATCCTAATAACCAAATAAGATAAAGAATAATACTCTTTTTGAGGAGAACGAACGACTCACCTAATAGTAATTAAGAACATTTTGCCCTAAGGTTTAAAAAGTCTAGAATAGGCAATGGTGGAAAACAAATCTGTTTAAAACAACCCCATCCACCCCCGGCTCCCCCCCCCCAAAAAAAATGCTTGACAAATTTAAATTTAATTAAAAAACGAAACTACCAAATTATTAACCCTACTGGACCATATAGTGAATGACAGTCTAAAGCAACCTGTGAAATCATGGCACCTGGTGTGCCTTAATTTTCAACAAAGTGGTATTTTTGTATCGATTTCCAATGCTGGTCAGCCAACCAGGTTGGCCTTACAGTTCCCCAATGTCTATAAATTGCTCTGTTTCGTTTGATGTGTGGTCAAGAAACCAGCACGATCTGACTACAAGGTACAAGAACACGATCGTTTTTCTTGGATTTTCCATCTACAAACTCAAAACTTTAACCAAGTCAGTGTATTAACAATATTTGGTATAGCCTATTCATGGAGCTAAATACTAACCCCCAAATCCATCCATGTCTGAAAATACAGCAAAAGCAAAGGTGGTATGGTATGTTCCTTAACGAGTAAAACTTAATTATAATAGTTTATTATGAATATTATTATGGTGGTGTTCCCTAACGTGGCGCACTTCGACGTTTACCCAACTTTCCTCGTGTAGTGTTTCCAAACCTCTTTGTTGACAAACCTCAAATTCATGCAGTGAAATACTGGTGCCTTTACCTTATTAATACTTGCTTTTTAATCTCTGTGAAAATTTTCGGTGTCATGAAATTTAATCGGAAATTCAAAATGGTGGCATCCGGAAATTGGGCACAAATTGGTGGAGTGTTCCCTAACGTGGCGCACTTGAATAAATCTCGGAAAATCAAAAATTAACATTTAATAATTTCTGTAAAGTTGATAAATTCTGATAAATTATTATTATCTCTACTTACATACCCAGCCAGAAGTTTATCAGAAAATTATTTTCTTATTTTTCGGGGCATTTTCAAAGGGTTCACGTTGCACTTCAAAATAAAATCGAAAAATCACGCCAAAATAACTTTTTCTTCTAACTTTGTAACGGGTAAATAAACTCGTGATTTATGAACGGGAGTGTTTAGAACTTGATGAAATTTCACTTTCTGTGAAATTTCAGTTAAAACTTTTGCTCTAGCTAGATGCTACAGGCGAAAAATCAAAGTGCGCCACGTTAGGGGCCGCGCCACGTTAGGGTACATCAACAATATTATTAACCTAAATTGTTTTCAAAGTTTGTCCTAAATCACTGCTTATCTTTGAACTTATTCAATTTTAAGGAAGTTTGTATGCCATTTTGCCAGGCTGGATAATTTCGGATAAAAAATGTTTGCCTACAAAAATTACGCAATACGCTAACGACATTTTGACATCCGCAATGGACAATGGTTATTTATATCTTTCTTTGTTGAGCATGCATGTTGAGTGCGCAGCCTACGCGTACGGTGTACAAAACGCGGTATGCTATGCTAGTACACAAAAGTGAACCAATTTTATTCAACTTGAAATTCAAAGAAAGACTATATTACCTTGTGTATTCGTTGATAGACAAGTCCCATTTTCTTCTCTAGATATATTACAAGTCCACAGACAAGAAGAAGTATGGAAATCGGGATAGAACTGAAAATAATCGCAAAAATCGAAAGAGGATCCATCGTGATCGTGGTTTTCGTCCGTGTGTCAGCTGATTTGACCTTTATTTGCCGGTCTCTGGTGGTATGGTGTCGCCGCACTACACAGGCAACTTTTGTACGTTGACAAGTAGGGAACTAGTCCAAAACACGTAAAAGTAAACTTTCAAAAGTCGCTCGTGTTGATATTTTCATTTTACGATTCATGAATTGAAAGCTTTGTCAAAAGAGGGCGATATATACTTATATATCAACAACATACTTATATCAACAACACAGCGATTTCAAATCGGACTCAAAGGACATATACATTTTTGCAAGAATAAACAGCGTAAACACATTCCACCTAAGACCATGACAGTAGGTCTGATGACAAACAAATACGGATTGGCATTGCGGAACTAAGTTTGTTGGCCTGGGGCTGTAAATAATTACTTATGCCTTCGGGCTAGCCCAGGTTGGACGATTACGACTGGGCTACCTTCGGGCCACGCCGATCTTTATTAATTTATAAGCTACCCTGGGCATGAGTCACCTTTGCTCCGTGAAACCGGAAAATGTGCTGAAATAACGGTGATCAAATGCCACCGGAAATCGACCCAACTAGCTATTGTCTGATTAATATCCAACAGTAGCTTTATCAATTCCATCTCTAAAGTTCGTTCACCCATCGCCATCTATTTTCCCTCAAACCTGTAATACGAGAAAGAGCGTCAGGCACTTTGCATGCCCCTCCTATCTCCCTTATCCCTTTGCAACCGTTGAGGGGGTACTTGTGCACGAAGAACCAAAGAAATGGACTTTGGCATTGCACTTTCCCTTTTGTTTGTTTTGTTGATACCTATTGTTATAAAAAGGTCCCGCAAGTCCAAACCGGAAGTCGTTTGAGTGTTTCCGTACCAGTGCATGCCGGGAAAGGCAGACGGCAAGAAAGTACAACTAATTCGACTCTCATTAAACAATACAATCTCGAAATGATAGCCAGGAAAAGAAAACAAAAACTTATTTGCAAAGTACAAGGGGAAGCCACTTAGGGGTCAGGCGGCTGAGTCGGGGTCGAGGTGATCAGTGATAAAGATGGACGCGTCCAAGTCAAAATCATGTTCGTTTCAAACTTGAGTCCCCCATTGTTTTTTTTCTAATGGCCTTCACAGCCTACAAATATAATCACTTATGATCACTGGCCTGTTTTTGTAAGTTGAGTCATACAGAAACTGTTTACATATATAAAAGGCATAGTCTTCCTCATTACGTAAAGCCGTGAATGGGCCTGCCTTAGCTAGAGGCTGGTGTCAAAACTGTCTGTCAATGTGTTTAACTCTTTATACTGAGGTCTCCAGGAACGCGACCACAATGGCAACATCAGTAACGAACTGCGAAAATATTCGGACAAGTAGTGATCGACATATTAACACAGGATAGGTCGATGCCCTTGTCTATTAGTTCAACCGCCATCAAACACAATGGCAACTTCCCCTGCTAACATAATGCGTCAGGTGCACTTCCTTATAAAACAGTAAGTGCATGGTCATAATAATTAACCAAAATATAGTTGTGTTAAAATAATTAAGCGTAATTATAAGTGTCGCTTGATTATGACACATAACGCGTTAGGAGTAACTCATTAAAGCAATGTCAGCAATGACTGTTCGTTGCCATAGCGACTGGCTCTCGCTTAACATCAGCAGAATCAGTACTGCATGTTCTGCTTGGTTCTTTTTTGTTCTGATCGATGACATGCATATAGACCGTTTCACGGAGACCGCCATCTTTGGGGGGCATAACGATGAAAGTGTCCAATCATGCTCAGGCCACACCTGCATAATGGACTTCTTTTCAAAGAAGTGCACCCCCAAAAAGCACGTGATCACAAAGATGACGGTATCCCTAAAACGGTCTTTATACAATCACACATCGTCCTTGGCGTACTAGTACACATCGGCCCATGTCATGCCTGGCCCATTTCCATCAATCCATGCGTAAGGGTCACTAGACACAGGATTTCCGACCTATTGTTCTCCGCGATTTCATCTACCATTTCTCAGTGCCTTCCTGTACTTTTACAGAGTTTAGACAGAACCAAAAAAGTCTGTTGTTAATTTACATCCTTGGTCCCGGGGATGGCGTTTGGTGGTACGTGACAGTCATGAAATAACATGTCACAACCTGTTGACAGTGAGTTGACAAGCAAACAAAAATGTCATGATTATCAAGAGGTATACGGGGACCTTGGTGTTTTGACCGGATGGTGACTACCAACAATAACACAGATCACAAACTTGCTGAGTTCTACTCAGATGAAGGCATGATACGTGTGGCGCACTATTAGTGACAAACACGACATTCGACCTGAAGTTGAGGACACACACGGACGTTAACTCGTGTCGGCACAAAGGGATTATATTGCAAATGCTACCACTGTCCCAGTCGATGTCTCTTGTGTTACCTGGTGGAAAGACTATGATACATGCTGATACTTCTCCCCATCTGACTTTTGAGAGAATGACCATGAAGCAGGCTTGACTCACCAGTTATGCCCAGCTGAGGCTTGTCGCATAATACCCCGCCATGTGGTGTTGTGACTTGTTTCTTTACAGTTTTGTAAGATGCGGCATTTCACAATACGGATGTGAGAATTAAATGTGGTCATGAACGTAACTGTGCGATTAAACAGTTCTTTGGACGAGGTGAGGCTTATTCATCCGCTGAAATATTGTTGCTGATGCAAGAGGTCGTTGCATATTTATCGAAATATACAAGTTTTGAGAGGGAAACTGACTGAACTCGCTCTTGCGCTGATCAAATTAAGAGACCGAAATCAACTCGAAATGGCTAAACTTCTCGATATTTTGCTGCTCTTGGTTTTAACTGGGTTGATGTGTTCAGCTGTTGCCATGGAATTTGCCATGCAGCCTGGAAACATCACTGGTTACGAAGGTGATACCGTCATCTTGACGTGTGTTGTTAGCGATAAGGATGAAGATCAACCGGTGTATTGGCAACGATACGACGGGTCTAGACTCGGCCCCATCTCCAGGGATAGAGATACCGCTGCGTATGCTCATCACTTCCCTGACCTGTCTCCCAGACTAGAGATAGTTGGAGACGAATCGAGAGGGGAGTACCATTTGTTGATATCGGACCTGAGCTTGGAGGACCAGGGGCGGTTCGTGTGCACGTTTTATAATGAGGATGGGTATGGTGTGTACGCTCCCATCACGTACGTCAGTGTGTTACCACGAACTCGCGTGTCTGTACGTGAAGGGATCGACCCTGTGTGTCAAGCGACTGTCTCGACGCCTTTACAAGCTGTCAGTATTGGAACTACCGTAGAACTCGTCTGTGACGCTCATGGTAGACCTGATATAACATCTTTAACGTGGTATGTGGGAGCAGGTAGAGGATCAAGTCCGGTCGGGTCTTGTAGCCTATCTAAGGGTCTACCACAAAGGATCTGCACGTTTAGGCGGACCCTCACGTTGCAAGATGTAGGGGTGAATTTCAAATGTATCGCGAGAGTCGGGCCGAGCGAGGAGCAAGGACACGAGGGTCGACCTGGATTGGCGCCAGAGCCAAATTGCAGCTTACAGCCACTGACTAAAAAGACCATTGTGGATATACAGCCGCCATCTAAACGTGTCACGGCAGGAGAAACGGCTACGTTCTTTTGCGCAGCTGGAACCCCTCCAAGCCGCAGTCCCTTCCGTTATACTTGGTATCTGAACAATGGTCAACAACTCACATCGGCAACTTCCACACTAATGATAAGCAGTACTAGTGGGTACATGCATGATAACCACGTGACCTGTGTCGTCAGTGACCACTTTGGTTACTTTGGCCACGGCACTGCAGTCCTTATTGTTGAAATGTCGCGGGACGATCAAACAACTCGGAGCACTCATATCGATACGACTAATAATATCGAAACCACTATCGATGACATGAATACCAAACTCACAGAATCGATACCTCCCGATACAACTTTCTCACCAAATAATGATAGTAGTATTGACATTTTAAAACCGCTGTCGCATCCTGACACTCGATCAACCAGTGTATTCCCGCTCATGCTGGTCATCTCGCTTGCTGCAGGCACAGTCCTTATGGCCGTGTTACTAGCCGTTGTTACAGCCTGTGTTATCAAGCAAAGGAAACGGGACAGGTGTAGCCTGAACGACAAGGCTATCCAGCTCGAAGCGGTACGCCCGGCTCAAGACTTGAGGAACGACAACAGCAAATCCGGCAAGAATTCAAAGCGGTTCGTACCTAGAGCGCCCTCTGTCAACAAGCAACCCCCAGCTCCGGAACCAGTCGCAAGTCTCTGCATCAATAACAAACAGTTGACGACATACGCGGTGCTAGACCCAGACCAGGTCGATAATGATTCACTGAATAGTCTCGATCTCCAGGAGATTATCCAGAAAAGTGAAGGAAGCTCTCAGGGGACGGGAGACAGTACAGTAAATCATCCTAAAGAATCACCCAAGAACAGGCCCCCAACAACATCTTCCGGTGGCCGCTCCAAATTACCTCGTGGACGCAGTGCTAGTACACCCCATGGCCCTGTCATCGTTTACGCTGGTGACAAGAAGACGCAGGATTTCTCTGCGGTAGCCTATGCTGTGACCAACATCGTGGAAGATCGACCAGCAGTTGCTAAAAACACTGGCAAAACCCCCACTTCGTCCTATGACAACAACAGGATTTCAGGCTATGCGGTCAGCGCCAAAGTGATATCTAGAAAGCGCGCCATGTCCAGCCCGATGACCTCAGGCCATTTGACGAATGGAGAGGAGGCCACAACTAAGAGTTCTACGATAAGCAACATGAAAGCCCCTTTCTCTGATTCTGCGAGAGCCAGACTGCTCATGGATGATACTTGTGCTTACGCAGAGATATCCGAAATCTGCCAAAACGCAGGCGACGCCAGTCAGACTGACCAGACTGAATCGAATGGGGGCGCTGTGTGTACGGTCCCAGAGCCTCCATTTCCGAGGTCATATCTACGGGGTGACAATGACAGTGCCTATGCAGTCTCCAAAGTTGTTTCCTCCGTTGCAAAAGACTAGCTTTAATACATATCTCGACTTTGAGTTCTGTCTCAGATTGTTATCATCTGGGAGAGGCAAAGTGGAGACCGTATGGCCGGTGCGCTCAATGAATGAAAGCTTTGACAACATCATGCATGACTCTCAGCATAGTGTAGATGGATAGGCGTTCCGAAGGTTATAGGTTAGAATCCAGCCCGTCGATGACATTAATTTACCTGAAGAATTGTGTAATGATATCTGCAAAAACTTGTCGAATACTGATTGCGCTTTGCCATGCTAAACGAAACAGAATATATTAGATGCCGATACTCGTATTTCATGCGGAAGGAGGTCGTAATGATGTAATTTACTGTTTCTATAAATACGTATCGTTAACATGATATGGAGTCATCCGTGCGAAACGTATCTTTAGGCGAGTGGCTGGATAAATGTTAACAATAATTTATAAATATTACCCCCCCCCCACCTCGCCCTCTTGTCAATGCCCTCTACCGACGTAATAATTTCAAAATTGTTATATCTATCATGATCTTTTCTTATATCCTTGGAGTATTGTTCAAAGCTTGAATTGTATATATGCGGCATTTAATAAAATGCCGCTTAAAAAAGGTTGTTTTTAATTATATTAATTCGGTCATGTAACTATTGTGTAGAAACTCCATGCGGGCAAACAAAGATTTTAATTCATTTCTCGTTTCATTCAGTCATGAGAGCTGAGAGGGCAATTCGTAATTTTTGCATTTTTTTTCGTTTTGTCACTGCGGAAAACAGAGGTGTTACCCATTAAATTTAGTTGTGTATGTACATAAAAGTTATATCAACGATGTAAAAAAAAATTGTGAAAATGCAGTTTCGATCATGTCATCAATTTCCCATCATTGTTACTTGCACCATTTGCTAAGTTGTGATTAATTAAAACCACCACTTGTCAAAATAATTCCTTAATTCTCCTAATCTAAGAGTTAGACACAGTGCAGAGTATAGACAATCTAATCAGGGGCACGTTTCATGACACAGTCAGTATAGACAATCTAATCTAGTCAGGAAAACTTTAGAAATGAATTGCTTGACACCACGGAATGCAGCCTTGATTGGCCACGCGCTGTTCGCGTGTCTGAACAATACGACCGTTCCGGTTGGTATGCTTTGTAATCAAGCACACATAGTAAATTACGGGCAGCATTTTAAAAATTAGCCTCATTGAAAGTTGTTGAATGAAGCTTCTTGGAACGCTGCGGTATTTCGGATTTGGAAAATTGCTAGACTTTTTTTTCAATTACCGCAAGGGTGGGATGGTCAATAATATGGATACCCCCCCTCCAAATGCAATCTATTTGAGCCAACCTCCTCATTCACTAGCATGACCAATACAATCGGATCCCCCTCCTCAGTGAGACTCGAGACAAGGGCGGGCAAGAACAATTTTTTTTGAGAGGGGGGGGGGGGAGGGCAAGAGGACTCAATTGTTTTTTAAAAAGGGGAAAAGGGAAAGTGTATTTACTCCTCCGATTAAAAAAGCGTTTGGAGGGTAGGGGGCATGGCCCCCGTTACCGCCCCGGGTCCGCTGACCCGGATGATCACGCCCCTTAAGACATTAGGCCATATTTATCTTTGCCTTCATTAGGTCATGTCTGAAGCAAAACTTGAAATCAAATCGTCTTCCGCGCATGATGCCAATGCGAGTAACAAAACACTGACTCCCTCTTGTGACCATGTTGTACAGTCGAACCCTGATGAGAAGAGCACTGTCATAATTATAACCAAGCAAAATTTTAGGTTCCAAGTCTTTGTTTTTCTTTGTTTTCCTTTGTTTTCCTTTGTTTTCCGTTACTGTTAATACAAGGTACCTGTTATAACAAGGTAATTCGTGAAGCCCAAAGGGCCTTGTTATAATATAAAGGTGTTCGACTGTACTCTAATAAAACTCTTATCCATCATACCACGCGTAGTACTTGCCCAGACAAAAAAGGCGTTCCACCACAGTCAACCAAAATAAATCCATGGCACGCGACACCGCTACGGGGAACCATGGGTGCACGCGATGGGCGCGTGGTGCATCCGACAAAATTGTCCGTCATTCAACCGTTACATGCCACAACGACCAATCCCCTGGGTCCACAAACACGTTGGTTGGTTTGGTTTGTTTTGGTCTATCTCATTATCATGTCTACGGCGCTGCGGAGTGCGGACCTGGAAAAGCAGTGGGCGGTCGAGCTGGCTTTTTGCTGACTCTGCTCACAAGTCAACAAGACAAGTAGAAATCGCTGAAACCATGGAGCTATATAGCTCCATGCTGAAACCACAACACGAACTTGGGAATACATCTGTAGTGTAATCGGTGTCTTCAAATGAAAGATTAAGAGCCCAAGCAACTGTATCCACGGAAATAAGTATTTTAACAAAACCACAACAAACTTCAGTTGAAGATAATAACTATACAATAAATTATACATGTAATATTAGTAATGAAGCGAATATAAAGAAAACAAACAGCATTCAATAAAATATTGATTGTCATAATAAGAAACATATAAAGCTAATAATTAAAATGTGATATTTTCATAAGTGGTTATTAATTAGAAAATCATTTGAATAATTATTGTCTCTCAGTAATTAATTGTTATAAGTGAATAAAAATATATTAAAGAAACACAATTTGCAATATGTGCATGTATGTGGAGTAATAAGTTGAGTGTGTTTTTATTCCTCCATGGTGTACCATATGTAACTGAATTCTAAAGGCAACAGGAGTCAAAGCTATTAATTTTTCTTATGACAATCGCAGTATTGATAAGCTTATGACAACTAGTATTTTTAAAATTTTTATGAACAGAAAACGGTTGTGATATTTTCCAGTTTACCTGAAGATTTAAATATACCCAAAAGCACAGTCCATTGTGCCATTGAAATCCGTCCGGTGTGCCTCATTGAATAACATTACATCCTATTTTGTTGACTTTTCCCCGGGCATAATAATAGAAAACCTGTTGACGACATTTTCATACTACCCGACCCCGTTGCGGTTTTGCTGTGACAACTCAAGGAAACTGACCAATCGGAGCGCTTTGCATAATGAAGTAGACCCACGTGCACTGCGCGGACCAATACGATGAGTCTCATTCAAATTGCCATTCTGCCTTTGTTCAAGGTTCAGTCAACGGCTTTTTACTACGATTTTTACTACGACCATGCCACCTGCCCACCACACTGGCTTCGAATGGCACAGCGTAAAACCAAACAAATTAATTCATTTAGCTTGATTTCCGGCAACAACGCATTGACAGTTCACCGAAGTATCTTCTGCTGCATCTTTGGAGATATTTGTTTCGAAAATCACAGCTCATTTTGCTGTGAAACGAGCATCGAAACGGCAGCGTAAGTTGTAAATTTGTAACGTGTGTGTGGCCTCGTTGACATTTGTACCTCCATTGACTACGCGTACGCATGCCTTTGCACGTAACGTGTTGTAGGTCTACGGTTTTATAAAAACACAAACTGAACTGAGCAGCAACATGGATTACTTCGATTCAAATCACATGGACCTTTCCGTTCGAGACGTCTTTGAGTCTGAAGTTCAGACGGAGATGGACCAGATTTTGAGGTCTGGATCGGCGAGCTACGAACCGGAGGCGGAAACCATAGACCTGACGGGATACAATCCAAACGAAAACGGGGACTTGGCTGGAGATTTCTCCACTGATGCGAGCGCTATGCGAGACATTATCTGGCTCTCGGATGGACATGATATTGGTTCGCTGTCAAACACCACTCATCACTCCTCAACCATGACAACCACCGGGAATTCCAACCTTGATATCTCACATCTCAGCTCTCCAGAAAAGTTTGCATTGGACAGTCAAGGATTGTTGGTCAACCCACAAACTGGACAACCAGTCTCCACATTGAATGTGGTGCTTAATGGTTTGTCCCAGCAGCAGCAGCAGCAAAATCGAGCTATTCTGCTCCAGCAACAACAGCAACAGCAACTGGATCAAGAGACACTGGACAATCTGCAGACCAACTTGAACTTATCACAGATGAATTTCAGCCCAGCTCAGCAGCAACAATTTCTTTCCCTCACACAACAGCAGCTTCAACAGAGCAGTCTTCTTGCTGGACAAGTTAATTTTCAAACTGTCCCCGTCTTGGGTTTGCAACAGCATCAGCAGCAACAACAGACGCAGCAAAACACACCAACTTCCATGACGACTTCCAGTCCACATCAGACAGCAAGCCTTTTGTCCAAGCAGCAGAAGCTTGAACCCATTTCAAGCGCAGAGCAGAAGATCTACCCCAAGCCAGCTTATTCTTACAGTTGTCTCATCACCATGGCAATGAAAAACAGCAAAACTGGTTGCATGCCAGTCAGTGATATTTACCAGTTCATGTGGTAAGTATCACTGTGGGTTGTGTTTGTCCTCTAATTTTTTTTATTTATTTCAGATTTCAGCTGTTGCCCAGGATCAGGACTCGAAGTCGAAGGATGGAAGTTCATGAAATTCTATTTCTGAATAACAAACCAGATTTTTGCTTATTTTGCTCAGCAGGCTTAATACTCAACAGTGTTGAATGGATTCAACTTAGTGGCATCCTGCATTTTTGTTCCTTCATTAAAAAGAGTCTCCAGAGTCGTTTCTGTTTTGAAAATAACCTGTTTCCAGTTACGGATTGACTTGTCTTGATCTTTTACTAGAAACAAGTCTACTAAAAGTTTGAAAATTCCCCAAACAGGGAGCTACAACTTATTTGTTGGTCAATAAGCCTCTGTACTGATAACATCACACTTTGTTTACGTGTGTGCTTTCCTATGGTGCTCAGTGGAATGTGGGCCCCCACTGGATCCATAGGAAAGTGCACATGTAAACAAAGTGTGACATCATTAGACAGAGGCTTATTACTTACACGTTTGTTAATGACACACTAGGCCCTAAAGTGAACAGAATGCAATAGAGATCATTCACAGTCCAACTTAATAAAATTTACCAGATGTTTAGGCCAAGTTAAAAAAAAATAAGTAGTTTCTCGTCAGGCCTTTTTGAAAAATGAAGGAGGTGGGCATTGTTTTTTCCAAAGATGGCGTATGAATTCTTCAATTATTTTGCTGATACAAAATTGTGTCCAAAGGAGCCGTAATCCTTTCTACATAGGTTCAAATTTGTTGGATACAAAGAAAGACAATATACATGTACTGACAATATGTCAGGCATGCAACTTTTCCTCGGATCAGCTGATTTCCTCTTTTTTCACTTCCAATGTGTGCCATTGGAAATAGAAAAACACTGTACAAAGTCTTGGAAAGATTTGAATTTCCTCTTCTTTTGTGACTTCCCAGTTGCATGCCTGTATGTGCAAAAGATTTATATGCAAAAGTCTGAATAAAAAACAGAAACAAAACAAACATAGAACAGATTTACACAAGTATGTATTGGACTGTAATTGTAAACAAAGTACTTTTAATTTGTCATGCTCATTCATATCTCTATGATTTTTTTTAGAAATCTACTTCTTGCCAGTTTTTATGCCACTGAAACTCTAAATGCCCCACCCCAATTAAGTAAATTGGGACACGCCCCTGATCACCTGTTGTATAGGAATGCTTACTTGCATTAAATTAAGTATGTTAAGTTTTATTCAATGATTTTTGCCCAAATGCATATTGTTTATGGTTTGAGCTAGAGATTACTCGTTTTAACAAAAGTCTAAAGTGTATTCTCTGCATTTGCTTGAATTTACAGTGAGAATTTTCCATACTTCAAGACAGCACCAGATGGTTGGAAGGTAGGACATTTGTCCCTTTTATAATATCTGTGTTGTATTATTTGATAAGATCTATACACATGTACTTTTCCCCCCAAACTTTAAAAAAAAAGTGGGTAAATGCAGACATGGTTTGCACAAACTTTCATTTTACCTATAAAACGTGTCCTTAATTAATAGTACTCTAGTTAGTGAGAAAAAAAGAAAAATCAAAATGTCATCAGTAATTGTAGTTAACATTTTTTCCAGTCAATTTCAGACAATCACCGTAGCATTTTGCATTTGGTATTGAAGTAATGACCTTATGGTACATATTCCCAGGTACTGTACTTTGAGGCAGACATTGCTGTTTATCTACACTCAACCTTAGGCCAATGTTTGACACTGTTGAACTACTACACTGTATAGACAAATTACTAGTGACTTTAGGTATAAAGTCCTTCTGGTCTGTGAGTCTCAATGACATTGTCCATTGCAGTAATTGCAGTACTGATAAGACTTACAATAGACACAATCAAGGCTACGTGCAGTATACTGTAACAGCAACACCTCTCAGATTTTAGGAGATTTAACCTACATGTAGTTGAATAATACTACATTGTCAGAATCAACAAGTGTCATTCTTTGCATACAAGCTAGGCAAATCATTTATCCTTCAATTTATCATTCAATGGTTGCCTTACTCATACTCACAAAGTTGCTACACATGGTTAGAAAATACAAAGTTAAGAAATAGTTGCTGGTTAGTTTCATTTGGCAAATTTTAGGAATTACTTAGTTTGGTTTAAGCACGTCGTAAAAACTTGCATTGGTATCCAGGTACAATTTCATAACAAAACGGTGTAATAACTTTTCTGAATCAGTGACACATTTCTCCTCATTTACCCCACCCTCCCAATTATTCTAAGAAATGCCTACTTATGTTATGTGTCATTATACATATCATGTATCTAGCATTAAATGCCATTGTAAAATTTTGGACTACACCCATAAAGTGACAGCAAATATAGTGGGCCCCATGAGTCATTCATTGATCACTATCACAATCGTTGGACTTGTCCATTATCAACAGGGGTGTTCAAGTTCGTGCAAGCTCGGCAGACAGTTATCAAATTTTCATTTAAAGTACATGTACATGTATAATTAAATGATGAGAAACATGCTGAAAACGATTACTTACTGTGCAATTTACTTTGACTTATGGCTTTAGATCCGCTAAAAAAGAACTTTTTGTCATATTTAAAGTCCCTCTGAGAATCCAACAAGTCACACCCACTGTAAGGATGGAGCATATCCAACCAATGGCTTTTGTTAACCTCTGACCTACATACATTCCCTGGCTGTTGACAGAATTCTGGCTTGCACCTGTCGGTCATTAGCATAACAAAACACCTTGCAGGGATCTGGTACAGGTGAACAATGGGTGAAGGCCATTGATGGTAGTGGGGGAGTTTTCAGGGCACCAAGGCTATTCTTTTCAAACTAGAGATGTACAACTCTAGAAAACAGTTGTAAAACTGACCTTGGCTTGGGAACATGTGCATTCACTGACAGATATTGGCCATCAAAGTCACAGAAATAACTTTTTGATCCGAACAAATTTTTTGATTTGTAAAAGTTTGCTAGTTTATCAGAAAAGATTGAGGCTGATACTCTGACCTGCAGTGATTTTCATGATTAGAATTTAATTTAGTACAGATAAACATCTTGATTTTAAGGGCATTGGTTTGGCACGTGTCCAAAAAAAAGTGTGTATGACCTTTTTATTTTAATTAATTACTTTAATAAATTACATGTACTTTAATTGTTCTTGAAAGTTTAATTTTAAACAGGATTTTTGCAGGATTTATTTTTTCACTTGCTTTTATAAATTAAATTAACCATTCTGTTTATTATTTTTGTGACAGAATTCAGTGAGACACAACCTTTCCCTAAACAAGTGCTTTGCCAAGATTGAGAAGCCAGCGACTGCCAACGGTTCCAGCCGCAAGGGATGTCTGTGGGCACTGAATCCTGAGAAAGCTGCCAAGATGGCTGAAGAAGTCCACAAATGGACCAAGAAGGACCCGGCTGGTATCAGACGAAGCATGGCAAAGCCTGGTAAGCAGAGCTTTCCCAAGGATTTTGAATGCCCTTCTGGCCTCACACAGGAATGAAATAATGAAAATTGTAATATTTATTTTTGTTTAGGTAGGTTCCACTTTGAGTGCTTTTTGTCTTTAGGTTGGCTTTCTTCATACAAAAATAGCAAAGTTCAATATATAAGATTTTAAACTTTGCGTGATGATGGTAGTAACAAGGTAAAGATTTATGGTAGCACCATGTGAGAATTCTCTTTTTATGAGATTTTGAGGTTTTGAAAAGAACCAAGGGAGCTCAATGTTTTGGAGAGTACACTCTGCCCGTTGTTAGTTCTACATAATCCACATCCTCCTTTATGTCTTTCAAAACTTAAGAAAGAATGAGATGTAATACCAGGCTACGTAATACCAGGATAAATTTAAAAAAGTAAGTTTTATGGCAATTGAGTAGTTTGGCAGTTTTCTCTTATTTTTCTTACCACAGAGGAACTTGAAAGAATAGAGGAAAGAGTTAAGGTCAACAACACCACGCCAATCTTGAACACCAAAACGCTTCCTCCCTCGACCCCCGACATTAAGACTATCGTCATGAAGGCTGTCTCGACCCCACTATCCACAGCAACGACTACTACGGCAACAATAACGGCAGTCAATCCCAAGTCCCATGTGATGGATCCCATTCCGGTCAGTCTGTACCAAGCTGTGGACATCTTCAACGGAGACATCAACATTGTTGACCCATCGCTTGCTTCTCTGGAGGGAGATTTCAGTTTACCGGTAGGTCTAAAGATTGTCTGGCAGCAACCTCAATGTCCCCTTTTTTATCTTGTCCTTGACTTCCCGTAATTGTAAACATTCCCAAAGCTGCTTTATTTGCATCTCATTCTCTCTAGCCAGCTACATGTGTATATCAAAACAGAGAAAGATACATGTATTATCACTGACAAAAGACATGAACTGTCATTAAATTTTTAGACTGTTTTTTGTAAATTGACAATATCATCTTGTCAGATTCCTGAGATTATTTTTGGTTTCTGAATAACAGTAGCTTCTTGTATTCACCTCTTCTTGGGGAGTCAGGTTGGCCCAGCGGAACTTTCCTCGCCTTCTACCGCTGTGACCCAGGTTCGATCCCTGCTTGGGCCAGTATGTGGATCGGGTTTTCAGTTCCTACCTGATTCCATGGCTTTTCCTCCCACATCTAAAACTAATTTCTTCACGTTGCCTTCTCTTCACTGGGCCTCATGGGAGACCAGTGGATTGCACTGAATGGGCTACCCAAAAGAGGAATTATATAAATAAAATAAATAAACCAGTTTACTTTTTTACAAGATACAAATAAAGTGTTTACTTTGTTATTCTTCTGCAGGACCACCTGATGGACCCAGTAAACTGTGAGCTCATGAATCTAGATGTGCCAGTCACAATATCCCCTCTGCCAGGCAATAACCCGCTGTTTGGAGGTTTCCTGGATGCATCACCGTTGAAGGAGAATCAATCATTGACGACAATGACCGAGACACCATCGCAGTACTCGCAGTTCTGTAGTCCCAGTAGAACTCCGGTGACTGCGTTCATGTGACGCTAGTGAAAACATAGGTAGAATTTTAGTGCCTTGTTCAATTGTAAACACGGTTTTCTTGTGTGTTTTTTTTATAATTTGTGAATACATGCAATCTTGAAGGCTTTTTAAGATATTGATTTGTCAATTTTTTTTTCCAGTCTGCGGAAAGAGAAAATTGGTTGGATGTGTTTTTGTTTAAAAATGTAGCTGAAATCATTCATTGTTGTTGGAAAATAATGATTTAACTTTTTGCCAAGTGATTGCAAAAAAAAAAACCCTTGATTTTTTTTGATGAGAATTAATGAAGTTTCTGCCACAAGTGCCTAAGAATCATGCAAATGAAAAGATTTTTGAAAGAAAGAAAAATCAGGGAATGTAAAATTTCTATTTTTTTTCTAATGTTTACATTTTTAGAATCACATTCATCAAGTGATCAAAATAAATGGCTGACTATCTTCAACCGTTGTTATAACGAAAGTCAAATGAAAGTCAAATAACTGTATTAATTTGTCTAATTGTACATCTCAGTTTTTTATGTTACAATTTTTACAGTAAGAATGTCTTAACTATTTGTGTAAATTTTGTAAATTAAACTAATGAGTTTTTTTTGTAGTGTGTGTTCCAAATGATTTTGCATGTGTTTTTTTTTCCGGCAGAAAAGATAAGGTTTTTGAGTCAAGTGAGACAAAGTGAAAAAACATACCGAGTGTGTTTTTTAGGAGAAAATATTACTTTGGACTAAAGTACATGTCGAGTTGAATAGAAAGTGTATGTGATGTATGTCCCCAGTAGTATTAAAGTAGCTTCTTTGATTTTGTAATTGTGGTTTGGATTAAAAAGAAGCAGCAGTAAATAAAGGGGAGCAAGATTCTGGGTAAGCTTTGAATATCGGTACACAGATGGTCGGAAACTATAGTTGAAAACCTTAATAACAAGGTCCTAGGGACTTTACAAATGACCTTGTTATAACAGGTACCTTGTATTATCAGTAATGGAAAACAAAGATTTGGGACCTAACATTTTCCTTGTTATAAGCATGATATTGTATTAAGAGTGCTCTTCTTGTCAGGGTTCGACTGTAAACAGAAAGGAAGAAACTAGAAACTTATAAATAAGTTAACACAAATCCAACAGTATGCAAAAAACTAAAACAATGTGCATGAATGTGATTACATGTACTGACGGTAAGAGAAAAGTAGTTTTTTTCATCAAGGAGTAAAGAGCACCCTCTTGTGTTTAGATTTTCATATTGCGACAACCTTTTCATGTTTGTGAAATACATGTACAGTGAAATGAATGGCCAATAAGTTAGGAATTACATACAAAACTTTCAAATGAATTTTTGTTTCTTAAATCCTGATTTATTCTATAGTAGATAGGGTAATGTTACTGTGGTCATGGTGGTGTCAGGAATTGGAACTAGATTCGAAATCACTGTTACGACTGAAAGAGGCAATTAATGTTTTGAAACAAAGTGTACATGTACATAACTGTAAACTATTTTTCCACTTTTATACAAGTCAAGTTGAAACCACTTCTTTTTGTACACGATAATACCAACGAACAGAGCGTTTGTATCATTGAAATGCCTAGACATTGTAAATGTCCCTTTTTTAAATCAAGTTTCTTTCTCATTTTTGTAACAACACAAATTATGGTTTCAAATCATGGAAACGGATTAAATCATAAAGGTTTTTATTTTTATGTTCTTTTAAAAAGCCTTTTCATGCTTGGCCCTCTTTTTAAAAAAGGGAAGAAAGAACTTGGTTGATTTTTTTGGTCCTCTGAAAATTGTTTAAAATCGAAGTGGGGTGCTGTTTCCCATATTGTCCATGTGCATACATGTAGCTATTACATTAGGCGATATGAATTGCTTTGTGCCAGTGATCACCAGTAACTTTTTATCTGCCATTTTCTCCTCAACAAAGTTGTTATTAAAAAAAAAGTGCTTGCTATCAGAAATGGAATAGAATAAAAGTTGTACAGTGCAGGAACTTTCCAGTGAGGACAATATAAATATAGTTGTCGTTTTTTTTATTAATTTGGAAGTTTATTTGTTAAACCATTTTTGTCAGTCTTTACTCATTTGCATTTTGGCAAGGGGGAATTAGAGCTATACATGGAATTGAATTAGTTATAAAAATCGAACAATTTACAGTCAGCAGTGAAATAATGAAATAGACAACATTTTACTTCTAATCTTAATTTTATTTCAACCTTTTGAACGGTTTTCTTAAAAAAAAAAAACCCAGATGCACTGTCTCACGACTATTCCAATATACAAATAAAAACCTCACGAACTAAGCTTTAAATACATGTATAAAAAATACACACACTCTGAAAGTTGACACTGAAAGCCGAGGTACATGTATGAAAAAACTAAATAAATAATAATGCGGTGCTTACGTAACGCTTTATACCAAAGGTCTGAAAGTGCTTTGACAGTTATCTCTGTTCATCAGGCCATGAGACCAGTTTTTTTTGCAGCAGCTCGAGATCAGCGCATTCTGGTTTCTACCTTTACAGGTACAATGTACCCATTTATACTCCTGGGTGGAGAGAGGCAATTGTAGTAAAGTGTCCTGCCCAAGAACACAAGCACCATGTTCCCTGTAAGGGTTCGTACCTAGGTACCACAGCACGTGAGTCAAACAACATAACCACTGGACCACAAGCGCTCCAAATACAAACTAATTTTGGTAGTTTTAATTTACGTTTAATCACAAGCAAAGACTGCTTTTTTTCTAATTATACTTACATTCCATCCATTTTAATAACTAACCTATCTTCAGAAATTACTGCACTAAATATAAAATAACCATATGCTACTAGGAATAAGTTATTTACTAATGAATGAATGGAAGTTAAAGTAAAATTTCTTTCTGATCACACAAAACTATGCAATCTGCTGCGATTGTCTAAGCAACTGGCATTATTCCTTTCTCTATGGTAAGACAAACACCATAATTCAAACTAACAGACTGTATATATCTTAAAGTTAGAGTAGATCATTTGTATCTATCCAAAAAGTTACTTACCAACTATTGTTAAAAAGTTTACTTGTTTAAAGATGGTAATGGCACTAAACTTCCTGTGAAATGATTCTTTCTGGCATGCTGTTATTTTGAAGACAACAATGAAAGAAGGTCATTTCCAAAGATGAGTCAAGCGAGGCATTTTTGGGGACTTTCTTTTAGTAGTTAATTGGCCTAACCCGTGAATGGGCACACACAAGCATTGTCACGACACACGCGCATAGATCTGCGGTTGCTATTATTCGTCGGTTCAGTGTGTGACATCGTACAGCTGCAATCGGCTGAATAAAATCTGTGTCCCAGACGCTGATTTTGGGCGCAATTCAAAATATGACTGCAACTTTTGAATTGAAACCGAGATCTTAGAATACGTTTTCTCGGAATATACAGGTGAGCATTCACAGAGCTAAAACTTCATCAGGTTAGTTGTTAAGCACAAGTCTTTAGATTTTGAACACTGTTGTTGCTTCAAACAAAACAAATGACAAATGATCTACTTTACCTTTAACCATGATAGCTGAAAAGAAATCAGTTACATGCAAAAAGCTTGTACAGCAAGGTGTTTTGGCATTTTCTTATTTTAGGAAAAAGTTAAAATTGCCATACGTTTTGTGAAGCGGCAGGGAAATACAAAATTGATAAAGGCATTCTTTATAAATAACTCATATCCAAGGCACTTTTGAACAGCAAAAGTTATAAAATTTAATTGCACCACAATGAAATACATGTACAATGTTTGTACAGTGAGTACATGTAGTGTAAATTATACCTATAAGATAAAAATATTCAGTTCACTGCCAGTACTTAATAATGGGATTATTGAATCAATAAACAAAAGTTCAGGAATGTTTGTGAAATGGGTTGGCAAAGAGAGGGCGAAATTGCAATGGCAGTCACAAACACCTTTGTGTCTTTTTGCTTATAAATTTAAATGTTGATACTTGCAAACTTTCGGCTTGTCAAGAGATATACAAACAGCTAACTTTATATGTGTTTCCCAAAATCTCCCAAGATATCAGAATTATGTATCAAAATAGCAGCACAGACCCTGATTTTATGTGAATGGGGCACATAATCAACATTTTGCGTATGCGCACTTCATACTTTCATGCGTTGTCAATATGCACAAAGTCCCAAGGCTAAGACAAAATTCCCAAGATCTTGGGAAAAATCCAAGGAGTGGCCAGCTGCGTCAAGCTGGATTCCAAGAGTAACTGGCTGGTTCAAGTAGCCCTTCCCAGCTTGGCTTCATTTACTTGGCTACGGCTTAAAATTACACACGATTCTATGGTAGCGGCTGCAGCCACTTGCCATAGACTCGAGTCATATGTAACTGACTGGCTCAAGTAGCCCTTCCCAGCTTGGCTTCATTTACTTGGCTACGGCTTGAAATTACAAAAGTGTCTATGGTAGCGGCTGCAGGCACTTCCCATAGACACGAGTCATATATAACTGGCTGGTTCAAGTAGCCCCTCCCAGCTTGGCTTCATTTACTTGGCTATGGCTTGAAATTACAAACGTGTCTATGGTAGCGGCTGCAGGCACTTCCCATAGACTCCAGTCATATGTAACTGACTGGCTCAAGTAGCCCTTCCCAGCTTGGCTTCATTTACTTGGCTACGGCTTGAAATTACCGAAGTGTCTATGGTAGCGGCTGCAGCCACTTGCCATAGACTCAAGTCATATATAACTGACTGGCTCAAGTAGCCCCTCCCAGCTTGGCTTACAGTAGCACCTGATGTGGTTCCCTGCGTTGTGTATCTGCAATCTGCATACAGGATCAAAGATATAATGGATGTTATATATATGTATGATACTTAGGCCAATCCGAATGACTTGGTTATGGTTTGAATAATAGTTATTTAATTCTTATTTTTACTGGGTAGCCCATTCAGTGGAATCCACTAGTCTCCTGTGGGGCCCAGTAAAAGAGAAGATGATGTCAAGAAATTACACTTTTAGACGAGGGAGGAAAACCCCAGAATAATAATCTGAGGAAAATCTAAAGAATAAGGTTGGACTGAAAACCCAATCCACATTTTAGTCCAGGCAGGAATCGACCCGGGTCACAGCAGTAGAAGGTGAGGAAAGTACCGCAACGTCAACCTGACTCCCCCCTCTCTTGTAGTGGCTGCAGCCACTTCCCATTGACTTGTGTGTAATTTCAAGCTTAGCCAAGTAATGCAGACACGGCCTTAAGCAAGTTGTACTGGTCCACAATGGGCTGGTTCTATTGTCTACGGCTATGGCTATGCACTGCAGTGCATCCATGGCAAACACTCAAGCTGTCATGGTGGCCACAAAATGCCCAATAGATCCCTCTCATAGACAGCCATCTTCGTAGGCAAATTACAACTGCCTATTCAACGCCATCAGGCACGTGTTCACGCAGTGTGCCAAATGTTCAAAACACGCGCACATGTTGCTCAAAATTTCTTTGAAATAATGCTCAGCTGATGAGTGTCACAAAAATTTTACTCCCAAAATGCAGATGCACGTGACAATCTGCAGGTAGTGACATCATTTGAGAGACATTTGAAATCTAATGTAGGGGTCGATTAAGAAAATAAAAGTTACATGCACAACTGTGGGAGAGCAACTGTGGAACTTACGGAACTGATGCTGGAATCAATGTAGAGTCTGATGTTGGTAGACCACTGGGTTGATGTTGAGGCAAACTGTCCTCTGTTTCCATGGCGATACGTGCCTGTTCAACCTCGTCGGCCATTTTCAAGAGATGGTGGTCGTAGGGAACATCCCAGTAATCGTTACTTTCAAACTCCAAATCCTTAAGAACAGAAGTCAGAAGTTGAAGATTGTTATCATATTGGCATTAAAGAAAGAGTAGATCATTTGTCATTTGAAGCAACAAAAGTGTTCAAAATCTAAAGACGGGTGCTTAACTAATAATTTAAGTCAGTGAATGCTGTATACTCTGAGAAAACAATACTGGGATCTTGACTTCACTTTAAAAATTGCCGAGTCATATTTTGAATTGTGCCCAAAATCAGTATCTGGGACACGTTCGAAATCAGTCGATTGCAGCTGCGGAATGTTACGCACTGAACTAAGGAATACTGGCGACGAAGTGCTCCACCATTCACGCGACCATTCACGGATTCACCCAATTACAAAACAACTACCAAATGAAATTTCCAAAAATGCGTCTCTTGACTCATCTTTAGAAATTCCTTTTTTTTTTGCTTTCTTCAAAACAACAGTGCGACAGAAGGAATATTTCACAGGTTTGGATTGTTTTGAAGGTTTGACTCCAGTCACAGTTGAATGTCTCATATATCAAAGCATATACATTTTTATGCCAATCGGAATATTTCTCTTCAGAAACAGTGACCCCATTTTGATCAGAAATTTGGACCAAGCTGTGGATTGGTAAATTTGACTAAATTTTTTTTTTTGGGGAATACAATGGGTTAGGCCCCTACAAAAAACTTGACAGACGGCGCTCGCTGAATGGTAAGAATCTCGAGGTCAAGACGCAGTCTTGTTTTGCATTTAGCGATGAATCTGCTCACATATCATAGACCCTTGCTGTGCAAAGGGATATCCCATAGACAGCCACATGTACATGGAAAATGAGCCAGTACCATGAAGTATAATAATTGAAACTTAGGCTTACCTCAAGCATTTCTATTCTGTTTTGGTTTCGTTGCTCAAACAATCTTTGGTTGTTTTCCTTGTGTTGCCAGCTGTGTGATTTGCTGCCTCCTGATTGGTCATTGCCAATATTCAAACCACTGCCTGATGTTGTCGTGTCAGCAGGCGATTGAACAGAATGCACACCGTTACTGTAAAAACCCTGACTTTGTGGTGATGTGCACTCAGATTGCACAATGTCCGTCGCTTGCATTGATGTTGGCTGTCGGAATGCTGTTTGAAAGTGCTCCTGCATGCTGTGGCGAGGTGATGATGCCATATCTTGTTGCCATAGGGATGATGATGCAGGATAAGTGACAGGCTGTGGAAAGGGCTCTGACTTTTCCTCTGGGAGTCGGTTACGAGTGACTGGGTGGAGACAATGCCTCTTTACAGATGCTGAGATCTTTAGTTATTAGGAAACAAAATTATTTCTTCATTAATTTTCAACTCATATGTTCAATTTCGTACTTCGTTTTCTTGGTGCTTGAAACCTTCTGAAACAACCCAAAAAACCCCAAAATTTCGTTTAGGTTTCTTTTGCTTCTCTAGTGCAGAGAAATCTTTAACAGGGGGCTGGATATTTGGTACTACATTTGAACATCCATCATTTCTGTATGTAGTACCGTGTAGCATGTGGTACTTTACCCCAAGTTAATTTTGTGGGGGCTAGGGGCAAATCATGGGCAGATTTTTGTATTTGATATCTCATTAAAAAGTGAATTGATCATGTAGTTTTGGATTTATACTGTACCTGTTCATTAGTGTTACTGCAATCGTTGTGTGTGGCCTTACATGCCTTACGCTTGGTGCCGTAAATCTGAAAGCATGTCTGAGACACTGGCAATGTTCCCCACGGTTGGTAGCTGGGGGCTGTAGGTGTTGCCATACTGGCACAGCAGCTCTGACAGAGTAGGAAGCTAGCCACAAGAAAACTGTCACTGATATCGTAATCTATTACTGGGAGACAAGTAAAAAATGTGAGTCTTTTAAAAATAACAATCATTAACGAAACAGGCTAGGCCAGGTTTAGGCTTTATCCCTGTATCAAAAACTCTTCCAGTGTGAATTTTAAGTAGGCCTACTTGAGTATGTCTGTCAAGTGTCATGTTACTTAGCCATAAAAACTACTTGACTCCTGCTAGCATACAGTGATAACGCAAAGCTAAGGTATACATGTGTACCTACATTTGCAATATAGCCAAATGTTTAAGAAATACCTAACTTGACTGTAAACTGTGCATTAATTATCGGTCGATCGAGTCGATGCAATGAGTCGATCACCTTTTCTCTCTAATCATGCTGCTGATCAGGCAGGGCTTGGGGTGTGATTGACTACTGATAAAAAGAGCTGAAAACACCTGGAAAGGTGTAAAAAAGCTGAACTTTAAAAATCTATACTTTTGTAAATTGTAAGCAGCCACGACAGGAAGTGAGGGATAAAAAATTAATTAAATACAAAAAAAAAAGAAAAAAGCTGAAAACAGCTTTATTACTATTAGTTTAAAGCTGATATTTCACACCCCTGCTATAATTTCACAGCTTTGGAGGACTTTTTTGTTAACGGTTAATAATGGTAAGGTATAAAGTATTAAAAGTCCGAGATATCCATCACCATCACTGCGCAAACAACCCATCGTGCAGATCGACCGATCGCACCCAACATATTCTCGATCCTCCATATAAAAAGACTGCACTGATCATTTGATTTAGGCCTATATGTTCACGTAGTCCGAGTAACTTGGACCCAACTTATCGCCTTTTTAACATTCGGACACGGTGACCATGTCCGAATGTTAAAAAGGCGATATGTTGGGTCCAAGTTACTTGGACTAATTTCACGGTGATAATTGATAAAGGCAACGCTTTATGTGCAGTTACACGCACGCGATTGCTTTGCCAAATGCAAATGAAAGAGAGAGGCTGACGTTATATAACTCCCTCTAATCCCTCTATTGTTTAATCAGTGAGCATAAAGCATGTACAGTGAGCATGCTCGTGTTTCTTTCCTGGTTGCGGCATGGACTTGCCGTAAATCTGAAATCAAGAATCACATTTCCAACATACTCCCATCATGGTCCCAAAGAGCAATTTTTGGACCATGGTTGGACATGTTGGAACTTGGACATGTTGGACGATTCCACATGTCATGCCGCCGGCGCGGGTCCAAACAAAGTCAAAGTCTCCTGCCGTCCTGGCCGGCCAGCCTGCCTACCTGCATGACCAGGATGACCTGCCTACCTCAATGGCTGCCTCAACTGAGCCGTCGTTCCTGTAAAACTATAGTTGATCCTCGCCTCCCTGATAAATAAACTAAATACCGGTTTTACAGTTACATTCTAATGATAACGCGCCGTCAAAGTCGGTCAGACAAAGTACCCACATTTCAAATAGTTTTGTGCACAAGTTAAGTACAAAGCAGCCGCCATCGAAAGCAGCATGCAAAATACACAAAGCTAGCAGAAGACCGCGTTACCGTAATTGCAAACTAACCAATCAAATGCGTTGTTTCACATCGATTGTTAGCCTTGCAACGGTATTTCAAAACAGATATGATTGGTTATTACAATAAGGTTATTTTTTTAAATGAAAAGTATTTTAACAAATCTGACTAAAACTAGCTATTTAATTGATATTGCTGACAATTTTTAAGACGTCAAAGTACAGCTTTTGTTCGAATAAGTATAGTAAAATGAATCAGTAGAATGTCAGACAAGTCGACCGTTGAGACTTGTCCCGAGTCGAGTTGTCTCAACGGTCGACTTGTCTGACCCCCAATCAGTAGACGTACATACCAGCATAGAGCGAGGAACCAGTGAGTTGTCTCAACGGTCGAGTTGTCTCGAGTCGAGTTGTACCACGGACATTTGGTCCGTGTACATGTATGCACATGTATAATGTGTACTCATCAACGGTCGAGTTGTACGCGTACGGCCCGCCCGGTACCCGGTACCCCCCGCATCGCACAGCGCAACATGTAAACAAACCAAGATGGCAGCGCGGTGTGGAAAGGAATATTTGTTTCTTGTCGTAAAAGTGGCGGTGTTTTTGCCACTTTCACTTGCTCAGGTAACAACAGATTCGGCGTTTAATGCGAGCACGCAGATATTAACTGACTCCCCTGGAACAAGTACGGATGGTTTAACATCACCAGGGGTTGTGGTTACCACAGAAAGTGGCGGCGATGCGGTCACCACTGCCGCTGGTACAGCTGCAGCGCCGCCCGGCCCCGGCGAAGGAGCCACTGACATCCCGGTCAATACAGGTTCGGGTTCTCTGTACATGGTTCTACATGATATAAATTCAATACAACATTGGACTGGGATATCTGGTTTAAGACTCGGACTGTTGAATTCACGTTCAACAAATATGATGTGATATAGGCTAATAACGTGACGAATGTGATGATAATATTGTATAGGGGAAAAACTGAACAACAATAAAATAACGAAAATTCGAAACTGCGGTCAGTGTGGAAAAAATGTTGCAACCTGACACCATTTTTTCTTCATTTATCATCTCATCTCATTTATCATCAATGTAGGTCAGTCATTGCAAAAATGATGACAAGACATGAATCTGCATGATCTGGGACTAAGAAACATTTCAAATTTTATTAGGAAATAGGCCTAGTACTAATTAGTTGTCTTAGAAAATGTTCTTGACTCTCCATAGACTTTATACACAACCGCTGAAGTGGTGTTAGGGCGTGTTAGGGTGCAACATTTTTTTCCCGAAACTGTTTGTAAATGTCATCACTTGACTTTCAATAAACCTTTTATGAATGAATGGATGAATGAATGAGCCACAAATTGTGGTAAATGTCCAGGGGTAGCCTAATTCATATCCTGTTTCCATATACAGTGTTCATGAGGGATTGGGAACAGGATTACATTAAAAAAGGTGTTTCTTTGTGCAAGCTTTGTGATAAATAAATGTGAGTTTAAAATGTTATAAGGGCCTACACCACATTTTAAATATTGTTTTGTTTCGTAGATATTGGAAGCTGTATCTGTGACTTAACAGAAAATGCATGTGATGTCAATTGTTGCTGTGATGAGGACTGTACTGCTGAAGATCGTTCCTCATTTACTGTATGCTCTGATACTTCAAAAGTGTAGGTTGACAAATTAATCAAGCTCAGTATTCTCATGTTAGAATTTTAAGATGTTTACTGAAAAGCCACTCATTCTTTATTCAAAGAGGTGACATTTACTTGAACTGTACAGTATTGTACACAATGATATCTTCAGCCTTAACAAGATGTTGAGTTTAATATCAATCTCTTAAACTTTCAATTTGACACAAACAATTTAAGTGAGATAATTTAAAATCAATATTAAGTTTTGCCCTTCATCGATATATAAACAATGTATACTTGGTGCGAAGTGGTTTTGTTTGTAATTGTATTAATTTTTTGTTTCCCATTATATTTATTTACAACAGCGTTGATGAGCAAGTTTGCTTCCGGTCTACAGTCATATACACAGAAAATGCTCCTGAGACAGTAAACACATCAAGCTCAAGTTTCTTTTGTATTGTGATTGACAACAGTAAGTACAGTGGATATACGCTTCTAAGTTAATGTTAATAAATCTGTCTACAATAAAGGGATATTACGGTCTAGAATGCACCCAATTGGGCTACAAAACATGTTTTTATCAAAATTATAGGCCCTTTTAATTCCAAAGAGCATTTAAAATTACCAGTCCACAGAACCATCCTGTAAAAACTGGGCGTTTTTGGTGTTTTTTTGTAAGAACCATGCAAGAACCAATTTCGGTGGTCACAATTTTGAGTTCGAAAAATTGAGCTGTGAACGTCTAAGAAACAACACAAGTGTATTGGTGCTGGGCATATTATGTAACACATACACAACATGGAAGGTTCATTGAATAGAGACAACTTTAATACGTATGCTTATGCCACAAAATATTCGCCATGTCCGATGTAAAAAAACGTGGTGTTTATTCTTTTCTTGGGAACGATAAGACATTAGGTTGGTTTCCTTTTCACTAGAATAGAATTTTAGTAAACAAACCAAACATGCAATTCTCGGGGTTTTCAGGCTGCAATCCCCTTTAATCCAAAGGAACAGATTAGGCAGGAATTATTTCTTCAATTTTTATTTGATTTATGTTCAGTATTTTGGAGAATTTTCTTTTCCACAGATTTGACAAGTTTTTTTGTTATCTTGTTATTTTCAGATGAAGGGCGGAACTACTACACAGTACCAGACCCTGTGGAAACTGTCGAAGAGTTTGTGAATTTAGCGAATATGTACGGCTCCTCGTCATTTGCTATACCAGATGACACTAATGCAACTTATGGAGATTTTTATAAGGTGAGTAGTAATTCTTGTGGAACTTTTTAACTATTTCAATATTTATTTTGTTTGTGGGTTTGGTTGATTTCAGTTGCGTGGTTTTGTCTTAACACATATTTCAGGGAGTCAGGTTGGCGTACTGGTTACTGTTCTCGCCTTCCACTGCAGTGGCCTGGGTTTGAATGCTGTCTGAACTACATGTGGTTTGGGTTTTCAGTCCCTACCTGATTCCGTGGGTTTTCCCCAGAATATTCTTCTGGGGTTTTCCCCCTCCTCCAAAACTGTAATTTCTTCTCATGGTTATCTCTCCACAGGTTTCTTCAGGCTTTTGAGCTACAGTTCCTGGGGCACTTTTGAAGATTACTTGGTTTCATTACCAGAAAGAAATACCGTATATAAATTTAAAAATTCAAATAAATAATATGGGCCCAAATATTGTTTCACTTTCTTCAGGTTGGTGATTCAATGTACACACTGTACCAGAGTCTGGCCCTGGGCACTTTGGGATTGCCTAGGACTAGTTACAGCAGCCTTTGTGATGATAGCAATCCCGCGTCATTCCTTTTGGATCAGCAGACCAGCTGTGATAGACAGCTGGCAGATTTGGAGACAGAGTGTGAAACGACTCCATACCTTTCAGCTTTGACTTTCTTTGATGGTTTCAAACTTGCACCGGTAAGAAGTGTGAAATTCTTAACTGGCTTATCCCTAAACCTCCAGGGAAATTTGGCTGGAAACCCTGCTAAACACAGCAACATGCAAACGATTTTATATAGACTTTTTAAAGTTTCGAAGATTATCCCCATATCTTCTCGAACCCAGCTGAATAATTAATTGTATAGGTATGCAAAATACAAAGGGGCGTCATAATGACGTCATTGTTTATTTTCTATTAATTTTTAAAGGTTAATTTTGTTTTCTAATTACAAAACTGGACGTTATCTGTACTCCGATCGATCCCAACTTGGTATAAACAAAGACCACCAATTAATGTTTGCATGCACAAGTGATGTAATGATGACATCATCAGGTGTCAAGTGATGTCACCTTAAATGTGCATTGTTCAATGTCTAATAGCTAGAGAACTGGGTTGAAACTATGAATGCATGTGTACATACTAGGGCAACATTAAGAAAAATTCTATTGAATAAGAGTAATGCTTCACATTTTTACCAAAGAGGGTACAGTATATTTATGCATTGTGTCAATAATCCGATTCTTATTCTGGACAGACACCCAGGTACCTGATAGATGCACTACCAGCTTTGAATGACACAGGTGAATACTACAGCTTCTATGCCAATCAGTCACTGATTGAGTTTGCCGTGCAGGAACCAGTATTGTGTCAGGATGAGACAGGGCAGCAGACTAGCTGTGGGTTGGATCCCGGTGTGGTACCAGCTCCATCTTATGATACTCAATGTGGTAATGTGCTGCTGCAGGTAGGTTATTATTAGTCGTATGATTGATCACAAGTACATCACAAGTTCAGTCATAAGTAAATCACAAGAAGATCCAAGAATAGTAGCAGGTGATGGCAAACTAAGGAATACAATTGTCATCAGTCGTTTGCCTGTTAGTTGAATTGGGACTGGATGACTTGTGATCCATCCCAAGTGTCTTGACTACAACACTGGGCAATAATAATAATAATAACACAATAATGGGTACTCATATAGTGCTTTTAACTAAGATCAAAGTACTTTTGACCTAGAGAGTGAAAAGCTTGATATTGCAATTTCTGCAAAAGGCAGCGGAAATCAACCACATTAAGCATCTCTGCCCTCACAAGTATCCATTTACTCCTGGTTGGGGAGAAGCAAAGTGCTTTGCCCGGGGGCACACGCACCACAACCCCAGGCTGGACTTGAATCCACAACCTGCAGAATTACCCGCAGAACACAAGTTCAATGCTGCAGACCACAGGGCCCCGGGAATTGGTTTAAGAAGAGAGGATTCCTGCAAGTGGTGATTGGTTGAGCAGAATCTTACAACTATGCTCAAAACTTGAGCATAATTTTAAAAATAAAAACAAACATGGAGACACAGAATGTCAAATACAATGTAGTTGCACGCCAAAGTATGAAACTGTTATTTGTATGGTAATATACTTCAGGTAGCCTACACAATAACACACAACAGCTCTGGAGCAATTGAAGCCGTGAATGTTCAACTGGTACTCGGTAACATCACATCGACTACCGGTTACCTGAGGTTTGGACAGAAATATACAGTTGCATTCTTTAAGGTAAGAAATAACCCAACATATTTTTTTTTTCAGAGGATACTTTTCTTCTCAGTATTTTTTCTAAGGAAGTAAATATGTGCTTGGCCCGTTTTAAACAAGTAGGCTTAAAACTGGCCAGGAGCCTGGATGCTGATAATGGCCCGTGCTGAAACATTATCAGCATCCAGGCCCCTAGACTGTTTTTAAGGTACTTGTTTAATACCGGCCAAGCACATATGTATTCCCATTCAGAAATATCTTATTCAAATCAAATAAGCAATGATTTTTGTTTGCCACTTTTCATGCCCTATTACTTGTTCCTATTACTTGTTCTTACTACTTGTAACTGGACTTGGTAAAGACCTGTAAGTGACTTGATTACCACCACTTCTTAATACTCTGGATCAGTGATGGATAAAAAATAACCGGAAATTTTTATTTCATTTTTTATTATTTATTTCAGGCGGATGAAGTGGACACATTTTCTCGGAGTGGCAACCCGGGCTACATACCTGGGATGCCTATACTAGCTGGCAATTTAGTTTCTCAACTTGTGGATGGTGAAACAAGGTTTGATATTGATATCGCAAGCCTGTTTAAGAGGAATATCAATTCTTACATCCAGCTTTCCTGATTTTTTTTTGTCATGTTTTTCTTCTTTCTCTTGGCAAAGGGCTACTTTGCCAAGAGTGTCTTTGATAGCATTGCTTGGGGTGATTTTCCATAAAAGAAAAAAATCCCTCCCCCATTCATCCAAGCTTCTTGCCCCTCCCCCATCAAAACGACTCACACCACTATATCCCATACTTATCATCCTTCCACAGGTTCTCCATTGAGTTGAGCAGTGATCGTAATAACTGGTTGACGGTTGTTAAGAGTACAGCCGACGGGACGTGTGAAACCAACCCAGATAGCAGGATACCAGTTAACTTTGGTGAGGATCTCAGGACTGGCTGCATGGTCAGGTAATTCATTTACTTGTCTTGTGAACCAATCTTTTTGTGCTTTTGGATCGAACAGTGAGCACTGACTAGGGCTGTCAAATAGTTAAGTATTTGATTATTTGGAACTCTGTTTCACCGAATATTTGATGATTCGAAACTCTATGATCACATTTTACACGCGCCACTTGCAACTGTGTGCCACTCAGATCATAAGTTCTTCGAATATTCAAACTGGCAAAAAGCTATTGGAACATTCGGTTGATGATCGAATATTCAAATATTTGGTATATTTGGGACACGAACCAATTTATTATTTATAGGGCGCTTTTACACAGGGTATCACAGTGCTTAGCAAAGTAAGTTACAAACACCAAAGACTGAGAAATGGTGCATGTGAAAACAGTTAACGATGGAACAAAAAAGGTCTTGAGATAGTTCTTGCATCATTCAAGTGACCAATTGGTACAGAGCTTTTCATAGCAAGATATGTGATGGAAGGGACCCACCCCCACTATTGTGCCGGTCATTATGTTCCACTGTCTCAGTAATTATTTTGAGATATTCCGTGGGGGGAAGGGGGAGGGATGTGTTAAGTAACAATAGTGTACATGTATTATGTTTTGAGTACAGGGACGTTGGGGGTGGGGTACCCCTCTGTGTAGGATACATGACCTTTGGTGAAATTACGACTGTAGGTTATTCTTTCTCATTTAATTTGGTTTCAACATTTTTCCCCCCCAGTGTAACTTTCAGTGACACAGCAGACAGGTGTCAAATCATCCAAGACGCTGCCCTCAACGCCCTTAACGGTGTGACGCGAGAGTACGTGGCTACGTTTGGCAATTCTGACGTTGAGAATGTGGGAGACTGGGTGCCAATCCTTTATGAGCAGATTACTGGCTCTCCTTCGGTGAGTCATGAGGGCCATCTGTCAAACATTGGCTCAGACTGCAGTTTGAAATTTGTCTCACACAGGTGGCATGGCTGGCTAGTGCATTAAGCGCTCGCCTGTCACTAATGAGGCCCAGTTTTCATTCCCGGCTCGGACCATTATGCGAGTAGGGTTGTTTTTTTACTCTCCACCTTGCCGACTCTCCACCTTGCCACGAGGTTTTTGCTCGGGCCCTTCGGTTTTCCTCCCTCCCAAAAATCCATTCTGGCTGTGCTCCATGGTCAGACATGGGTTGTATGGTTGCTGTCTCAGCTAGCAAGGATGATAAGCCCCCCCCCCCCTCACAAAACAAATTACTGCTCGACGAATATTTAATGACTTAAAAGCTAAAAAAATCAGGCTTTTTAAGAACATACCCAAAGTGTCTGAGGCAAGAGCCATTTTAACAGTTTAAATTAATAATTTATTCATTTATATTGTGAAAATTCCATTTGAACATTTGCAAGTGGGCATCATTTTTTTGACTCTTATTACAAAATAATGAAAAATAAATCTAGTACACAATTTACATCCAAATAAAATGGAAGTTGTACAAAAGATAACAACTATCCAAAAGTGGTGCTTAATTTGGCAGTTATACCACTAGCTCTTCCATTGAGCTAACTGTCTGGAATCCTACGGAATGACGTGCTCAAGAGTCTTCAGTATTTAAGAGTTTTGTTTTTTGTTTTTTATTGCAGAGTTCTGTTGAAGGAACCTGCAACAACATGGTGGTGGCGCTTCATATTGAGGTCATCTATGCCAATGTTGGGTCGTTAGTCAACCCACAAGCTAAGATACTTGGCGTTAGATACAACTATGCAGAGGGCAAAACACTCAGTTACACGGTGAGTCCTAACATTTGTTTACCAACAGATAAAATTGATAACTATGCAACTAAACCGTCACTAGAGGACTTAAATCCAAATAAAGTGTGCTGCATTGTGGGGAAAAGTCATACAGTCTGTTACATAGCAATGGAACATCAAATGGCAGGTTACATTTGTGGATTGCTGTGGTGCAAGGGTTACAGTGTTTGACTCACGTGCCATGGTACGTGGGTATGAACCCTAAGCATTGTGCTTGTGTTCATGGGCAAGACACTTTACTACAACTGCCTCTCTCCACCCAGGAGTATAACTGGGTACCTGTGAAGGTAGAGACCAGATTGCGCTGATCTTGAGCTGCTGCAAAAACTGGTCTCATGGCCTGATGAGCAGGGGTAATAATTGTGAAGCACTTTGAAACCTTTTGTATAAACTTGGTGCTATATAAGCACCACATTATCATTATTATTGTGCATAGACGGGCCACAAGAAAGAAAACATGGTCACAGAATCAATTTTCACTGCAGTAACAATTGTGATGCGATCAGGCTAAATGAGTCATTTGTCAGGAATATCCCTTTGGAAATTCACGCCAAAATATGACTACTTCATCACATCACTTTATCACATTTCTTGGTGTTCAGACTCCCATTATTTTTTGACTAAATATGGTATCAGCATGCGGTTTTCACAGCAGTAATGCTGAAATGGCGCTCTTTTCAAATCTGTGGGAAAAAAATGACCAGGGTCGACAAACGACTCATTTAGCTTGAGCGCATCGCAATCAAGTTTTATTTAGTAAATAACGAAATAAATAACCAAATTTCCTACAACTAAGCAAGGCTGAGACTGGGGTGCTTTAGAGAGTGAATGAAATTGTGCAAACAGGATCTAGTAACCGGTACGGAAATTAAATAAAAATGAATAGAGGCAATAACTTACATTTGTACGTCAGCTTGACAAACATGTACAAAGCACATGTACACTCTGGAACCTAAGGATGCCGAGAGCCGCGCCCTCCACAATATAGATGTGCCTTCTCTGAACTCAACTGCTGGACTCGACTCAAACTTCCATGCACCTACAGTTTTCACTGGGCTGACACCCAGAGCCAGAACTTAGACAAAGGGGCTTATGCAAATTCAACATTACTGAAATATACTAGAGATTAAAGTTACTGGGTATCTGGGTTAAGGCTAATCACAATAAAAGGATATTGTAAAAAGGATGGTAACTGGCTGGACTAGTCCACATCTTCCTCAGAGGGGGAAGCCATGGCTAGACTATACCATTCACATACGGGGCCTGTTTTTCACTACATTATTATTGTTCAGTTTCTGCGATGGTATTCACATTGTTCATTTCGTTGACTCTCATCTCTTTGAATCACTTGATGTCTGCCATCTTCAAAGCAGAATAGCATGTTGCGTAGTTACCAATGTTGACACGCGAGCTGAAAGTAAACCTTTTTGGGATACACATTTGGCATTGCTCAATTGCTGGCCATTTGTTGGTCAATCCATGGGCGATTTCTAAGAATGAATGCACAGGCAATCATTAGCCACACACCATGCAATTTTATAAAAAAATAAAAAAAATTGCTGTGAGTTAAATCCATTCTCAGCATTACAGGCAGTTAAAAAGAACGGATTCATACCATTCATTGGGTTTCAGCCAATCAAAAGGTCATAGTAGGTCAAGGTTGAACTGTTCAAAACACAAATTCCAATTATCAAAGTCTCATGGCAAAGTGAATTTACCGCAACTCACTAATGCCTGTACCTTGAATCCATAGAACCATACATAATAATAATAACGTGGTGCTTATGACTATATTTCTAAAAACGCATGTTCATAAGGCAATGAGACCAGACTTTGCAGCAGTTATCAGTAAATTCTGGATTCTACCTTCACATGTACCCATCTATACTCCTGGGCAGAGAAAGGCAATTGTAGTAAAGTGTCTTCCCCAAGAACAGAAGCACTTTGTTCAATGTCAGTGTTCGAACCCACGTAGCGCGGATCATGAATCAAAGACCCTAATCTTTGGACCACATTGCCCATACAGTAATTGTGTTGGTACAAGGAGGAACAGGCTGGGTGGTTTGGATTGGTATTTGAATTAATGAGCAAAGACAACGTTTGCCAGAAATTCCGCAAGCCATAAATATTATTTGTTTCATCCCTGCAGTGTGCTGGTGCCTACTGTCAGACCGGTTCCGGTTCCGTCCTTCAGAACTTTGAGATCACTTCTTCCGTTGCATTCATAGATGCATCAACGCTGCCGACGCCCATCCTGGCAGAAGACCCAGGATTTGAAGACAAGCTTCCCAATGATTTCTTCTATCCTTTTACAATAGGCAGGAGTTCTGTATTGGAACTTGACATCAGGTTGCTATGGGCTGGGGTGCTAGGATATTTAGTACTTAAAACAGAAGTTGCGTGAATGTATCACAGGTGAGGACTGACATCCTGGAGTTTCTTATTGTGCCTTGTCCAGTTCTCAGACTTATTTACTTAAATGGCCCATGCAATTGGATTTTTATACGGCAATTCTTGGAAATGCATATTTTGTCCCATTTAAGCTTATTTTTTTATTTTTTTTTATTTTGCCATTTTCAAGTGTATTTTGGTGCCTTTTTAGTTGTAATGCTAATGCAAATTTCCATATTCATGAGCAAAAAGTGTAAGGACAATACAGGCCGAAACATCAATGTAACAGCTATTTCATCCTAAAAAGTTGCCAGAATTAAGGATATTTTGCTGTTATAAATTTTCTTTTCTTTGATGATTCAGTGTCAGTACATGGCAGTAAGCCAGTGAGCAAAATTTTCTCACAAATGTCTTCAACGAACACATTTTTTGGGCTCACAATTTGAACAGAAAGCCCCTCAACTGAACAGTGTCTCCCTGAAACCACAGCAAGAGCGCCCTCAGTTGTCTGGAAAATCATAAACAATTTTAAACGTTTAAAGAAGTGCACTTTTCAATTAAATTGACCAAAAAGGAATGTCAAGTAGTTTTTGTACATTTTAAGAGGAGTAGAAACTTGTACAAAAAAAAGGTGCTCCTAAGAAAATTTCATCTCCTGGACCCTTTAAGTGCCAGTGGTTCTAGAGTGTGAACTGCCGTCTCGAACATGTGGCAACCGGTGAAAATGACCATCCTATTAAAAAGATGCTTTCACCAAATGCCGCACTATATTGCCCTACATCCTCGGGTGTGGAAATGCATGTTACAAAAATAGAACACAATGGAAAAACAGGAAGAAAGTGTATGAATTTTTGCCCTTGCATAGCATTTATTTATTGCAAAACAAACGAAAAAATTAAACAAGTTTGCAGCACATTTAGCAGATATTTTAAGTTTGTAATGCAGTTTCCTGTGCAAGGAGTTTTGTGAGGTTTGTGAATTAGGAATTGGTATTGAAAATACAAATTAGTAAATTAGAGAATTTTTGGTTTGCATTAAGCTTGACATGTTTTAGTGCCGTTCCTCGTCAATAAGACATCAGAAATGGAAAAAAAACTTAGTCATATTTAAATAACTGAAATAATTGTACTTTATTTAATTGATGTAATGTGTAATTTAGCATTTGTATATATATGTGAATATTGAAAATAAAAAGCGACAAAAGCTGATGCAATGTCTAGCGTTTTGAGTGCCTTCAAGTTGTGATCTCCATGCTTTTTGTATTTCTGTCAGTAGAACAATTTGGCAACAGCTGTCTTCTGCTGTTTTAAAACCCTCTCTCTTACAGACCATTGACTTTCCAACCAAAACCTTTTTTTGGGGGGGGGGGTGGTTTGAAAACATACAAGTTGAAAATCTAGTGACTGAAAAAATAACGTTGAGGGGGCTGCATCAGCAAGCTATGACTGATTCAGTGAGTAATGAAATTATTGTATTCGAGCGAAGTGAAACCCCTCCCCCTCCCCCCTCCAAACTGCCAACTTTTCAACCCACGCGATCATTTACAACTGCGCATATACTAAACATAATGTACATGTACCAACGACATGTATACCAATATCTCATATAGGAACATGGTGTACATGTTCATGTGCTTGCCCTTCTTTTCATGATTATCTGTAGTATATATCCATGATGTTTGCAATACCTGACCTTCATTGATACAATGTACTATGAAAAAAGTGTTGTTAGGATGCAACATTCTTTCCCATGAATGAAACAGCCGCAAACTGTGCACTTATGGGATTGACTTGAAAAGTTGCACGTCAAGTTCAGACCTTATTAATGTTGAATAAAGGATAGAACTCAGAATTTGATATTCTTGCCGCTGCCTCTCCTGCTCCCCTTCTTCGATTTAGTCTTGACTCTGCTGATATCATCTCTACTAACCACCTGCACGCCTTGCTTGTACCGTCCCACCTGACCATCTAAGAAGAACTTCTTGTCCTGAGTAGGGTCCCTCCAAAAACCTTGGTTTCTGAAAGTAAAAATAGCTTGAGAGTTAAATACACAGAAGGCTTCAGCCATTCAATATTGGTCATTATGGACTACATTACTACCAATTCCATCTGAATCTGATGAATAGTTTGGTTGGGGTACCCGCTACTACATCAGATTTGAACCAGCCAACTGACCCCTGCAAGGTCTGTCATTGAGTGGTAAGACGTTTGCATTAGTAAGCAAAAGGTCGTGGGTTCGAGTCCCATCCAAGATCTGTTTTTACTCACAATCATTTGGGACAACACTGGGTATATAAACTACGTCGGTGCAGGGCAAAACCCTATATTGAATTTACATCACCCCGACGCCAATTATATCTAACCCTAACTCCCTAGGCCTTAGATTGCCATTTACTAACAGTCCAGTAAGGTATTTCATAAGAATTTGGTAGTTTTGTTCATTGATGTTTGCAAATGTTGTATATTTCTGTTAAGGGATGGGGGAAAGGGAGGGGAATTTAAACTCTGGTATTAGTAAATGATATCTGAGTTCTCACCTGACTCTTGTCTTTTCAGCAGCTGGCTTTTTTGTTACACTGTAGCCCATTTTGCGGTCCTGAAATTGAAAAAGTTATTTAAGTTGAATGGGGTCAATCAGTGTACACGATTGTGCGTGAGTGTGTGTGTATGTGGGGGGGGGGGGGGGGATGAGGGATAATATAAATCCTCAAGTTGTCTGGTCATGGAAAATTGAGAGGGGGTTGGTTTGGACACTATATGACACCGAAGGGCTCTATTCATTATTTTACAAAGGTACGTGTTTACGTCCGTTAACCTTACAACATGTTTGCTTGTAACCCCACCCTGCAAACAGGACGCTGGGAAGGGACATGGGAATGGGACACAGTGGCTTGAAGGATCTACTCACAATTTCCCGTTGCTGTCTGTCTTCTTCCTTCTTCTTTTTCTGTATTGCAATGAACTCCTTGTAGTTGATGTTTTCTCGCTTCGGTGCCTGGGTGAAGCATTTATAAGGCATTTTACAATAGATTAGCCAGCAGGATCTTTTTTAAAGAATTCATATCATCTTCAGTAGACAGGAAAAAAAACACTGCCAAAAATGCTTTTTAAATTTAATTCCCGTTTGTTTTTGCAGCCTTTGTTTCAGTGTGAGCAGGCATTAAAGGCCCACGAAATGTATTTTTGTAATGCAATTTTTGAAAATGGACCTTTGTGTCCCATTTAATCTCTTGTCAATTTTCGTTTTGCCATTTTGAATGGTATTTTTGGGTCTTTTTTTGTTTTATGCTAATGCAAATTTCCATATTTATGAGGGAAGGTGTGATGTCATTTCTGGTAGAACCTCTATGAAATGATTAAATCAAACTTTGAACTCAAGAGAATTCTGTAATTAACCGATAACTGCCACAGTCATTACTATCTTTAATTTAAACCAAGTAAACTTTTGAACAATAATTTTGCGTGTTACTTTTTTTATAGCTGCAAATGATTTACTCTACTTTGAAATAATTCACTATAGGTTTCATACACACATGAATGTTTTTTTTTCTGCATTGAGATTGTGATTTTTATGAGGGCTGATGACAATCAACCGTGATAAAACAGATGGCGAGGCAGGAAAAAATTTGCGATCTTACCCATGCTCCCAGACGAATGGCCCGATCCATCTCACATTTTTCTCGATCTTCAAAGGAGAACCCAGACAGACCAAACTGCCGGACTTCATAACGAGCTTTCTTGAGATTGAATTCCTCTTTGTTGGACTTGCTACTATCTTGGTCAACAACCTAGGAGAGAAATAAGGCAGGATTGAATGATTGGATTGAAAGTCAAATTAGTCAGCCTCTCCACCACGGTTGAACTGAACCCTGGGAAAACCCACCGCTGCCCCAGGTTGTTGTTTTTCAACCCAACATTGGCTAACACTTTCGTGTAAACAATGGTTGTTGTGCTCGTTGAACATTTCAATCCTGGGTTGCATTCCACCCGCGTCAAAATCATTCTCGCTGACAAAAGTGTCAACAGTGGTGTATCCAGGTTATGGGGGGGAGGGGGGGGGGAGGGGGGAAGTTTTTGATTTTACGGAGGCCCGGTGTCCAGACAAAAAACAACACCCCACGTCTTGATTTCGGCTTGGATACGTGCGAATGTAGTTGACTCCCCCCCCCCATCAAAAACTGGATACGCCAGCTTAAGTGTGAAATGCTGCAAGTTTTTAACCCTACATCAATCCTGCATCAACCCCGAGATTCGTCTACAGTAAAAAGGTGAATGCATGACAGCTATTCCAAGTCAGGTTGATGTAGCGGTACTGTGACCTGGGTTCGAATCCCGCCTGGGCCAACATGTGAATTGGTTTTTCAGTCCCTACCTGATTCCGTGGGTTTTCTCAGAATATTCCTCTGGGCTTTTCCTCCCACTTCTAATACTGTAATTTCTTCTCATCGTCTTCTCTTTGCTTTACAAGTTTTTTTCAGGCTTTTGAGCTACAGTGCCTACGGCACTTTGGAGGAATCCTTGGTTCATTACCAGAAATAAATAAATAATATAAAAAGAATCACCTGTTTCTTCCTCCGTCTGCTTGGATCCTCAAACACAACCACCTCTGGATCTGGTCGCTTCATCTTTTCTCCTTTCTGTCTTTGCTCCGCATCCATTTTAAGTCTTTCTTTCTCCAACTCTTCCTCTTTAAATAGTCTCAGTTCTTCCTCAAAATCCACAACTTGTTTGTTTTGTTTTGTTCTTTGCAAATCCTCATCTCCCTGAAGTTTTAACTTGGCTGCTTTTCTCATCATGTTTTTCTTCTTCCTCTTGCTTTTAGACAGCACTGTAGATGTATGATCTGAAGCAGTAGTTATGTGGTCGTTGCATTTGTTATAAGATTGTAGTCTGGTTTTCTTTATGGCTTTCATAATCTGTGCTGTCTGAATGAAATAATCTTTCTCGTCCCGTAAACTATCTCCTGTTGACAGAAATCAAAACCAACGTATGAACCATGCTAAATAGTTCTTCACAAAGGTATACATGTACATTGTATATGTGAATCTTTGAACCAGCACCATTTGTTTTTTCAATTCCCACTGAAGCCTAGAGGGGCGCATAATGCAGTTTGAAAACTGTTTAGGGGTGAAATCTGGTCAATCATGTAGTGTAGGGCGATCAAGTAGTGTAGTTTACAAAAATTAGAGTTAAGGCTGATTGTATTACTCAATTACATCTCTTTGTTTTCTCTCTGTGATCTTTATGTAAAAAGAAACAGTTTTAGGTTCATATCATGTTTAAAAGCAATCTGTTGAAAAAAAAAAAAAATGAAGCCACAAAAAAAAGAAATAGTTCTGCTTCCGGTTTCCCTACCTACCTGTATCTCTGTTCTGACACTGTAACAGCCCCTACCCTAAATGGGCAAAATGAGGACAAAACCCAAACGCCATCAATTTCTACCTTTTACCCTTGACAACACACAGACCCCTCCATATGATCGTGCAAAAAGAACTTGGCAAACAAAAAAAAGGGAAAGATTTCCATATAAGAAGTTCACTAATTTTCCTCTGTATTGACTAACAAGACCCCAGATAGCAATTTTATGTCATCAAAGTCAATTTGAGCAGTGAGACAATACAAGCATTTTCTTAGAAAACACTTACAATTTTTCAGTCCAATCTAATAGGGTTTGTACACAGGGTGTTGAGTGAACTTTGTATATGGAAATCTTTCCAAATTTATAAGTATCTCCTAACAAAACTGGAAATATTTTTCAGTCCCAGATTTATGTCTTATCATTTTTTGCAATGACTGACCTTCATCATGTTCATTGAGATGATAATATGAAGAAAAAAGTGGCATCAGGTTGCATCCCTAGACCTACTTAAACTACAAAAAATTCCCTTCCCTACAATTGGCGTCCCACCTTTTCATTGGATGATGTGTCCGATTAATGGCTGGCATAATGCGAGGGGGGGGGGGAGGGTGGGTGACTGGTCGGAAGAGGCTTCTTGTTTTTGACGTAAGAAAGAATGTTGCAACCTGATGCTGCTTTTTTCTTCCTATATCATCTCAATAAAGGTCAGTAATTGCAAAAATGATGATTAAACATGAATATGGGACTGACTAGCCCGACTGCGTCTGGCCGTACAGTACTATCGCAAGCTCTGTAGTACGGCCAGACCCTCAATGCTTCCATAAAGACTGATTTTTTTTCCCCGCTGATGTAGCGATTTTGCTACAGATTTTGATGGAGATTTTCTTTCCATCCAGGACACAAATTTCCAAAGTTAAGGTTCTTAGTCCTAGAGCAACTCATACCTTTTCGAAAAAACGTTCTTTGGTCTCAATATTTTCATCCATCTGGCCAAAAGACGACTTTTAGTCATCATCTTCCAGAAATATCGTCATGAAAATGTCCTCCATGCGATTTCAAAATGGCGGCCGCGTTGTAATGTATGTGTCACGCCCCAACTATCGCATCGGTCCCAACTATAGTTGGGCCTGTCCCAACTATAGTTGGGCCTGTCCCAACTGTAGTTCCACAGTTGGGCTGGCCCAACTATAGTTGGGCCTGTCCCAACTATAGTTGGGACGGTCCCAACTGTAAGTTCCATTGTTGGGCTGGCCCATCTATAGTTGGGCCACTCCGATCTTTTTATTTTGCGGTGTCCCAACTATAGTTTACATTGATGTACAACTGTAAAACGTTCCCTTCAGCTCTGATACACGTCTGACTTTACTGGGGACCACTGAAATTAGTTATTGATGCCTGATGGGGCGAATCTATAGTTGGGCCACTCCAATCTTTTTATTTTGCGGTCCCAACTATAGTGTACATTGTTGTACGATTATAAAACATTCCCTACAACTCTAATACACATCTGACTTTACTTGGGACCAATGAAATTATCTATGGGTGGGGACCATCTGTAGTTGGGCCACCGCAATATTTTTATTTGGCGGTCCCAACTATAGTTTACATTGATGTACGACGACTATAAAACATTCCCTACAGCTCTGTTACATACTGTCCGACTTTACTTGGGACCTTTGACATTAGCTATGGGTGGGGCCCATCTATACTAGTTGGCCGGCCATGGCAATCTTTGAATTTTGCAAAATGTTGCTGGACAATCAACCCAGCAGCTGGACAACTCATCCAACTAGGCAGTACCACGTGACCGGCCAGCCTTGCGGCGCGGCATGCATGCACGACGAATACACGGTGCCAGCGCCGCGGAACATTTAATCCAACAAGATCTATCAAGCATGAAGCATCCGGCGCAACTCCAGTCCTAACTATAGTTGGGCCGACCCAACTGCCGCACTATAGTTGGGACAGTCCCAACTATAGTTGGGACCGATGCGATAGTTGGGGCGTGACATATGCATTATGTGAGCGTGCTTGGGTAAGATAATGAATATGCATTATTTAGTTCATGATCTCGTGTTTGTATGGCCAGCCGCGCTGCGCGCCCGACATACGTCATAAACTATGACGCATATTCATTATCTTACCCAAGCACGCTCGCATAATGCATACATTACAACGCGGCCGCCATTTTGAAATCGCATGGAGGACATTTTCATGACGATATTTCTGGAAGATGATGACTAAAAGTCGTCTTTTGGCCAGATGGATGAAAATATTGAGACCAAAGAACGTTTTTTCAAAAAGGTATGAGTTGCTCTACGACTAAGAACCTTAACTTTGGAAATTTGTGTCCTGGATTAACAGAAAATCTCCATCAAAATCTGTAGCAAAATCGCTACATCAGCGGGGAAAAAAATTCAGTCTTTATGGAAGCATTGAGCGTCTGGCCGTACTACAGAGCTTGCGATAGTACTGTACGGCCAGACGCAGTCGGGCTAGGGACTGAAATGACTGAGAAACATTTCCAGTTGGTTTTGACTCTCGGAGTCCAACATAGGTAGATAGGCTTTGTACACAACCGCTGAGCGTCAGGTTGCAACATTCTTTCCTCGATGTATTTTATACAATCAAGATCGGCCAGGGCGAAGTGGAAATTGGGTGAAGTGGCGTAGGGGCGAAGTGGCATAGGGGCGAAGTGGGGATGGGGCGAAGTGGCGGCGGGGCGATGTGGAGATGCGACGAACATGACGAAGTGGGGCAGGGGCGGCGGTATGGTCATGATTGATGGTTTAGGGGCGAAGTGACATTGCAATTGGGCGAAGTTATAAATTATGAAGCCCATAAAGAACACATTTTGGAAATGACATACCCAAAGAGGTCTTCACACTTGTATCACAGCCTATTCCGTGTCATTCCAATAGAAAAAAAAATCGTCTGAAATGTACAACACAAAAGACAACAGACGACAAAAAACACTAAAGCCATACTCGACAAGCAGTTTGAAGGGCGCCCTCATGAGTATAATGATATCAGTCACACAGAGCGAGGGCGCTATAATAAAAACACGGTGATCACCACAGAAAATAGTTACCGATTTTTTGTTTTGCAACTGTGTTATTAAAATTTTGGGTTTTTTGGGTCAAAATGTCACATTTGTGTGATTGTGTTATTAATTTGGCTCGGGGTTGATATTGTGCACTACAGTTGTTGAAACAAGTATTCTGTGTCATGTTTTTTTGTTGATTAAAACAGTCAGAATACATAATATACTTCCTTTTTTTGACGAAACAGAATTGTATTTAAATAGTGATATTCTTTGAACATATCGGGTAATTTCCATAATTTTTTGATCTAAATGTAGCCAATGAAGTTGTCTTTCCATTCCTTATGTTTGGTGCTACATATTTTTTTAAATATAAATTTTTTGTGGGGGTGTTTGGCTTCCGTTTTTTTTTACTCATCCTGTTTATAAAAGTGCACCCTTTTTCAGTACCAAAATTGCATAATACGCAAATACTCATTATTGTGCTTGGAAATGGAAAGTATAAGTTTTGTGATGTCCAGAAGGTAAAAACCCCGATTTTATCCCAAAAGTGGTAAAATGACAATCCAGTATACATTCCATAATGTTCACAGAATGGTGCAATGTTATTGTGTATGCAAAATAAACAAGACGGAAAGTGTGGGGTTATAAGCCTAAAAAGCCGGGGTATGACTTTTGAAAGACTTGTTGATAAAAGTGTGAGTTTGTGTGTAATAGGTAGTGAATGTTAACAATGTCACCGAGCATGCGCAAATTTAGAATCAAAGCGAGTGTTGTGAAAGAAATATGGCAAATAGTGATTTAAAAATTGGAAAACAACGGGCATATATATCTGAACTTG